TCGGAAGCAGTTTTCGTTCCGTGTTTTGTTGTATTTCACATTGCAATTTTAAACTTATCACCAAAGGCATATGATCGGACCATTCTCTTTCTTCTACCGTAAAGGTTTCTACATATGTCAGCATTTCTTGTGAAACTGTGCATAAATCATTTACCGCAGAACCATTACTACTTATATATGTGACGTTGCCTTCTATGTCTCCTGCCGTTCTTCCATTAAGCACTATTTGGCCATAATCACAGCACAGCTCAATAAACTTTTTTCCTCTGCTGTTAGCGACTACGTCTTTTGATTGTCTACACTCAACGCCTGATTTAAATTCATTTAAAAATATTTCTTCAATGTTTTGCTGTATATTTCCTATTCTGACATTTAAATCGCCAATTAAAATTGTATTTTCAACGTTTTCCTCCACCAGATGATTTGCCAGTTGTTGGAAATTATTTTCCCAATCGTTACAGTTTAGATATAACGGGACTATTTTGAAATTTATATATTTTGTTTTTATGTTGATAATGTTAATATTATTTATATTTTCAAAGCAATACATAAAGCCAGCATTCCTTAGTTCTTTTTTAATTCCATACATTTCTCCACCACTAGCACGGCCGAATTGACTTGTTCTAGTAGCTTTTTTGAAATGTAATTCGAAACCCGAGAAAAATTTTTTATAGTTTTCCAAGTCTTTCTCCTCTATATGTGTTTCTAGAAAACAAAATATATCATGGCCTTTGACGAATTCGAAAAAATCTGGAAAGATCATTTTATTTTTTAAACCGTTTATATTGTATGACAAAATACGCAAGTTTCTAAAATTATTAACTATATTACTAGTACTACTATTTTCATTTCCTCCGCAGACAGCGCGTCCCTATTTCTTTTCTAATATTTTTAAAAGATTTACATAATTAATATCTATTTTTGTAGCTAATTCTTTATACAATATTTTTAAAACCATTTCGCCTTTTTGATCATTACAAACAAGTTCATTTTTATTGTTCCACCTTAGCCAGTAGTCTCCAATTCTTAATTTTTCATTTCTAACGCTGACCCTGTGTACTTTACTTACTGTGAGAATTTTCTGTTTTAAAATCAACATAAGTTTTTTATGTAGTAGTTTACCAGCATCAAGATCCCGTTCTAAAGTGATTTGTGACCCTTTTAGATTTTTACTTTTACTAAGCAGCTTTTCTACAGAGTTTGCTGTGTCCAACTCTACAACGACATTCACCTTTCCGTCGTACTCGCTTAACTTTCTTACCGAAGCTATCGGCAGTGGGCTTGGAATATAGAACTTCGTTGCATAGTTGAGTTACACGATCGAATGTCCGTTGGTTGGCATCACAAGCTAGGCCGCGGATTACAATATTTTTCCTCTTGCTTTGGTTCTCCAAATGTGATATTCGCCTGCTATCAACTTCTTTCGATTCTTTAATTTGTTGCATTTCTTCTCTAAGCTTAGCATTTTCTTCCTTCAGACTTTGAATTTGATTCGCATTTTCTACTAACTTATCTTTTATATCCTCTATATCCGTTTTCGTTGCCAAATTTTTCATTTTGTCATCTAAAAGTTCAGCAAACATCGCCTTCATATCTTGTATATTCATTGTGTTGATAGTTTGTTGTTCACCAGGGCTGCTTCGCATACGCTTTGCTGTAACTTTTGTAGGTGTTTGTCTGAGCTGATGACTCTCCTCTGTTATTTGTGCCTTGGTTGTATTTGTATTTTCCATGAAGCGAAATAGACTTCTTGACGCTACTGATCTCTTATGCAAATGACAGTTATAGGTGGCGCCCTTGTTATATTTTGTCGAAGATTAATAGCTTTGATTTTAAAACAATTCAAAGTTATTGTTTCAGTTTAATTACGGTCCAGTTGCAGGCATTCCACACCCAAGCACGTATAGTGATGACAACAACCCCCGTTCTTAAAAACAAAAAATTCGTTCGCTTTACCAAAGTTTAATAATTAGTTTGAAAGCTCGACTTAAATATCGACATATAACACGGCGAATATATAATATCGGCATATAACACGGCGAATAAAAATACTTTTCGCTTGTTTTTATCAGGAACTGTAATTCTAGTTCTTGTCTGTCGAAGTCTCACTTTAAATTACAAAGTAAATTTAATTATTGGTTCACTTAATTCACTGAACTCAATTGCACTGCGTTAGCGGACACTTTTAATTGTTAGAAAATTTCCGAGTATCACCAATTAAACACAATTATACCAATAGATTTTAAAAAATACCCCGCGCTCGAGAACTTTTAATACTTCGCTTTATTAGGGTTACCAAGCATGTTTGTTATAATGTTGTGTCTATTCACAGAAACTTTAAAGAACTTAAGAACTTTAACTTATACTTAATAAAGAATAGTTTAATTTTAATTTAACATCTCAGAATGGATAATAAATATTATAAAGGGAACTTGAAAGCGAAGTGACAATTCTCTAAATGAAGAGAAGATGACAATCTTTGTAAGAAACATTGTTCACTCCTGGCAAATTCAAAATAGGTATGAACCAAATACTCTATCTACTATATTAATTAAAAAATAAATACAAAAAAGTAAATTTCCATATTTTCAGATATTTTAAAGTTCGCTGCTTTATCTCAATAGAAAATCATGAATAAGTTCCGTATACTTAATGAAGTGTAAGGTTATTTATGTACGGTTTTAAAAAAAGGACTTTCAGAATTACAAAATGGAACTAGCTACCAGAATAATAAACCATTTGTTAAAGTAAGATTACATTTTAGCATTAATTAAAATAAAATTTCGTTATTTTTTTGTCTATTTTTTATGTTGTCGTCATTCCGACGAAGTTTCTTCACAGTGAAATTCCTCTGTCTAAAGGCAAATTGACAACATCTTCTAAAGTTATCCATTTCGTGCCCATGATTTGGTGGCACTGTTTTAGTGTCATACATCAAATCGTATGTTTGCCATTTTATAGATAATAAAAATTATTAAACAATCATTGAACATGATACAAATTATGAAATTACTGCAAAAATGGATGTGATAAGTCCATACTTTTATAAAAAAATACGCAAATGTGACGCAAACTGTCAATTGTGACGTGATCAATGATCAATTGTGATGATTGATACGATAACAGCCTTATGACGTGAAGTTGAAGATATGGATGTAAAAGATGGTCACAATAGGGCGGTACCATAAGCTATAGACAGATATTCTGTAGTGGTTTTGTTACGCAAGAAAGGACGTACGTAATTTATGCATACATTTTGGTGGTATAAATTGCCCATTAATATCAAGGACCATATTTATGCGGACAGTCTTCTTACTCTCGGTGATTTTTAAATAAATGCCCGTCAAGTTTGATCAAGATATTACCAACTTTATGCAGACGAGTAATCAAAAATGATTCATTTTTATTTTATTTTATTTTTATTTAATGGTAATGTTTAAACAATATGTTATAATAAAAAATTAATTGAAATCATAATCACTTGTGTTTTACTTGCGTTTACTTTTCGCACCAAAAAATAGATTATCCTGCACATAATACTTATAAAAAACTGAAGAAAAGTTATTTGGATTTTTCCTGAATAATTATGATTTCATTATGAACTTCATTTGAACTTATTGAAGTTACAGATAGAATACATACTTTCTTTTACAAAAATAATTATGAATAGTTTGACTCTAATACTCAAATGGTTTCAAAGTTAATGGTATATCAACTTTTTTGTGACATTTAAGATATCACGAATTTACTATTTAAATTCGGTTCCAAAGAGGTTCTTCTTCTTCTTAAAAAGATTTAGACATGATCGTTGAACCACTTTTGTCATTTTTGTAAGTTTGTACTGAATATTTTACGAGTTGTATGCTGGTTGAATATTGAAAAGGATTTAACTTACATCATTATCTTATAATATATCATTTATTATATTATTTGTCATATTCAATAGGTTATATATATTCGTATTTATTTATTTAATTTATTTAATTCACATGATTTGTATAGACGAAGAGAGCACTTCATGAGGAATTGTTTTCATTCATCTATACGTATTGCAATGAAGAATGCTTGTGGCTTACTCAAAAGCAGTGAAAGGCTTTCTAATTGTTTATTAACAAAACATATTATAGAGGTTTCGTAAAGCACTGCATACATATAAATACAAAAATACCTGCAGATAATTTTATAAAAATTTTTTTATATAAATATATATAAACTGAATGACAAAAAGTTGTTGGTAATTATTTTATATTGTATTTGAAAATATATAAAAGCTTATAATTTTTTAACATCACTAGTTAATGCTAAATGAGCAGTATTTAACATAGTTTTATTATTCTTGCAATTGTCTTATAACTTTTTGTTTTATTATAACGATTGTGTTTTGTATTTATACATGTATAGCATTTTTTAATATAAGTAATAAAATATATAAATAAAAGTTTGTGAAACTTTTAATTGTGTATGAATTTTTGCTACAAGCATTGTCAGATGACTGGAATATTTTTTGAAATTTCCAATGAAAGTTCACAATAGATCGCTATGGTAACTTTTTTCTGCAGTCACTAAAATACTTGGCCACTTCACAACTAAGCGCTTAGATAGAGAAAGTAGTATTGTTGTTTTGCCATGCTTGCGACCCACCAAAAACCCCTATTGGTGCTTTCTGAATAAGGTAAATCACAAATATGTATCTATCTATACTTTAACTTGTAAATTGATTATTAATACAACTCTTACCATATATTTTACCAATATTTTAATAAAATATGGCATTTCTATCAGAAATTTTGATAGATATGCTTACATTTGGTATTCAAAAAAGCGTTTTGGTTCATAATTTCTCTTAATATTAAAAAAATTTTATTAATTTAAATGTACACAAATTATCATACTCCAAATTATGTTTTAATAATATTATGAAATCTAAATTATTACTCTATTGACTCATGTTAAGAAAATGATGTAGAATGATTGAATCGTGACTGTGTGGCAAGGCAACCAAAACATCTGTTCTAATTTATCATTCTACAGTTACTGCTTGAGTTGACATTTATTTCTTGTAGTTTATAAACACATTTGGCTACTCTGTTAGAACAAAAATTAATAAAAACGGAAGTTATTAATTAAAGTTAAGTGCTTATTAATTAATTAATATAAAATTGCCATGTCATTAAAAAAACATTTACGTGTGTTAGCCAAACCATATTATTGGGTGAATATTCTATTGGCCATATCATATCTGTTGGCTAAAAAACTCATCCCGATATGTACGAGAGTGTTCAAACATCGAGGAGATGAAATGTGTGAATTAGACAGCCGAGAAACAGAAATACTGTTTTTTTTATTAATTGTAATAATGATACGTTCAAGAAAGACTGGCAGCGTAACAATGATTAACTATTTGTCTGCATCGTTTATCTATACTAAGGTGGCCAATACAATACTATGGGCCTACAATGATTTTCGCTTTGGTCTTGGATTCCTATTATTATGCATACTGGTTGGTATGTTATTACCAGAACCATCTTATCGCGGTCCTGAACACATCACATATTTTCGTAACCATGAAATATTTGAAGAAGAACTAACACGCGACAAGCGAATCAACTGGTTGATTTGTTTTTATACAGTGTGGAATCCAAGTTGTGTAAATTTCGCTCCTGTATTCGCAGAACTTTCTGCCGAATATAGTTTAGAGAATCTAAGATTTGGCAAAATTGATATCGGTCGTTTTCCAATCGTTGCACAGAAATACCACATATCCGACAGCAGCTTCTCCCGACAATTGCCAACAGTGATACTGTTCCAGAATGGCAAAGAAGTTGAACGTCGTCCTACAGTTAGTGCTAATTCTAAACTACAAAAGTTTTTCTTTTCAACGGATAATGTACGCGCCGCTTTTGGTCTTAATAACCTCTACAAACAGAGCGTCGAGAATCCCATAAAGCAAGCAAAACCAATAAATGCAGCCGCTGCTGCCGCAATCAAGAAAGCACAATAAAGACAAGATTTATAGTAATGAAAACTACAACGCTGATGTGTTCGTCCTAAGCATTAATTTATGTTTTAGCTTAGTCAAAAGAAGTCTAGATTCTCTATTAATTCATAAAATTATCATTCAAGTCGTTTATTAATTTTAACATATTTGCACAATTGTTTGAACAAATTATAACCCAAATCTGCCATTAAGGTTTATGAGATTACAGTTGGTATTTCCAACCTAAGAAAAGGACTCACTTAAGAAGTACATTTAAATTGTAAAAAGAAATTACATAATTTGAAAAATTGTAATATATTATTTTTGTAAAAGTAGTACTTTTTTGTAAAAAAAACTATTGTAATTAAACATAACACTTCTCATTAAATGTTCTAAACCTTGTGCGTTTCAAGTTACAATCTAAATTAACTAAACCGTGGTTAACCCTTATATGTACGTACGTAATTAACAATAATTGTATATTTGTCGATTTTGTTGCGCAATTATAGTTTTATATAAAAATTTGGTATATTTAATTATTGACTTAAAATAGTTTTAAAAATAGTCCAAGATTTACATAAGAGGGTTAAGACATGTGAAAAATCACGTATGCATGCCATAATAGTTTTAAAACAACGATAATTCATTGAATGTTTTTGTTTTTTGTTATTTATGTATTTTTATTAAGGTATATTTTATTTATATTTTGTTGAAATTAAATAAAACTTGTTGCTATTTAAATAAAAAATAAATTTGATTTAATCATTTATTTCTGGTATACGTAAAGCTAAATATATTGATAACTCTTAAGATCATTTAAGTAGCCGTCGTTACTAGACACCATCTAATCGGCAAGTTGCCCCAATTATTTCACCAATAACCGATACTCTTTGCGGCCTTTGTCAACAGGAAGCATAATTAGATCCTAACTTATTGTGCAGATGCCAAGTCTCAGCAAAATGACTGGCTAAAACTATTGGAATATTATTTTTTTGAGAGCCCCAAAGAACTGTTAGAAATTATTATCTAGCACACAACTCAAACATTTTTTAAATGGACCTATTGGCCTTTTACATGGAATTTATCGCTGATTGACCAAAGTAACGGTATAAATTCTTAAAATTATATTTTCTTTATAAAGTGATATTTTTGACATTGAATATATAATTGCACATAAAAACTTTTTTAACGCACCCATGTTTATTTATAACGTAATAAATATTGACAATTAGTACACTTAAAAACCGTATTAAATGTAATTCTTGTTATATTTATAAAACAGCAGTTCAGAATTTACTACATTACTTATTAAAATTTCAATGTATTCAATGTTTTTATATTAATTACAATAAAGTAATAGTTTCCAAAGAAAATGGTACAAAATTAGAGATGACTCTTCTCCCCAAAAAGCTAAATTTACACACTGAAACTAGGTTGTTTGCTTTCACTATCTATCGAGAAAAACGGTTTATTCTAGTAGTCAAAAGAAATTTTTTACCTAACAATTGTTTTTGCAAAAAATTACAACTAGTTATCTTAAAGACTGACTAAAGAAAAACTGCGATTTAGAAGCATAATTTTTTTGGCAAATAATGATTTTAATAATTATAATTAGATATTCGCCTCGTTAATGCGACATTCAAAACTCACGCTTCTTAAAACCACTTTTAATTGACTAAAAAGAGTTAAAGATTAATTTTAATGAGAAGCATGCCTCTTAAGTGAACATCTCAAAATTAGTTTAAAGATTTAAGTGCCACCTGTCAACTGATAATCTCAAAAGAACTTTGAATTTTTGTCCGTTCAAGCTCTTAAAACTATTTTAAAAAACGGTGATAAAATGAATTCCAAGACTCTCATAGCTGTAGCAATGAATATAGAAAAAAATAACTAAAAGACAGTTTACAAAAATGATTAAAATTAAGTTTTAATTTAAATGATTAAAAATAATAAAAAACTTCGGATTGGCAATTTAAAATAAGATTAAAGCTATTGAGACAAAATAGTTTTTGTGACTGCATGTTCTTTTCGGGTATTTTTTTCTTAACATTCCTTTATTTTCATAAATATTGACTTACTAATTTGTACTTACTCACTTTACGATTTTTTTGTTTTATTCGACCAAAAAATCCATTCTGCGTTTAACCCAAATAAGTCAGAAATAGCCTACATATAATATGTAAACAAAATAATTAATAACTAAGGCTACAATATATCTCTACATTCCATTCAGTTATTAATAACAGAGTTTAGGGATAAAGTATAATATCTAAGGACTTAACAGTTAGTAATTTAAAAAAAAAATTTACTAATAATATCATTCGCCTTTTAAAATAAAATTCAAAAAATAATTAAATTTGATTTATATTATATTATTAAAAAATAATAATTATTATTTGTTCTTTACTTTTCCATACACCAATAAATCGTACATTCTGCTTTTATTTTAAAATACAAAAATAATTATTATTTTTGCTTAACATCGAAAAATGCAAAAATAACTGTTATTTTTTATTTTCTCTTACTTATTCTTAAAAACCAAATATAAGTTGCAAACCAAGCGTTTTATTTTTAAATTGCACACATGATGTTTTATTTTAACCTTCGTTATTAAAAATGGCAAAAAGCTTTCTAAAATAAAAGCAGAGTATATGAGTCCTTTGTGCGTGGATAATGAAAGGCAAAATATAATAATTTTTTTCAATAAATAAAATATAAATTAAATTTAATCCAATCCAATTTGGTTTAGCATCAACTTAGCCTAACTCGCACACGTTCTAAGTTAATTTCGAAAGTGTTTATGCTGCTCCAAATTAAGGAAATCGTATGTATTTTGTTTACAAATCGAATGTTAAAAATTACATGATGCAAACACCATGTGTATCTAGGAAATTTTAAAAATTGATTATTATAACTATAAAGGATGGCACTCAGTAGTTTTATTAGCTTTAGTGGATTTCAGGATTTTTTACTCTATATTCAAATTTAAAAATTTGCACTTTTTCGTTATCTTAACTTTATCTTTTGCTTAAAATTTATCTTACGCATAGTTGCATTTGAAATATATCTTAATTTAAGCCTTCGTTTCAACGAAATTAAGGCCATTTTCCTTAATTTCGTTCTAACCTCAAAACTGAATTTTGTAAGGAAAAATCAACTTAATTTTGTTAAAACGAAGATGAAATTAAGATTTTTGCGAAATTAAGGTGTGTCTAAACATAGTATTAGATAACTTTATGTTGTTTCTATATATCTTAAAAATTTTTGTAATACTTATAATTTTTGTTCCCTGATAATATTTTATATATTGCTTTCATTAATTGTATAAATCTGCATATATATAAAAATAGTCCCCAATAATAGAATAGCAACAGAAAAATACAGTTTGATTATGACTTAAAAGAACCTAAAATTGTCCTAACCATATATCATATGTGTACTGTCAGTACAACATAGCCCAAGGCGATGAAAAAAAAATTATTTTTGTAATGTGTTTTAAAATACAAATGGATTAATATATAGATATCAATCTGTACTTTGAATTCAACAAAGATTCAAAAAACAAATTGTATAAATTATACACCAGCCATAAAGTGGACTGACACACAGCAGTAAGCACTAAATATGCACGCAATGTATTCGAAAATGATAATAAGTTACATAAAACAATCTTACTATCTTGTTATTTACAAGTATTAATATAAAATTAGTAATTTACAAATAACAAAATTTTTGATATTTGTATAAATAGCGCATTTTTATATACTCTTCGTGTTTTCAATTTTAAACAAATTTTGAAAGTATGCTCTTTTGTAAAAGAAACGCAGCCAAGTTAACGTTTGACTGTCAAAATCGTAATAATATGTCAAAAAATTCTCTTTTGTGTCGTTTCAACTTCCTTCACAGGCTTGTGCTCTTTCTTTTTACACCAATATGGCTGATCAGGTAAGACGTGAAATTCTGTGATTAAATTAACAATTTATTGTTTAAAATCTAAAAACGCAAATGTGAAATGTGAAAAGAAAAAAATTTATAAAGTAAATTTTAAACTTTATCTAAAATTTAAATAATCTGACTCAAATGAAAAGAAATTAATAAAGTTTTGTGAGATTAATGGTGTTCTACCACGCGGTGCAATAATTTAATTTAAACAAAAATCGTAAATAATTTGCGGAATTTATAAGTACTTAATTTAAAGTGTATTGATTAAAAATTTTACGGAATTATATATTTTGTACAAACTAAAATAAAAGTTTTAAATTTATAATTTAATATGTACCATAACCTCACTTTCATGTTTTATTTTTGCTAATTTTGAGTAGAGCGAACGTTCATATCGTAAACAATTCTCAATGCCCGTCGCACGCAAAAAGGCACTAAATGCCAAAAAGAAGCCAAGACTTTATCGGAATATTGGCTTAGGTTTCAAAACACCAACTGAGGTAAGATATATGCGCAGACCAAACTAATCGAATTTTTCTTTTATTTGCATGTATTTGCCCCCCTGTAAACAAAACATGGACACAATATCCTGCATTTATCCTATTTTAACACACTAAAATACCAACCAACTATCCAACACAAAAACAAAAAAATATCAAGAACGAGAGGGCTTTCCAAAAACAATTTGGAATCAACCTAAACAGAAAACTGAAACCTGGCGTGACTAAGAAGAAGGTTCTTCGCCGCCACCGCGATATTGGCTTAGGTTTCAAAACTCCACGTGAAGTAAGTTAAAAAGTTTTAATTTATCTGTTTTTATATTACTAACATAAATGCGAACTAAATATTTTTTTATATATTAAGTTTTCATTTTCACACAACAAATTTAGTACTTAGGAAAATATCTTAGAACACCCATTGAGTATATACGAAATAATTTATTTAGTACTTTTTAGTCAGTAGTAAATATTATTTTTACATTTACATATAATAATTGCAGTTAGGACATTTAATATTTAGTTTTTTTTTAATAATAACATGGATATAATGTTATAACTTATTCAATGGACCTGCTTGTTAGGTTCCTGTTGGGAGCAGTTGCACCAAATTTTCGCCTCTGGGATGGGATTAACTCCGAATATAACCTTTTTGTCTTTGAGCAGTTACGTTAATATGAAGACTAATCAAGTGTAGATTTTGACAACATTCAAACATAAATTCAATATTTTGAAATAGATTTATATTATTCAGTTTGATTTATTTATACGCACTATATTTTTTAATATATTCATATTGTTTTTTTTATATTTTTTAAATGATTTCATTTTTTGATTCCTAATTTAAAGGCTATTGATGGTACCTACATTGACAAAAAATGCCCTTTCACCGGCAACGTGAGAATTCGTGGCCGTATCTTAACTGGTGCCGTACGCAAATGCAAAATGCAACGTACCATTGTCATCCGTCGTGACTATTTGCATTTTGTCCGCAAATACAGTCGTTTTGAGAAACGTCATCGCAACATGAGTGTACACTGTTCACCATGCTTCAGGTAAATATAATGAAAGCATTTATGCACACTATATCTTTGTTAGCACATAATGGTAGTGCTACATTCCTATAATGATGACAAAATCATGACGGTCTTCATAAACATAATTGCCGAAAAATCTTGATAACTAAATTTAAAGAACTGAATTTACAACTAATAATTTATATTTCATAAATTGCTTATATTAACTTAACAATAACTTAATTTATATTTTTCATTTGCAGAGACGTCGAAATTGGCGATATTGTCACAATTGGTGAATGCCGCCCGCTATCTAAAACAGTGCGCTTCAATGTGCTTAAAGTTAGCAAAGGCCAAGGCGCAAAGAAGAGTTTCAAAAAATTCTAAATGAAATTCATTTATTATCTTTAAATATAATAAAAAATTTTAATATAATAATTTTTAGTTTTTTCTTAGTATCCGTTCATTTTCAGTTCTAAGGTTTCAGATAGAGATATTGGCAGTGTTGTATCAGGTAAGCAAACTTTAAATTTAAATATTAATATTAATATTGTTTCAATCCAAATTTATTTACAATGATGATAAAATCATGACGGTCTTCGTAAACATAATTGCCGAAAAGACTTGATAACTAAACCCATTTTACTGATTCGTAAATATATTGAGACACTATTATGCAATACAAATTTAAATAGTTTTTTTTCATGAAATATTTTAATTTATTACTTTTTTTTCCTTCACAGATTTCCTCTTGCAATAATTTGGGGTTGTTGTTTTTGTAATCAGTAGGGATCTGTAAAACAGATAACAGGAAAGAAATACCAAGACGCATACATGGATTAGAATGGGAATGGTTGTTTGAGGTGGAGGGAGGGGGGGGGGATTATTTGTGAGAATGATTTAGGATCTTCTATTTTACTGATAAAATTCTATAAATATTGAGGTTTTGATAAAAAGGCATTTAAATTGTACGAACAACAAAAACACTTTAAATAAATGTTTTAATTATTTACTAAATATTGTCTATTTATTTTTGTTTACATATGAGGCGTGATTAGAAAATAAAATTAATTTTTTGTAATAAGTAATTAAAGTACTCGCCTATGGTACTGCCATAGGTTCCAGTTGGACAAACCTGTTAAGGTATTATGTGCTTGCTATGCGATTTTGCGTTTATTTCATCTGTTACATAAAATCGTTGCTATTTGAATTTGGAAAATATAAGAAGTGGGAGGGTTATGCCTGGAGAATTTGGTAGTTCTGAGACCACAGTAATCTTATAATTCCCCACAACTAAATTGACAAAGGAGACGTAAACTGATTCTTGATTTTTATAAAGACATGCGAAGTTTGAAGTTTATGCCAATTTCAGAGCGTAGAGCTATTATTTACGTATGCAATTCACATTTACCTTAACGAACATAAACAAAGGTACGTGAAAGATACAGTGAATAATAAATATATATACAATGTTTTAATAAGTAAAACGGATAATCTTCAGTAGTGGTTATGAACCCTTGCATAAGCGTCAACATCGATAGTGATCAAAACCTGTTGAAAGGAAAAATGAAAAAAGGAATATCAAGAATGCAAGCATGGTATTCCAAGGGACTACAAGTTTTCAAAACAAAATCAATCAGCGATCAGTAAAGATGGGAAACCTTCGACCAAGAATGTGTAGACGTTATATATAATATAAATATAGCCAGGTAAAAAAAACTGCACAAACGGTAATACGGACACAAACATATAAGCGAAAATCAGAAAAACTGTATAGACACAAGAAAATAGAAGCGCTTATATAGGACATTGAAAATTTGAATAGTAAACAAAAGTTCATCATCCTTAAAAAACGATGAAATCACTTCCCTATCACCGGAAATGGATAGTTGATCATGGTTACTACTTTGCTTTCAAAAGGTTTTAATTCTTACCCAAACTCTCACTGTGCATAGTTCACTACCAAGTCGGTTTGCTTAAGTCGATGGAATACAAACCTCAGAGAAATCTACCGAATAAGAGAAAGTACAAGTAAGTTGCCATCAACTTTATCGGTTCCACCATATTCCAAGAATGCAATATTCACGATTTCGCATGAGATTTGAAAACAACATTATTGAGCACACAAAATTCAACCTTGCCAAGGGGATAAAAGAAGCACGTACATATCTGTATCTATATAAATAGATTAGTTTGAAAGTTTTCTTCGAGAACCGCTGTGTACTGTTATTATATAATGCTCTGCAATGTACTTGATCAAACAACAATCAATGGCAATAATCAATCTAAAGATGCGATTTGTACTTATGACTACGAAAAGATGCAGCTCATCAGTATAACAAAGCTGAGACAGCCAACTAATTTGAAAGATCGCCACAGCCTCTACTAGGAATCAGATGATACCTTTAATCACATTCTTTATGACTGTCCAGCTTTGAACTGAGCCATGAGGAAAATACCAAATAAAGTAATGCTCTCTTATTAGTTCAATCACTATTGAACCTAATATTAGCATGAATATTAGGTTCAATAATGATGGAACTGTTTTTTGAAGTACTGACCTAAAACGAAAATGTCAGCCAACACTAACATTTTAGTTTCGTGGTTCGCATGGACGGAGGATATCATGTTAAGGAAGTCAAAGGAATATATTATCTCTTTTTTAATGTTAAGTCTACAAATATATTAATTTGCTTCGATTTGTCTTATCATATTTATTACCAATGAAAATTATTTAATATATTTATTAAGTGCATCACTGTGAAGGTTGGCTTAGTGACTAATAAGTAGGTGCTACAAATATAATCGGCACTTCAAATCAACGAGAATTCTGAGTATTCATTCTCAGCGTTTAACATAAATCTTTCTAGCAGAGGTGAACAAAGCAAATAGGGAGTCTCTAGGGACTGAGCCCCCTGCGAGCTTCGCTCGCCAACTGCCGTTATATTCTTACGCACGTAAAGCATTAAATATTGGCGTTTAGTTTTATTTTTTTGATACAAATCATGTTATTTATGTTTTTGTGGATTTTGATTTTCTGTTAAATGTTCTACACGTTTTCGTTTTCCATTGTGTCCAAACTTAACTCTTCGGTACGTTTGGGAGCATTAATACGACCTTAACTTTTTGCATTTGACTTTAGTACTTGTAAACATCAGTTAAATTCAGACGTAAAAGATCTATTATTTCAATATTTTGTTTTTGTAATAATAAAAATAACCCTGCACAGCAGTGCGAACATGATGATAATGACGTCACAAATGTACGGCTGTACATATTACTTATTAGAGCGAAAAAAAAGAACTACTCTGAAGTGGGAGAATGATGGCGTCATAAATTTTTATAACAGAAAGATAAGTAATAGTCCAAAAAGAATAAAAGCGTTTAAAGACCTTCTAAAACATGGTTTCCAAACTAAACTGTCATCTTCTTCCCCTAATTCTAAACTGCAATTTGAGAATGTGATGTCTTATTTATGTAATAAATAATAAATAATAAATAATAAATAATAAATAACCTATCTTAAACTGACTAGAATAATCGTATGAACTGGGCTAGCCAAAACGTCATGGTAAAGTTCAGTATTGTGGAGATGGGAGTTTCTCCACTTCCTTCAGTCTATCCAAAATCATTAACAGCTCTTCGTGCTTTTGCTATCATTTTTGTCGTAGCTGTTATGCACTCATATGATATAGTGGCGATGTAGCTTCTGATCTGATCGCGTGCCTAAAATCTTGTAAAATAAAGGTAAGCACACAAATATAAACGCTGTATGTGGATTGTATTTAGTATTGGAAACTTTTAATAGAAGAGAATTATGAAAGTGATGTGCTCCTTATTCAATAACACTTTTAATGTTGTTCTAGTATGGAGAAATTGAAAATTTATGAACGTTCCGATTGACAATCTTTAGAATGACTTGGTTTTTAATAAAAATTGAAAATGAGGTTATCGAATATTTTACGAAGAATGCTAACCACGTAAGAAAACTGTGAGTTCTAATAGCAGAGAATTATTGATAGTATTTCCAAAACAATAAAAATTTTGTAGGTACAATTAAATAATCCATTAAAAAAAACCGTTAATAATTTTTTGTGTAAGGTTTCATAAGTTTTCTACAGACTTCTCCTTCAGTAGTCTATTTGTATCTTGTCGTATTTATATATCTATAATTAGTGTCATTTCTTGTACAAAATAATTTCATCACACCAATTAGTTTGATGTTTTAAATGGACTATCATGATATTTGTGCGTGTGAATTTTTCTCACCTATGAAATATTGTATCAATGCCGGCTGTAACTGAGCACATATATTTTTCATAATGTTGATGTGTTTTCAACCTCCCCGAAATTATGGCAACAATTTGTTTACACAACAATCATGAAAATTGATTGAGTTTACGTGTCGTTATTACGTTATTAGGCAGGATACGGCCTGTGCTTAGCCATACATATGCATGCATGTCGGTCAATTGGTCACCGTGCGAGCAGTCGGTATATATATACGCCTTTTATCACCAGGGAGACAACCAAAAGCAAAACGCAACACAACACCCAATCGTTTTCAGTACGTACCGGAAAAGGATTGTTCATATGTTGCATTTACCATATAAAACCATTATTAATTAAAAAGCGATATACACACATATGTACACTATGCAGAACATACATATAACACATATAAAAGTATATATATATTTAACAAATAATAACAATAATTAATTATTGCTCAATATGAGTGAGCTCAGTTTTTAGCTTCGATTTTCTAATTTTTTAGAGACTTCAGTCGGTGTTCGGTCCTTCACGTGGAAAAACGGAATTGGGAAACGGATTTTTTTTTAAATATTTTAGAAAAACCAAAAATTATCAAATGTTTGATTTAAATAATGAGTAATGTAAAAAAATTCTTAGTATTTCCAACAGCGCTCTTTGTATTACAATTGATAATTATAAACTATAAGTACGTGGCAGCTCAGACAAGTCAGAATATTAATGTCTGTAAGTATACACGAATATAATTATCAATATAATTGAACTTCTTATAGCATTGGACTTGCTGTGATTAAGTATATAAAAAGTATATACTTTAATTACTTATAAGTACTTATAGTACCAAAAATACATTAAATTTTACCAACATATTAGATAACGATGAGATCTGTTTTCTCGGAGCTATCTATTATTTGATTCTATTTTTAAATTTTTGAACTAAGAAAATTTTATTTTCTTTTTGTATTTAAAGAAGTTATTTATATTTGAAGGAATTTCTTTTTATTTTAATATATGATATTTTTAAAGTGACCAATTGTCCCTACTTTATCTCATCATAAAATACAATGTAGCGAATCCATAAAAAAATAATATTTCGGTTCTCCAAAATCTTTGTAAAACTATCTGAATGAGTTATGGAGTTTTTTGCAAAATATTTATTGGCAGGAACCTTCAAATATAAACCATACTTTTTAAAAAAAAAGTACTTGTTGTGGGATCATTTATTGGCAATTACTTGCTTTGGGGTTGGGCAGATCCCTCATATTGGAAAGAATAAAAGCGGAGTTACTGTGTTTAAAGTAAAAATATATTTATTTTATAGGTACAAAAATAAGGATGACACAAACAGTAAAAATAGTTGAACCACACCGAACAACATGACTCCCTTATTTAAGTGAAAGTGCAACAATATAATAACTCTATAAATTTGACTAAGTTCCTAATTTTACAAGATGACTGCTCTTGCAGGTGGTAGGAAAAAGGATTCCAACGATTTTTGATCCTCAATTGATTAAAGATAGGTATTAATAAGGAAGGGAAAATACGGATTCCGACACTCTTTAGAGCCACAATCACATTAAAAGTCATTATAAGGTAGATCAAGTCTCATAATGTGTCTTCCTAGTACACAACCGACACCGTATTGCTGAGCAAGTACAGGTTAAGTTGTATATCTTGTATAGTTTTGGATCAAGTAGATCTTGATATCAGACAAATATTTTTATGTACTCAGGATTTTTAGTTTAGCGGTTGCAAGTGGGATACCAATGTCCGAGAAATTGATGTTAGAAAACAGAATGCCTTGCAATGTCCAGATACCCATATGAGTTGGACACTAACACGCCTAGCTAGCTCGCTAGAAAAACCGGTAATTCTCAAACTAATAAGGATGCAGTTGTTGCGCTTATCAGACATTTGATAACAGATTCGCTATCCAAGAAAATGACGATATTTACATCGGAGATCTGGTTAAATGAGATCCTCTTTGCTACATACTGAATCGTCTAAAACACACTTCTTGAACGCACCAAAATGAATCAAGGCATTGTATTTACGTTTGTGTATGTTCAGTATTAATATATCACGAATATTTAACAGTATAGACTTTTTTTTACATTTTTCAAATTATGGAAAAGCTCTTTCAGACGTAAAGTTGGTTACGGACCTACCGAATATAAAATTCAAAAAAGACCCAGACCTTCGTGTAATTGAATATATTTTTTGAAAAAACTTTTGCCAAAAACCGTTGGTATTTATATAGTTAAATTTTTTTCAAGTAGGAATTTCCTTTTAGATACTATATCTGGCATTTTCGGAAGAGAAGAAGAATATGTGTTTGAGAACGAAAGCATACTCTCAAAATAAATATTAAATTTCCAATGTCAAATCAAAGTATATGAAAGGATTTTTCGGTAAAAACATATTGCTATCAACATTAATTAATATAAATATTATCGTATATTTAATTCTTAATTATTTCACTAATACGAAGCATGCGCAGTAACTGAAACTCCTTCGATAAAAGCAAGTTTTAACACGCATCTATGCCACAAACTTGAATACATTTAAAGCTGTGACAAGATTGACGTGTTCTTATCTATGGACGCAAATCTGTAAACATTTTTAGTTACCATCAATGCATTTTTCTATTAAAAAATCAATATTCGAATCGTACTGCACGAAAGTAACATGTTAACATTGAAATTATTTCCACATGTGTGTTCATGTGCTCATGGACATAATGTCCTACGAAAAATACTGCAGATGCATACTCATATATATTTATACATTGTAGGACATTGGGACAGCGCACTGTCCAACAAGTAGCCCTTCTGAAGTGAACGATTAGCCGACATAGACCACAAAAGGACTTAGGTTCTTTTTCATGCTTCGATTCTTGGGTGTCGTTATGAGTTAAAGCTAAAGTGGCTTCCGTTCGCATAACCACATCGCTTGTTAATGCAAGCTGCTAATTTAGCTTGAGATCGCCTGCCAAGTCATCACCAACCCAATCGTGTCCCAAGACAGTCTTCCTTCTGCTTGCCAGTGCTAGACATTGGCACAATATATGCACCGCTGTCTCCTTTTCTTCTAGAAATAATCTACAAGTGTCTTTCTCAGCAAGAGTTATCTTTTTGAGGTGATACTTGAAGTTTCCATGTCCCTTAATCAATATGGTCCCGCCAGCTTAGGGTGCTCCGCGAATAGTTAAGCACTTATGCTGGCGCATAAAAAGACCGATTTTATATTATTTCTCTAGAAGTAGCAAAACTTCTGAAATAGCATTTTATTCTTAATCTTGCCTTATAATGTATACCACAATGATTAAAGGTAACGCTAAAGAAATTAAGTCCAATTGATGATCTTGCGTATGATCTTGCTCACTAGTTCACATAGATATTTTTTGGGATTACATGGTGATTGAATTTTTTTCTTAACAAATTGATTATGCTGCCGGATTTATGGCAAGTTGTCCTGATTGAAATCATCATCATAATCAAAATCATCTACATTTATGCAATGAATCTATTAATTATTAATTATAAATCTATTAATTATTGTGTTCCTCCAGTACACCTTTCCATTTTTGTAGCTTTAAGCTCGTATTTATATAGCTTGATGCATAAGTGGGTGTTCGATAAAAATTTTGACTAATGCAGTACCATATTCACATAGTGCATATATGGTTTCATAGAGACTAAAATGTAATTTTGTGTCCTCTTTCTCCTCTGTTCCCGTCAAATTCAAGGTAAAGTAAAGCAGAACTATTCTAGAACTTATGTTACGAGTTCGAGTTAATGGGAAAAAGACGTTCTTTGCATGACGTTTCGTTAAAAATTAAACCGACGAGGCGACACTGGCGATGGTACTGTATTTGGTTATCATCTTTGGAAACTGTTTTCTGGAGGATTTCAACTTCAAACACAAATTTGTGCTTTTGACAAATCCAGTAGTTTTTTTGTCCCTAAAAGGTTGGGTTTTTCGTTATAAGCATTAAACGAAAGTAGATAGTGTCTCGTTACGAGCCATGAGTTAAGGTCGGCTTTTTGTAACAGTAGTTGGCAAGAATTTGTTGCATTGAGTCATCTCTAAAGTATTTTGCTCCATCGAATTCGAAAGTTATAATAAAAAAATCTATAGAGCGGGTTCTGAGATATTGGCATATATTAAGATAATCACCTTCAAATAAGAGAATCTATGTCAAGTTTTATTCCATACATACCATACATACCATTAAACAGAAGTTAATAGCGTATGGAATATATTTGTACCTCAATTGTACCTCAAGTGCTTAGGGTTATGAGCAAATTTTTTTGTGTGCTTACAAATTTTATTACGGGTGTAAATAATTTAATACTGTACTTTTCAGTATTTATAAATGAAGTCGATAACGAACCAGCCGCAAAAGCTGTCGAAGTTGTTTTGACCTATTTGAAAAAAAATCCCAACTATGGCATTTCGATCCAGCTTGATCAAGTCGAAGCCAATAAAACGGATGCTAAAATACTTTTGGAAGCAAGTATGAATTACAAACTAAAAACCTTGTTCTTAAGAATTCTAAGAGAAGTTACATTATATTTTTGAACTTTTTCTTCTTATTAGTTTGCACCAAGTATGCAGAAAGTATTGAAAAGAAGCAGCCGCCGCATGTCGTATTCGATACTACTAAATCTGGAATAGCTTCAGAAACTGTCAAATCATTTACACAAGCACTCGGATTGCCTACGGTTAGTGCATCTTACGGTCAAGAGGGCGATTTAAGACAATGGCGTGACATGGAAGAGAATAAACAGAAATACTTATTACAAGTAATGCCTCCAGCGGATCTGATTCCAGAGGTTGTACGTAGTATTGTGCGAAAAATGAATATCACAAATGCAGCAATACTTTACGATGATACATTCGTCATGGATCATAAGTATAAGTCGTTATTGCAAAATATACAGACACGTCACGTCATCACTGCTATTGCTAAAGATGGTAAAAGGGAACGTGAGGAGCAAATTGAAAAACTACGCAATTTAGATATCAATAATTTCTTCATATTGGGAAATTTACAGTCTATACGTATGGTTTTAGGTATTGAATGTAAAAACTTTGTGTGTAAAGTATAATATAATATGTGTAACATAAAGCTATGTATATTTAATTTAAAATATATTTTGTCTAAAATTTAATATTATACATTTACTATCTGATTCATAGAATCGGTGAAGCCGGCATATTTTGAACGAAATTTTGCTTGGCATGCTATAACACAAAGTGAGGGGGAAGTGCGCAGTCAACGTGATAACGCCACTATTATGTTTCTTAAACCCATGGCATACACCAAAAATCGTGATCGCTTAGGTTTGTTGAAGACCACATTTAATCTCAACGAAGAGCCACAGATATCTTCTGCGTTCTATTTCGATTTGGCGCTGAGGACATTTCAGGCAATAAAGTAAATAACAAAATTTTATAGTAGTCTATGAAAAGAATATACATATTAATTTTAAAAGGGAAATGTTGCAATCTGGAGCCTGGACGAAGAATATGGAATATTTGGCATGCGACGATTATCAAGGAGGTAACACTCCAGAGAGAAATCTTGATCTGAAACAATATTTTATACAAGTAAGAAAAACTCGGATCACAACTGGAAATTCCATTCATAATCTTCTTTGAATTATTTCCTGTACATTATATAATAATTTATTTACTCATTTAAACGTGTAATATACTTAAATATTTATAACGTATTGTCTGCAACTTTTGATTTAATTAAATATTTATAATAATTTGTTTTATATAATTAAAGGTGAATGAAGCCACTTCTTATGGCACATTTGAATTGGTCACGCAACCTGGTAAACCCTTTAATGGCTTTAGTTACATGAAATTCGACATGGATATTAATGTGCTGCAAATACGGGGTGGTAACTCTGTTAATACTAAATCAATAGGCACATGGACGGCTGGCTTGGATTCACCATTGGTTGTTAAAGATGAAGAAATAATGAAAAATCTTACAGCAGACACTGTATATCGAATATTTACTGTCGTGGTAGGTATAATTCAAATATTTAAAAATTATTGAAGAAGAAAGCCAAATATCATCTAATAAGTATTTAACATACATTATTTGATTCTACAATTAATATGTATTAAGAACCATAATCACCTATCAGAAAAGTTTAAAAAAAATTATGGATTATGTCCTCAAGACTGTTTTCCTTTAATTATATTGAAGCTGAGAATATTTAATCTCTAACCGAATAATAGAGCAATAGTACAAGCAATCCATTTTATGCTTAAATCTACAAAACTTAATTTCTAATCTAACAAGTAACACACAGATAATAACATCGCCACTCTACCACACAAATAATATACAGATAAAGACATGATCACTCCTCGATACATAAAATTATGAGTCTCTTCCTCTGATTGTTTCCATCAACAAAACCGTTTCTTTATTATATTAACCTCATTATTCAAGTAATTAAAATACTATAATCGTTCGTTTATATTTTTTTTTCAAATATGAATATGTAGTGTCAATATGCAGATCTATTCTATTTGGGCAGATCTATCACACTAAGAATATTAGTAAATGTAGTAAATATTAGTAAATGATGTACCTAATATGTTAGATTGGTACCCAAATGCAGTAAGAAATTAATTTTGATGTGCCATTTCAGCAACCACCATTCATAATTAAAGATGAAACCGCTCCAAAAGGATATAAAGGATATTGTATCGATTTAATTAATGAAATTGCAAAAATTGTACATTTCGACTATACAATTCAGGAAGTGGAGGATGGTAAATTCGGAAATATGGATGAAAATGGTGAATGGAATGGAATTGTTAAGAAATTAATAGACAAGCAAGCAGATATCGGCTTGGGTTCAATGTCTGTAATGGCAGAACGTGAAATTGTCATTGACTTCACGGTACCATATTATGATTTGGTAGGAATAACTATAATGATGCAGCGACCCAGCACACCAAGTTCATTATTCAAATTTCTCACCGTACTGGAGACCAATGTTTGGCTTTGTATACTGGCAGCGTACTTCTTTACCAGTTTTCTTATGTGGGTCTTTGATCGTTGGAGCCCCTACAGTTACCAAAACAATCGCGAAAAATACAAAGATGACGATGAGAAACGAGAATTCAATTTAAAAGAATGCCTCTGGTTTTGCATGACGTCACTCACACCGCAGGGAGGTGGTGAAGCACCCAAAAATTTATCTGGTCGTTTAGTTGCTGCAACTTGGTGGCTTTTTGGGTAAGCATTATTTCAAAAACTCCGTGTCTGTGTTTATTTCATATTCTTTTCTCACACTAATTGTTTTAGATTCATAATAATTGCGTCGTACACTGCTAATTTGGCCGCCTTCTTAACTGTTTCACGCTTGGATACGCCAGTGGAGTCTCTAGATGATCTAGCAAAGCAGTATAAAATTTTGTATGCACCTCTCAACGGTTCCTCAGCAATGACTTATTTCGAGCGCATGGCTGATATCGAACAGATGTTTTACGAAATATGGAAGGATTTGTCTTTAAATGATTCTATGACACCTCTGCAACGTTCTAAATTAGCTGTGTGGGACTATCCTGTTAGCGATAAATATACTAAAATGTGGCAAGCAATGCAAGAAGCTGGTCTACCTGCGACACTGGAAGAGGCTGTCACACGAGTACGTAACTCCACTACTGCAACTGGTTTTGCATTTCTAGGTGATGCTACCGACATACGTTACTTGGTCATGACAAATTGTGATCTGCAAGTGGTCGGAGAGGAGTTTTCGCGAAAACCATATGCAATCGCTGTGCAACAAGGCTCCCATTTAAAAGATCAATTCAATAATGCGTAATATTACATATGATAAAATTTGCAAATTAATTAACGTTTAACATAATTATGTTTCTGATATATATTTTTTACTTCTTGTTTAGTATCTTAACTCTACTTAACAAGCGACAATTGGAAAAACTCAAAGAAATATGGTGGAAAAATGATGAGGCTCAAGCAAAATGTGATAAACCAGAAGATCAGTCGGACGGCATTTCTATACAAAATATCGGTGGAGTATTCATTGTCATCTTTGTCGGCATAGGTATGGCATGCATTACTCTAGTCTTTGAATATTGGTGGTACAAATATCGTAAGAATCCACGTATCATCGATGTTGCCGAGGCAAGTGCTCCAACAAAAGAAGCTAAAATGGTCGAAGGTATTATTTTAGGTCATTCTGGAAAAGAATATGAAAAGGCTAATGTTGCTCTTCGCCCACGCTTTAATCAGTATCCGGCTACATTTAAGCCAAGGTTCTAAAAAGGAACCAAAATTTAATTTTTAATACTACATCTTTACTATGAACAAATTCAGTTTTTGCACTCGCATTAAAAAAATTTGTATTAATGATGTCAGCGCACAAATTTTGACAAAAAATTTTCAAATAAAATAAAAAAAAAAATTTTAAAATAAGATATTAGTTAATATATTTGACTCCCAGTCAAAAATAATCACTATTAAACTGATCTTTCAACAACTACTTTTCTGAGAGTGAAATTCTTTTTAAGATGAAGGGTCCAGCTGAGAACAATCGTACAGTGGCAATGAGTACAATAGTCTTTTGTATGTAGAGCTTATCGTTATTGGACCTTATGCCAATGTTCAGTTCGTTACCATATATTTAATACCTTATTTAGCATACATTGTATTTAGCTTTTAACCAATTAAAATCACCTCTTAGGAACGAATGGAAGCATGCATGGAGGCGAAGCATGCAGACGGAAAAACTATTGGCGGAGAAATTGCGATAAAAGTCTGGAAGGCAAAAAAATTCATATACTTATCAAATCAATAAGAGGACGGACAGACAGTATCATACGCTCTGAATGATGACGATATATATCACCGCGACAGCAAATTTTATGTTAATATATTTTATATATATGTCTAACCGCTTATAGATCCGCATCAATTAATATGTCTGTCAGCCGGCATTCGATTCATATCAATTAGATAAGGTTAGACTTTACATTTTTAATGAACAATCTCTACACCATAAATGTGTGAGTAAGATTTTATTACATTATAAAAGCAAGGCTCAGTAAAATTTTTCTAGAAAAATTTGTGGTAATATATAAATCAGATATTTTTAATTTAAAACAAGAAAACAACAATAAGTCATGATATAAGTTATATATCATATAAGTTCTTGCCTGTTAGAATTACGTGTTTTGACTAATTATGCCTATCTTCACAATTATTTAAACAAAATAGACCTTCCACAGATGTTGAAACTACTGAACATCTGAAAATTCAACCTTAGACGATATGCCTAAAAGCCACTGGCCAGTTGAACTTATTGTGGACGGGGACACAAAAAAAAAGCAAAAGCTATGTGACCATAAATAACCGGAGAGGCAAAATTATACTTACTTAACAGTCAGAGGGCATTTGCTCAGTATTTATGTCTAGCCAAACTGTCTAATGAGTACGGAAAATATAGGTAGGAGGAAAAAAAAGAAACAATTGACCACTGCAAAACATTTTTAACGTTTTCTAAAAATTGACAAATTTTAAGTTGTGCCTCTTTTAAAGAGGGAATGCGATATGTTTGTAAACCGCTTGAGCGTTCGCTCTGTATGTGAGTACTGGCGTTTTTTTTTTGCAATAGGTTTAAGCATCGAAAGCCACCGCGTGAGACTTGAACTCACTAAACCACCTCTAAGGAATGAAAGGAGAAGATTTCCACAGCAATGAGAAAACTTCATTCCAGTAGACGAAGGAGAGAGAAGAAAGTGAAAAGACTTAACACCTACAAACTAGGTTCATCTAAGTCAGAAATCATGGGCATAAGATAGGGAAATTGGGAAGTAGTGATGGGGGTGAGGTAAGTATTGGCGTTAATGTTGTCTAACATTTGTAATACTAATTGTGGGCAGACGCTTCAATCAGTGATCTTCTCTTTACAGCATACCAATCAATACGATACAATCATACAGTACCAAACCATAATTCTTATAGGTAAATGCAGAAAAAAAATGAAGCACTACTGGTTTGGCACTGTGTTAGCCTTAAAGTTTATTATATTGATAGGCAAATGCAATTCTATATGTTATTTAGGAACCATAATTAATTTTATTAAGTTAAGGTGTTTTTATAATAATTTGTTATCGGGCTAATTGGTCAAATTTAAATATAAATAAAAAGACACTAATTTATTATTTATATTTAAAAATCGTTTATACTTTATTTCCGATATTTCGACTATCTTCGGTAGTCATCTTCAAGGAAAATAAGGTGTTAAGGTGTTTTAGTTAATATAACTTTAATTAATTAATTTAATTTAATTAATATAACTTTATTATATTTGTTGAGAGAAAGTGGGCATCACTGTTTTAAATATGCATGAACTACATATACATATACCTGACCTTACCAAGATTGACCAATCAATTTATTGCGTTCAGACTGTTGCCTTCTTTCCCACGCGCAACTGCGGGCAGTGCCAGCTGTTTTTTGCAAATATAGTGCACACAGCAAATCACAACACCGAAATCAAAAATCAATAACTGCATCGGCAGCGAATTGCAACATGTCGGTGGCATTGGTATTAATTTTTGGTGCACTAAGATTGACTTGTCCTGCAAATAATAACAGTAGTAATAATAATCTCAACGACAACATATACCATGACTTTCCACGCTTTTGGACTCATTCAGGTTTTTGCGCTGCAAACAACTCATCCGAAACTGCGTTTAGGCCCACTGAAGAAATAAAAATAAACTTGCATTACATATCAGCACTTCCGAGTGGAGCCGTAAAGACCATACGCATACACTGGCTATTGGAGTTGTTGGCCTTCCAAGAATACACTCCATCTGGAGTGCCTGTATATGATTTTACCAATTTGGATATGTTTTTGGAATTCTTAGATGAATTGGGCTTATATCCTGTAATTGAATTCATGGGCAATCCAAATGGAGTATTTTCTAAAAATCCACTTCATAATGAATTCTACTGGGAAAATCTTAGTTCACAAATTGTGCAACGTTATGCTGGTAAGTATATATGTACATATGTATACATACATACACATTGCCATAATATGGTGTATACATCAGATACATAAAAAATTTTTTATTTAGGTAAATATGGTCCCGCCAAGATATTAAAATGGCGCTTTGAATCTTGGAATGAGCCCGACTTAAGAAAATATAATAGACTTACTTTTAACTTCGAAGGTTAGTTGTTTTTCAAACAATTAACAAAAATTTCATCAAATATAAGCGACAAATATTTCAAAGATTATGTTACCTATGTATATGCACTGCGAAGAGGTTTAACATCAGCAGGTCAACGTTTAAACAACAGTATACACTTACCACTTCATGGCCCAGCTGGGTTATTTAGATCAACTTTGAACCATCCACTGTGTTGGAAAATTTTACAGCTCTGCAACGACAACATAAAAAATTGTCCGTTCGATACTATAACATACCACAGAAAAGGTCATGGAAAAGCTAGTGAAGTGTTGGAAGCATCCAGTTTGTTATTAAAAGAACTGGAAATAAATTTTCCACAAGTAGCCAAGCTACCAATAGCAAATAGGTAAGATATTCAAATTAAATTATATTGAATATAATTAAGTGTAATGCGTTGTACGAATGTTCAAATATCAGATAGTTTCAATTTTGCATACCTGAGCGCCTTCCTAGCTTTAAGATTAAAATATTCATTCCTAAAAAGTTGCTTTTACACATTCAGATCGCACTATGTAGTCAATAAATATGCTTCATAATTTCCATAATCCATAAACTGGTTCCTGTCGTAGTACGTATGAGCATAGACTTTCGGCACCGCAGGATTTTAAAGTCCTTCCTATCATAAATGGTGAAAATATGACTTTTCCGGTGACCTCGTGGTACACCGATGTTTCATAAAAATGAAGGAATCAAAAAGGAGTATGTTCTACTCTTGTCTAATTGGAGACTTATGCTATTGTGGTCTGCGCGCCTCAATCAAATCTTATTAAAAGGTTAAAAGGCGACAATGTCTGCATCTAACCAAATAGTTGAGCAATAATCGAAGTGTTGTGCCACATATTAAAAGCAATATTCAAAAATTCTGGTGGACTACTATCACATGCTGCTGTAAACAGTAAAAAAAATGGAAGCATTAATAAGTTAAAAGTAAAGTCTATGATAAAAAAAGGGATTTTTATTGGAAAGGGTTCACTATTGAAGAAAGGGTTCACTCTTACAACTACAATAAGACGTTTCTTCTATGTAAAACAGCACTGCAACTGCTGTTAATAATTTTAGATGAGTCTGTCTTAGAAGACAAAATATCAAAAGTAGAAGTGAACTCTAATCACATACTTTGTGATTGTTCGGTTTTTAGGGAAGTCGGCTTTATGTACTATAGAACTTGATCATCTTCATCCGTGACTATACAGTCCATGTAGGACCTTAGCCTGTTTAACAACAGTCTTCCATTCTTCTCTGTTTTTTGCTTTTGTTTTTCAATTTCTTATGTTCATTTCTTCTAAGTCCTGCTGCACACTGTTTTTCCATCGTTTTCTTGGTAGCCCTCTTTTTCTGCTAATTCCTACTTCGTTCTCATAAATCTTAAGCGATACTCTCATATCTGGCATTCTAATCATATGTCCAACCCATCTTAATCGCTACTTTTACATAAAATTGTTGATTGTATCACCTTCAGCTAGCCATATAGAACTGGATATAAGAAAAAAAAAATTAATTAAAATATTTGCAGTGAAGCGGATCCTATAGCAATTTGGTCGACACCACATGACTATTTAGCCGATGTACGTTATGCTGCCACACTCGTAACAATTGTATTGTTGCATTGGAGTGCCAAATTACAAAAAGCAGAATTCAAACAATTAAGTTATATTAGTCACGATAACGCCTTTATTAGCTATCATCCTTACGAATTTTCACAACGTACACTATTAGCGCATTTTCGTATGAATAATTCTCAACCCGTGTACTCGCAATTCATACAAAAGCCAGTATATTCCGCGCTAGGCATGCTGTCTAAGTTGGGTTCAATAGCAACTGATTTAGAATTTATTGCAGTAAATAATACTCCACAAATACAATTACTAAAAACAAAAGTTCCAGATAGCAGACTTTACCTCAGTTGGCTTATGTTACCAACTGAAAATGTCACTTCACTAGGTGACTTCATACTAAGGCGTCAAATGGGTCTTCAATTTTGTGAGCAAGGGAGATATGCATATTTAATTGAAATACTCGAGCAGAAACGTACTGATCCGGCTGCACTTTGGATAAAATTTGGCAAGCCTCCATATCCTAATGCCACAGTTCGAGAAACGCTGCGACACAGTCAAAATCCTTTTATATATGCCAATGGTATACTATCTAACGACACGATTGAAATTCATTTAGGTAAATTAGAACTGCCTTGGATTTTGCTATTACGGGTCTGCTCCAATTTAATACCGCAAGCAAAGCGACCACGGAATTTGATTGCAATTAGTATAACAAAAAATGAAGTAATGCTCACATGGAGAGAAAACAATACTAACAACATATCATGTATAAAAACTTATGAGGTTTGGCATCTTATTGACTTTAGTAAAGAATGGATCCATGTGTCGAAAGGTTGGCATTTACCTCATCTGTCGTTTCATTATGCGCCCACAAATATTAGCGTCGAAGGTGAGTCACTAATTGTGCATGGATTGTGCATGGAAAATATCACATATTTTTTACTAATGAAACACTCAATTTTAGGATTTTACAAAGTACGCAGTATCGATGCATTTAACAACAGCAGCGAATTCTCAGATATCGTCGAATATATCGAGATCTAAATAACCAAAAATCAAAACACACTATATACACAAATAAATTGCATTTAATTACAAATATACATAATCACACACACACTAAAAAGATATAGCGTAGATAGTGCAACTTATTATAATTATTTTTAGTGCATTAAGTTAATAGCAATTAAATTATACGAGTATGACTAAGTTCAAAACAATATTTGCAAGCAAACTAAGCACAAAATAAGAACAAAAAACTGTTATTCAAATGGCTAATAAATAACATACATATATTTTAAATACAAATGGTTACACATAGTGAGCTATATGCTCATTAAAAATAGAAAAATATTCAAATCACAAATCCGTTGCCCTACACTTTTCCAAAGTTTTTCCAAAGTACACAATTCATATATCTCGAGCTATGTTTTAAGCAAGCAGCCAGTTGGTATACTTGGTAAACTGCGGAAGGCAAAAATACAATAGAACTTAGAAATTAAGTAGTGTTTGCAATAGCAATGGTGTCAGCATCTTTAGTTTCCAGTTTCACAATTTGAACTGGAACTACGTCTATGCATCTAACATAAGCCACTTTTCATTAATATGCTCTATTTGCTTCGTAAGTATTGGATTCCGTACACGTAACTTTATTTCCAACTTGCCACCGACGGTTTTGCGCCCCTCCATTAACTATAGACACAAAAGAAAACATTTAAAATCATTTGAAATATGTGGTACACATACAGAAAAACATCATTACTTACATCGAATGTATCGTGGATGTCACATTTCGTCTCCAATGGTTGTAGCTTAACGTTAACCGTGCCGATGAGAATGTCTGAGCGCAGAAACCCGCTGAAACAACAGGATGGCAGTTTTCGACTTAATCCACAACAATCTATACTGCATCTATTTTTTTTTGTTTTTTGTTTTTTGTTTTTTGTTTTGTTTTTGTGTTTGCGTTTTTATATTTAAAATTAATTTGATTAAAGTCGCATTAATGCAAAATGCAGCAAGATCGTTAGAATTTAATGAAATTTATGTGTTAAATAAATCAATTTTTCATAGTAAGCAAATTATATAAAATATGAAATAATCGCAAAAATTAGTATTCAAAATATAAATATCAATCAAATTAACACAATTTTCATCATCTAAATGTAGTAGTATATTTGTCATTAATAATTAAATATGATAAACTTAAATAAACCTTCAAATTCTTGATGTAATAAGCAAATTTTCTTTTCTTTCAAGAGTGAAAAATCTAATCTAATCTAATGTTAGGAATATAAACTGAATCAAACTACAATACCGATAAATTGGAGATCAACTTTTCTGAGAACGCAAGAAGAATTTGTCAGGAAGAATTAAACATGTTTATTGTCATTGTTTCTTCCTCCTGGGCTGTTGACTAAATTCCAAGAAGTATATCATTATTTTACAATCTGAAAATTTTTTTGGGCTTTTATATATATATATACATATATATAAATATATTTATATATAGATCTTTTAAATACCTATATGAACACGGACTTGTTTTGAAGCAATCTATCAAGATGGTCACACTTCGAATTAGTTTTATTAAATTTGTTTCTTTAAATTTTATTAAAAATTCGAGAACATTCGTTCGTAGCTGTTAAAGATTTAATTACGAATATGAACCCAAACTCCACTTATAAATTTCCGTTATAATTTCCGATATAAAGCAAAGATATACTAACAATCTGACAATTAATGTATATATTATCTATCCAGTGTTAGCTCGCCTGAAGATCGCCAGTTATAGATCACAATAACGTCAGTGTAACACAGATATAATCTTAAAATAACGGTATTTATTGCAAATCAATCTGATAGCATGACTAATATAATTCATACTATATAATAAGTTTTAGTATATTTAGTAAAAGCGTACATTTTATAAAAAGAACCGATATTTGTTAAATGAAAACTTTATACCTTAAAACTAACAGGCACAAAAGAGGACACATTTCAGAGTCCTTCAATTTCTCTTCGAAACTTACATTAATTTTAGTATAATAGGATGTACACAGTTAATTTTTTACGAATTCAAATGCAATGCTAATAAAAAAAATATACACAAAATTTTAAAGTTAGTTTAAAAAATATGAAAGTTTTAAATAAATTCAGTGCTAGTAAGCATTAGTTTGCAGTAAAAAAAATACAAATGCATAATACACTAAATAGCAAAGAAAAAAAAATTTCTTACCCACGTGAGTATACTTCGAATTTAACCCCATGCCGCTTAAAAATTCGTTGAAATTGCCGATTATTTCTTTGTATATCCACTTTAAAACGTTGATCATAGTCCGGACTGTCGGTATCTTTTATCAATGTAGTTTTTGTCTTAAACATCTCATCCTGCAGTAAAAATTGTGAACGATGTTTCTAAAAGTAAGATACTAATTTCGATATCGTACTTACATTTAACAATGGAAATTCTATTTTAACATAGGTATCTACATCTTTCGGATTCGTTACATTATAGTTCATCCCACGTACAATAACGATTTCTAATTCGCAATCGGTTAAATCAGTGTTGCAGTGGACAATATTGAAGCTACGTTTTTCGTAGTGAAATTTTGGTAGTGGAAAATTTTTGCGTTTAGAATAACGTACTAAATCCAAATCTTTCTGCACAGTAACTGCTAGGTTTTCAAATCGATTCATACCAGCAACATCTCCCATTGCTTTATGGTGGTCTCTTTAAATATTGAGTATTTAATATGAACATCAAATGGTACGAAAAGCATAATCTGAACGACATACCGTGTATTTTTACACATCATTAACTGTTTCACCAATTGTTCTTCAATGCGCATACCAATATCTGAAATATCTTCATCGGGATCACATTCATCTGTAGTTACTATTGCGAAGGATGCTTCGAGATTTTCACGCTGAGAGGGTGGCAATGGCAGCTGAAAGATTAATATGCGTGCAATTACTATTAGTCTAATTTAATATTTAAAATACGTACTGTGTTTAGATCTACAGGCAAACCACTACTAGCAGCATTTAATAATTTTTCAAAACCTTTAAATATTTTCAGATACTCCTTAGCTTGTTCCAGTTCACCTGCTTTCTTTGCCTCAATTGCAGCTACTTTGAACTCATTTTGTCGCTCCAGCAGCGTTTTCATTTGTTGTTCAGCTAAATTATTTTTCTGCTGATTGCCTGAAGTGCGAGTAGTCAACTCTTGTTTCTGTGGGGAAGGTCTTTTAGGTGCTGTACTAGGCGAAGTAGTCGGTGTTGTGTGTATAGAAGACGACGAAGGCGATGGTGTTGTTGGTTTAGATGGTGGTGGTAATACGGTTGCGGAAGGTGCTCCATTTTCCGTAGGTAATGGACCAAACCCGGGTGGGATTGGTAACTCATCAAATGCTACCACGCGTCCAGATTTATATTGTTTAATAGCATCTTCGTATTGTTTCACGATACGGCCGAAACGACGGGACTTACTTGCATTACCTTCAGTTTTAGCTGATTCTTCAACGGCTTTATATTTGTCCAAGCGCTGCTGCAAAGCTTCCAGCATTGTAACAGCTGAATTCGCGACTTCAGTTTCTACTGGTGAAACAGGTTCGGCACCTACGCTTGCAGTCGTAGGTTCTGATGTATCCTCATTCGCCGAACTATTTTGCATTTTCGCCAAAAATTCCATAAATTGATCTGGTGGCGGTGGCATATCACTTAGATCTACTTCTTTCCCATCTAAACACATTTTAATGACAATATCAAATTGCTTGACAACACTTAAAAATTGAAGCGCTGTTGTCTTGTCATTATTGCGTTTAGCCTTCAATGCCGCAGATTTATATTCTTGTTGTCGTACGCGCATCTGTTCAAGCAAAGGATTCTCCCCGTTGACAGCATCGTTAATTTCTGTAGTATTACTAACTGGAGATTCAGACACAACTGTAGACACAGGTGGTGCGGGTGCAACACGTGAAGGTACTTTAGGCCGATCATCTACTAGAGGAGACGTTGGTGTTGTATTTTCAGATTCGTTGCTTGCATTTGGTGTTTCTTTTGTTTTAACCTTTATTTCCGGTGGAATATCATTTGAATCAATAGTTTTCCCTGCATTTGCTTGTTTTAACAAATCTGCAAGCGTTTTAAGCCCACGTCCAAAACGACGCGCCTTTGCAGATTCGCCAGCAGCTTTTGCATCAGTTTCTGCTTGCTTATATATCTCAATACGATGCTTTAAAATTGATACAGTATCATCAGCAGTTGTTGGTAGTAACAAAGATGGAGGTTCTTCTGGAGTAGTAGTTGTTGGAACTATATTAGCTTCCATATCGACATTGACATCGACTCCTGTAATATTTTCTAATTCACCCAACAAATCTGTATCTGTTTCTAAATCATCATCATCACCATCACTAATATCTTTTAAACTGTCTGCAATCATCCTGTCTAAATCTGAAGATGGCATCAGAGTTTTCGGTTTTGCCTTAGGTCTAGGCTTATTTCCACCACTAGAAATTGCTGCAAGTTCTGCTTCCAAATCGCTATCACCGCCATCATCCGCTCCATATCCTACAGATGGATCAAAATCGTCCGGAATTTCCATTAAACCAAACTAGCACAAAATAAACAAAAGTGATGATTACACTTCTGCATGACTCATTTAATTGCCAATACTGCGATTTTTTTCTAAACAATTTACCAAATTAACTAACCTGAGATAAGTCATGCTTTCGATTCTTAGCAGGCTCTGGTTTTTTTCGTGAAAACATTTTCAAATACAATAAATTTGAATGGTATTGTTTTTAAATCTTCAAAAAAATTATTCACTTAAAAGCCTTTGTCTGCATACAAAGCCAGTATGCCGTCACTTTTCTGTTTTGGAACAAACATCAGCTGTTACTTAAAGTGATGCCACACTACCAATGTTTACTCAAGAGGTTACCATAACTAAATTAATATGAATGCTGTTTATCAATAATTTTGACAAGATAGATGCACTAAATTGCATATAAATGGTACTCATTTTTTGAGGATTTGTAATAATTTAAAACTATGTATTAACAGAAACTGAGATAGTTGGCAACGCTTTAATATTCATACAGCTGCTTATGCCATAACAATAACACATAACCTTGAATAAACTTTATGTAGATCTACAAAAAATTTTATCTTTTAAATAAATTAGTGTTTTTTTAACAAAACCTTTGGAAATGGCAAATAAACCCTCTCGCGATCTTTTTCTAAATATTTTAAAGAATTTCATAAATTCTTTCCGTCCTCGACAAATAAGAGGAAATTATATCGGAGAAGACTACTTTGGCAATAAATACTATGAAATTCCTGCAAATCCATCTACTGGCAAAAGCAAAACCTCACGCTGGTTTGAGCCACGAGACAAAGATGCTTTTGATCAAGAACTAACAGCAGAATGGGAAGCTTGGTTACGCGGCAGGCGTGAGGATCCTCCAACACGCGAAGAACTCATCCAGAACCTGCAAATAATGGAAATGAAAAAACGTAACGCTGCTGAACTGGAAAAGAAATTTGGTAAGAAAGACTTGCAAGGGAATCCACTACCCAAAGAACCAGAAACTATTGGCACATTTCCGAAATACGAAGAATATGAAATTGTACCTGGCAAGGACCCAGAGAAAAAAAATTAAATCTACAAATTCTCACTTGTTTTCATAAAGTTGTATTTTTAGATTCTAAGGTACATTAAAATTAGACAACTTCGTTATATATTACTATAAGTTGATTTTGTCAAATAACATAACAATTTGACTTTTATTTTTTCAATAAAACCATTACATTACAATTCAAAGAAATCATTACGATGTGGTAGACATTATGTTTTATATTCTGTACTTTTATTTCTTTATGAATAACTAAACTTAAATATATCTGCTTAATATATTTACCAATCATCTAAATTTAAATCTTTAACTATATCTATATTGTCCGCACTATCATTTAAGAATTCTTCGGATTGAGCTGTAGTAACCGGGTTATCATCAGTTTGTTTCGCTTTCTTTGTTTTCTTTATCTTTTTAGTTTTTTTGACCTTTTGTTTTAATACATCTGTTTTGTTGTCTTCATCACTTTGCAATGCCGCAGGAACATCATCTTCCGATTCAGAGGGGAAAAGTTCAACTTCACCGTTAATGTCTTTTACAGGTGGACCTACGGATTTACGTTTTATCATTGGTAAATTGTAATCATCATTTATGCTGTCTGCTTGTGCCGCTTGCCGGCGTTTCTTGGTTTCGTGCGTTTTTACCCAACTGTTATAATAGATTGAAAGTGGAGTTCCCTTGTTACGTAGCTGTGTTTCCCATGCTTGTACTTGTACTAAGTCCTTAAGACTGAAATTAATTTTGCGGCGCTCCTGGTCGATAAACCGTTGATTTTCTTGGATTTTATCCAACAACTGTTTTAATTTACGTGAATAATTCGCATTTCGGCAATCTTTTATATAGGCTTTAAGGTGTACCACACTTGGTACAACCAAATCACTAAAAGCTAATGATGCTGATTCATAAGCACAGTATTCGAGCAATAAAGCACAAATCTGCTCAACTACTTCGTCACGAAATCCATTCTCTGCAAGCTGTGATTTGTTAAGACGAAGGATACAAGTAAATTGCAATGGTTTCATGGATACAACCGTATGTTTACTATTGAATGTTTTGCTGCGCAGCACTTCTAGTATAAGCGGTAGTATTGGCATATATATATGTGTTTCCTTAGACAATGTTATTAGCGCTTGTAAACAATGGAACCGTAAAGGAAAATATTGCGCTGTTGGTATAAGTCGCAATGCTCCAATTGTAATTGTAACAAAAGGGTACAACAGCGGCTGTAGTTGTGGTTTATTAGAGGTTGTTGCTAACAGATCTGCCCAAAGACGTATTGAGTTTATATATTGCCAATTATACACTGCTTGAAAGCTATCTTTTTTCTTCAAAATAACAGCATTTCGTTGATGTATCGCCAACTGCCGTATATAAAGAAATACATGGTGATAGGACACATTTAAATCAAGCGCAAACATTTCCACAAGCGAACGCCGCATAAAGTTTATAGCCGGAAGAGTGTTAGGAGAGACAAATTTCGAGTTGCGTACGTACGATAAATACATGGCTTTTAGTACATGGTGCAGCATTGATAACTAAATTAAAATATTTTAAAAATTGATGAGAATTAATTTACAAAACTATACTAACCTGTTGGTTACGAGTAATTTTTAGTATGCAAAGAAAAGCCAGTACACGTACTGTTTCGTCACCTGTGGACCATAGAACTATCAGTCTTTTTAATATCGTTTTACCTAGCGTTGAAAACGATGCAACCATGCCAGCCATCTGATGAAGATGCTTAAGCAAGACTGACAAAATATTTGAACTGGACACTTGTTCTATTAAACGTATTAAATCAGTCAAGTAGTAACGCAAGCAACCTCGTATTTTTTCCCATTTTTTAGTTTTATGAAGTGGTACATTTGGCCTTGCAGATACGCCTAAAAATCGAAGTATAGCCTGCTGTAGATGCAAAACACATAATTGCACGACACCGTTAAATACACCAGCCCCGACAACTTTAAAAACAGTTGGTGCATGGCCTTGTTCTCCATCCGTTGATAAGCTTGCTAAAGCAGAACTGAAAGCTTGTATTACTTTCCGAATTACATCTATTGTTACATTTGCTTTCTCTAATTGTAATTGCCACTGACGCAATAGATTGAGTGAAACTTTGTGCACGCCATCGGCTCCTGTTGCTTTGTTCTCATCTTCATCCTCAAAGTCACTTTCATCGCTTGCAACTTCTAAGTTGGCATCCGGTTTATGATACTTCTCTTCATTAATATCAACCGAGTCCACATCGTCGTTATCATCTTCAGAGTTGTCTAACATATCGTTTTTTCTAGAATCCTTCACATTTGATGCTCTAGTTTCATCATCCGAAACGTCCTCTTCATCACTATCGAGCACATTAAATTCCAAAAGCTTTTTATCATTTTTCTTAAGAAACTCGTAAAATTCTGGGTCAATATCCTTAAGACCTTCAATTCCCTTTAAAGAAGACTTATGTTTATTCTTTCCATTGACATTCTCTAATTTGTTCTTTGATTTTTTCACACCTTTCTTAGCATCAGTCTTCTCGGTACTGCCTCCATTCTTCTTTTTTTTACCAACTTTCATTTTCTGTAGATTATTCTCAAACTTAGTTTTCTTATTAACTTTGATCAAATTTTTTGACATTTCTACACTGTCAGCATTGTCTTCTTTTAATACATCAGATCGCTTCTTCTTAGGTCCTGATCCTGCACCTTCAAATTTAGACTTAACTTTTCTCTCAACAGTTGTCTGAGATTCCTGTGGATCAAGCATTTTCTTCATTTTTATCTTCTTTTCAGCGGAAGTGACATCCACTTTTTTCTTCTTAGTAACTCCCTTCATTTTTATTTCCTCAGTTTTTTCCTGTACTTTTACTTTCTTCATAATTGCAATTATATTTTAACAAATTTTATGTGCACAATGTGTTTTTAATATTTGCCGCATTAACATAAAATTTGACATTTCTTACATGTGCATTCCCTAGTGTTGCCACCACGTAACATTTGTAACCCACAATATTAATAACACAGCTAAGGCCGTGTGCGAGTTCGAGTAAATAGATAGTAAATTGAGGGAAATGGTAAATTGTGTCGGTATGGCAGCGAATGTTGGTATTTCCAGAATATCGAATAGGGTAAATTAAATAAAGATTAGTTAAATTAGATATCACCATTATGAGAATTTTAAAAGATGTTTAATAAATAAATAAATAAATTTGAAAACTTTTAACCAAAAATAATAAATAAGTGCCATAAATAAATAAATAAATATTTACATAAGAACAGTGCAAAAAATCCCTAGGAAGTTTCAATTTACTTAACCTCAATTTAGTCGAACTCACACACAGCCTAAATATGTAATAGATGTTCAAATAAAATTATTTATTTAACTTCAAAATAATGAATGTGTTTATTAATCAGACCAGGGCCCGTCATCAATATTATATTACAATTCATAGTTATATATAATTTATAATCATTTATTGATGAAAAAAAATGAGACAATATATACACTAAAAATAAAATTAGATAATTATAAGTGTATTCAAAGTAATAGTGTAGTAATGTTGTTTTCTATACTAGATTATAACTGTATATTTCGATAACAAAGCAACACAGTTTGTTAAAAATAACAACAATGTTTAAAAAAAATTTATTATTGAGCTCAAAATAATAAAATTAAAAAGGTACATTTTAATTTGGTTTAGCTTTAGTGTTTCCATTTAGCCTGATAACTAAAAGTAGCTGAAAAGGAACAATCCCTCTTTATAAGTTCTATTAATTCATCAGAATTGGAACTTTCAGGAGCTCTTTTTATCACATTCAAATATCATTTAACATTTTCAAGTAATAAGGTTAAGGTACTATTAAAATATCTCTTTTGGTTTATTAATTAGTATGAATTTAGAAAGCTATGAATTGATTAACTAAATAATACGGATAAATTATTATTTCTAAAGGATATAGGTGAAAACTAATATAATTAAGGTAACTACCTAAACTTTAAATTCCGCTGTAACGTAATCAAAGAAAACAATGCAAAAAAGATTTTGAAAATACAACTCTGAAGACTAATTTTAAACAGATTTTGACAACTTGGAATCGTGCATCAAAAAAAAAATTTGCTAAGTTATTTAAATAAGAAAGGTTTACTGAAAATAAAAAGCTCGTACTTTTACAGAATGGCGCATAATAAGAATGTAACCCTTTCTAAGGGGATTTTAAGTATGAAATTTATGAAACAAACTAAAGTAAAACTCGAGAAGGAGGCAGAAATTGCGGAGGTCCAGTCAATGTATTCTAGTGATGCCGGTTACAAAGTTCTCGGTGAATCGAAATTCGTTTTTGAAAAAAGTTTTAACGTTCTTGAAGACCTCCACGAGGGCAGATTAAGTTTCAATGGCATGAATCCGGATTTGGAACGTCTTATGGAAGCCGATGAAGCTGAGAAAAAAAGTAAAGTTGAACATAAACAACCCGTTGATGTATCTGATGTTGAGATGGCTTCAAATTACGAAAGTAATGTTGATACGCAACCATATAAGAATAAGCAAAAAACGTCAAAAACTTATTCCATGAAAAAGAAAATTAACAAGAAAAATTAAAATTTTATGTAAATAAATTCTTACTTAGATGTATAATATTGTAGTTCTACATATTTTTAAAATAGACATTTGCGCATTATGAACGTAAAGTTTTTAGCAGTTCTCTTTCACAGCCTGAATAGCAAAACATAAATTGGTAGAATTTATCCAACGCCATGTGTTGCTCCAAAAATCATAGGTACTACCATTTATTACCACCGTGTAACAATTAACTGAAAAAAAATAATTGAAATGAATAATTTCATATTGGAAATGAACGTTTACGAGCATCTAAAATACGTTGAACTTCTATGGGTGACGCCATTTTATCCCAATGATGTGTTCCTTTGGGAGCTATTTTGAGTACATATTCTCCTAAAAGTATAGAACCAATCCACATGGGTACTGTTTTATTAATTGTCGTTATAAATAAAGAGCCTCCAGGCTGTAAGAACACTTTAAGTGAGTCCTCATTAACAACAAAAAAGAAATGTTACCTTCAAAGCATGAACGGAAGATGTAAGCATGGCAGCTTTATCACTAACATGCTCCAATACTTCTGACAATATTACAGCATCATAATTGTCGCTATGTGTTTGCGCGTGAACAGCTATATCTTCAACTTTATATTCAATTCGTTTGGAAAGTTCAGTACTATGTTTATGCAAGTGATTTTTTGCTTCCTTTATAAGTTCTTCACCCAAATCAATGCCCGTTACAAATGCACCAAGACGAGCCAATTGTTCTGAAAGTATACCTCCTCCACAACCGACATCCAAAATTTTTTGATTTTTTAATACATTAGCAGTATTAATAAGTTCGCTACTGATATCACCACGAGCTAATAGACCGTCTCGTATAAAAGGAACTCTAATAATATTACTTAAAAAATGTATAACTAAACAGATTTTTAAACAATACCTTATAGTGTTCATTGCGTGCAATGCACGCATTGGTCCATCGACGTTCCACCACGTATCGGCCAAATTTCCATGATGTGCTACTTCTTTCTCAGTGTCAAGTTTTTGAGCTTGTACATTATTAAAATTCCGAACGAGAGGATTGCGGTAGCTCAAAATACGGCTCCTAAAAAACTACATATTAAACGAGCAGTAATTATTGTTTAAACTAAGTACCTTTCCATTAACAATATTGGACGAAATGTTTTTATCTTGCACAAAATCATTTTTTGATTTAAGATTATAGTGGACACAATTTTTTCATTTAATAATAATTGTTTCAGATTAAAGGCAAAATAAACATAAAATAAAAGCAATCAGCTGTTTTGGAAGTATTGCCACTCTAAAAATTGAAACAGGGATTTGTTTTCATTTAAAATGTATTTTTAAGTGTGATTTGTATTATATTTTCTCTTTGTTTGAAGATTAATAAAATTCTCTCCTATTCCTGTATTCAATTTAAAAAAAAAATCGCTATTGAATAAGTTGAGTCTTGTTTTACGGTGAGTCATGGTCACGTCAAATTTGAAATTGTTAGTTTTGAACAAAGAAGATTCTCTGCTCTACATAAAGGTACATCCCCATCAGAGCGAATATGAGTGAACGAATGTTTACACAAATGCGTTCGAATTTTTTTTGGTGTGGACGAGTAAAAAATTTTATAGCAAACTAAGCGAAAACGAAGTAAAGTTTGTAAGACGGTCTAGACGATGAAGCAGATGCAAACAAACACTTTGATTGATTTCACCTGATTCACATACAAACATATGATTTATGAATCATTTATGAGTATTACGTCACATTCGCGAAAAATTTGTTTATTGCGCCTATATTCGTTTATTTACGAAAAACTCTGACAAATATGGGCCTAACACACATATGTACACATATCAGAATTGGTGCCTATTAAAAATATGTGCAGTTTTGTATGGATATGTTTGTAAGTATATTCACACAAAATAAAATATCTTTTAAATTTAAATAATCAACAAATGTGGAGATCATTTGTTATTGCGTTCTATTAAGTTCAAAAATCGAAACAACAACAAATGTGGTGATCGACGACCACTTGGTCACCTGCATAACATGACTCTTCTTATTTATACTAAAAAAATATACTGAAAATAGTTCTGATTTATATAATGTCATTTTTCATTTTTACTTATTTATCCGTCATCGGGTTTCCGCGTGACGTAGCACTCTTCTTCAGGGTCCTCTACTGCTTACACACCTTCATTAGTCTTGTACAGCAAATGTGGTCAACTTGCTCCCAATTTCTGCCATGGTCTCTCCTCTCCTAATATCTTTTTCGTTCGAGCATCGTCATCCATTCTCACAATGTGCAGTCAGCGAACCTGCTGAATGTTAATCCGCTGAATGCCAATGGCATTCTAAAGTGCATACATTCATTCGATGCGGGTATCGTCGCATAAAGCTTATATGACGAAATGTGTTACGAAGAATTTTTCACTTGAACACTTGTAGTTGTATTTCATCATTGTATGATGTGGTCCATGTTTATGCGCTAAATAGAAACACAAGTACGATGAGCGACTTATAGAATTAAATTTTGGTGATCAGTCAAGGCATTAAAATTCTTGATCGCTTCGAAAGTATAGCCGCCAATAGCATTTTTGGTTTTTTTAACGCCGCTAAACTCATGTTTGCAGATCCCTTTTGGCACCAATAACATCACGCTTGCTACGCTCTATAATGTTGATCTAGTCTGAGATGAATGCATGGTGTTTACCAGCATATCGCCGCCTGCCTTCTGCTATTGTGCAGGTAGACCATCTGTGCCTGCCGTGTTGTTCTTCTATAGTGGTTCTATAGCAACACGCTCATTGTTTAAGTTAAGTTGTGGAATGTGAAGACCATTGGTATTACCGTCTCCATACAACAGATTTGAAAAATGTTCGTTCCACATTTTCAGCACACTCTGTTTATCTGCAATTATTTTATCATTTTCGTCCTTACAGGTTGATGCTCTAGTTTTAACGGCTCTAATCAGGTAGTTGCATTTTTGCTTGAACTTATGGACATCATTTCGATTTCTTCAAACCTCTACTATCTTTTGTTTGCGCCTTTTTGTATGAAGAAGCGCCTCTCTTCCTTCCTCATTTTGCGATATTATTCATGTACGTCTTGCGTAACTGCTGACTGTTGGTTTTATAGTCCGCTATATATTCATCTTTTCAACTTAATTAACAAAGTTACAAGCATTTAAATATTACAAAAAGGATATCTAAGAACTATTGTGATTATTTTGTAATAACATAGTGCTCTATTCTGTGTGGTGGTAGCTATCTTTTCCTATAATTAACACTAATAGACATAAGATTCGTGACACACCAACCATGTGGACAGGCAGACACTGTTTTTAAGGTTTATACACTCTCATAGTGTAACATACATACATATATCTATATAAATCAAGAAATGTAAGCGGCTTGTTATAGTTATGGTCACAGTCGCCAATTATTGTTGCTTTCAATTCAAAATGAAAAATTTACACTAAAAGCTAGAAAGCAAAATCAAATGAATATGAGTATTGAATGACCCACGGTGCCTTGACTCTAAATATTAGTTTGCTCAAATCTGCAAATCATGGAAACCTCTTTATATTATATATGTATGTAGATGTCACACATATGACAAGTGAAAAAAATGTTTCCGATTGTTGAATCGAGTTTGCATAGATTTTGAAGTATTTTTGCCTTATCGCGCTCCATTGTTTATATCGTGTACGTCGACGTATATTTTTGTTTCTGTTAGAATCACTCTTCTGCCTGGTTTAAAACCATGCTAAAAACCATACGTGATTTAAATAATTGTTTTGGTGCTTTGGAATACCTTCTAAATATACATTAGAACAATAAGTAATTGAATATCGGGGTTCTACGGATGCTTCGTGAAGGAAGGACTCTACTGATTATCTTGAGGTTGGAATGTCAATATCTATGACATGTAAGTAAATATTGCTTAGGGAGTAGTTGATTGTCTTCCTTTACGAGAAGTGTGTTAGATTTTGCATATCAATGGTAAGCATGCGACATACGATTGCAGGAGGATGCAATCCGCAGGGATGTATTTTGACAAGATTTGATGTTGTTCCATTGCAAATCTCAGAACTGTGAGGCCCATACTGGAAACACATATATCTCAATATGACGTTTTGTTGCTTTGTATGTGTTCAGCAGGGTTTGTTTATCTTTACCGCACATTATAATAGGATACACATTATAATAGCCAACTACCCAACGCCATGGCATGGGCAGAAAACGTCAATATACTATCGAGAACGACAAGACTTTTGGTTTAACTGTAGAGGTAATTGAAAATTCTTTTCGACAGCTCTAGCCCCTGCTTTAAAGCTTTAAGCTAATTGAATAACATGTGCTTTCATCACGGGATCATAAAGGGAATCCTGACTTGAGCCATTTATGACGCTGAATCAGTGGTAGCACCATCTCTCCATCCAACTGGAACGAGGTTAAACGAGTCTGTCCTGAAGATCTACATGATAGTCCTTACTCTATATCCTAGTCTAGCATTAAACTGTCGTTTTCCTTAGCTGATAACCTTAAAGCATCTTCCGGCACAAAATCACACAAGTCCTCGCTTCAAGACTTGGTACATTCAGTGTTTTATCACAGGAAATTTTAGCCATAATTAGATGAAAACCTTGACTTGCAACTCAAAGACTGAAAAATTGGAAACGTAAAGGTGACTTTTGCGAGGCCGCCGTCGTTCTGAACGAATAATAGCATGCGATTCTTAAAGATCACAGAAAACTTACCAACTGCGCAAAAGGGTCTACAGAAACGATGACCATGTCACACAGCAGTTACTTTTTATAGTTGCTATTTACAAGCAAGCAACTATAAAGCATAACAGCGCTTTTCCAACTAATAATTCTCATTTTGAAGATTAGCATAAACTCTAAACAAATTATTAGACATTAATACTGACGGTTCCAAACTAGACGAAAAAGCATTGAATCTTAACATTTCACTTTCACTACCGAACCATTGTAATGTCTTCCGGACAGAAATAATGACTATCTGGCAATCTCTAGTAAGCACAATAATTATATTTGTAACAATTCGAAAATGCCAGACTTCTATTTTCGAGTTGGGTAGGCTTGTCTGTCCAATTTTGAACCCAATTATGCATTTTACTTCCCAGAGATTAGTATCTCATAGACAATGGCTTAGCTGGCCATTAAAGATAAATACATAAATATATATAAAGAAACATTAGTTTTAAAAGATTCTTGTTAGATCGTAAAAGTACGCATGTCTCATCTATAATGTTTTGACTGTTTAAAAAATTTTCTCTGCGTACACAACCTTACGCCAAAATTCGTATTTTGAATTTTAGCGATTAATTAAGAGTTTAATACAATTTAATCCAAATTTAATAAATTTAAATTAATGAACTTTTAAAACTTTTACGCTGTAATGCCTAATTATAGTTTCAAAGTAGGAAATTCTATTAGTTACAGACATTCAAATGAAGATACAAAATATTTGATTTTACTCAATGATATTTTATAAATAGTAAAAATCTTATTAATATTAGTAATCACTAAACATTTAAATGAATGTCCATACTATTTAAATACGTACATTTGGTATATTTCACAAACAATATTTAAGACTAATAGCTCATATCATAATCATCATCAGATGACAGATCAAAATAAGTTATTTCTTCAACGTCTTCTTCAACTTTAGTAGTACTGCTGCTATTGGTGTTTTCTTTTTCGGCAGAAGAACTCAGTTCGACTATGTTAACACTTTTAGAAATATTCTCAGGACTTGTTTTTACTTCTGTAATAGGATGCAATTGCCTACTTTTTTCAGATGTTGAAGGCTGTACGTTTTCATCGTCATTTCCTGGTTCAGCTCCATCTTCATCAGAATCATTATCAGAAGAAACGTTCATTTCATCTAATTTCATAGTACCATCATGTAGAGATCCATTACTATGCTGTGAACCAAATGCAAGGGATTCTTGATTGGTTCCATTATCAAATTCAAGATTTACAACAGAATCGTCTTTTCTTTGTTTATGCTCGCTAAGGGAGCTGCTACCAGATGCTTCAAGATTTTCTTTATCAGCGTTCCAAATACTGGAATTATTATCAAGAAATCTCTTGGTATATTCTTCAAGAGGATCAGTAAGACCGTCTATTTTAAAATCACTTGGTAAGATTATCACATCTTGAGAATTTTCATTGTTTTTATTGTTTATGTTAGATATTTCATCCGAATCAGAACTGGAATCAGAATCATGTGTACTTGAGGAGCTTACTTTCATCATTTCAGTATCACTTCCAACAGTTTCATGATCGTTTTTACCAGAATAGGTAGAAACCGTTGCATCAATGATTGAAATCGCTTCTGTTATATTGGCAAATTCCTTTGTAGATGTCATGTTAACAATATCATTACTTTGTTGAGTAACACTAACATTACACGTAGAATCTCTTTTCATTAAAAATGGTCCAATACTGTTTAGAATAAAAGTATTAATAACCATTAAAAAATAATCAAATTCTGCTTCTAATTTCTGTAAACGTAAACGATCATTTTCAAGATTTTGGTTAAGAACATCATTTTCTTCAATTATTTCTCGCAGGCAAATGCTCTTACAACTGTTGCTTAACTTGGTAAAATCACTACATACTGTTTTACGACGATATGAGCGTTTCGTTACTGGTGGCTTGTTGTCTAAACTTACCACCGGAGTTTCTTTTGATATTGACTCATTTATCTCAACCCTCTCTTTTTCCCACTCTAATAAAAATGGCACATTATAAATACTCTTAGGACCATCTCTTATCATTCGCCAAGCGGCTGTTCCCATTTTTGGCTCGAAATTGGCTATTTTTTCTTTATCAGATTGTGAAATGTTGGTATTAGTTTTAAATATTGCAGAATTCAGCTTATTAACATAATTCATAATTGTCTATACAAACAATAGAAAATTCAATTCTTTATAATATATGTGTACAAATATTTTTACCTCCTCTTCAGCGTATAAATTTTGTTCATCTAGATCCAAACAAATTGTTGCATGCAGTATGGGGTATAAGCTCCAATCAGTATTATCATCACTCTCAGCACGTTCCTTCTCTGCACTAGAATTTATATAGGATAAGGAAATTGGGGATAATATTAAAGACAACCGTTTAACTTACTAGAATTTATTTTTTAAGGCAAGTATTTTTCGGCGGCATTCCTGAGGAGTTATGTGTATTCCAGATTGTCGCATTAAGTCATTTATTTTCCTGAAAGCTGGTATTTGATGTTGAAAGGTGGTTATTTCTTTAGAAAAACGTCGCCAATATTCTATTAATTTCATTTCTTCAAAAGAATTCCAATAACGTTTACGCATATGTTTAGTAATAACATTATTGTTATTTTGTTTTGCACAAGGAATTCCGACTATACCGTTTTGATAATCTGTTTGCGAGAAGTATTTTGAAGTTGATCTACGTCTTTTTCTAGGCTCATTTTGCTTTTTTTTAATTGTCACCTCTTTTTCCTTATCTTTCTTTGATTCTCTGGATCTTTTAGCTTTAACAGTTACCGGCTCCTGTATACGTTTTTTATTTAAACTGGGTCGTCCACGAGGCCGCTTAACAGCTTCGCCACCCATAATTTCGGAATATTCTCCAAAATATATGAAGAAATAATGACTGGACGAAAGCCTCCTGGAATATTTGTATATACCAAACACCACTAAATCTGCGCATACTTCTACCATAGAAGTATTCTTTGCTTCTACTTTTTCCATTTATTAAAAATAAATTCACAATAGTGTTTTAATATAATGTGCAAAAAACAAAAATGGCAATTTCATTGTGAACTAATTTTTTTTTTTTTCGAACATCAATTTGCCGTGGAGCTCTTGAAGGTGTTATACTACGTTTGTATTGTCAAATTAAGCGAACGGGATTAAATTAATCTACATTTGTAACATACATCTTTTACATTACACATTAAGGCACATCCACATCCACATCAGAGTGAATATGAGTCCAAATTATTTTTGCTGTGCACGAGTAAAAAACTTTATACCAAACTAAGCGAACGACGATGAAGCAAATGCGAACAAGCTCATTTGTAGAGTTTATCATTAATAAATTAGTGTACTACACAACCTTAAACTATTCAATATTCATAATACTTTTATGTGTATATATTCAAAAGTTATAATGGAATGGAATGATGATCACGTTTTTAAATTAATGGGAATAATTACAGTATATTGTAATTATTTATTATTATATATTATGTATTACATATTATATATATTATATTATATATTGTCAATTACATAATGTAATCACAAGGAGCATACGCTTATGGCGTTTACTTTTAATCACGATTGCTGCACAAAAGAACAAATCAAATTAACGAACAAATGTATCATAAGACTGTGGGAATGTTCTATTGTGTTTAGTAGTCGTCCGGATCACCTAGCAAATGTAAGCGAACGAACGACCAAACTCTACATGAATTTCTTACCAAACGCAAATCCTGTCGAATGCTAACAGACACTACAAATCGATTTGTTCGCGTTTGCTTCGTGGTATACATTACCTGGAAATGTTCGTTCGTTCGCAAGCGTCCGCTTTGATGTGGATGCACCTTTAGGTGTGTTCTTTTGCTTCAATAGAACACATGTCGCTTAAAAATTAACATGAAAAGCAAAATACGCTGAAATAAGCGCACTTTTCTAAAAGTGTTTAATGAATAAGCCTCTCGCACTTCAATGACGCCAAATCTTTAAACTAATTTAGTGTAAATGACTTTTGAAAGAAAATGTAAAACTAAAGTCAACTGTTTATTATTTACAACTGTTACGAGTGTTAATGAGTAAATTTTAATGTTTAAAAAAAATTAATTTTTTAATAAAATTTGAGAAAATTACTGACGGGTTAGTTATTGTGAAGAAGTCATTCGTTAATTATTTATTAAGGAATTTTTAATTTCTCTGTTCTGTAATATATACATGTAATATATATTTAATAAATATTGTAATATATTTAAATCGACAGGATATAAATGTTACAGAATTTTGAGTAATATCTTAGCTCCCCAGCTGCTTATGATATTCTTTTAGCAAATATGCAGTATAGGATATTGTTTTCATCAGCAATTGTGCTGTACAGAACGGGAGGCTTAATTTAAAAGAAAACAAGTGTGTTCATTAAATCTAGAGATGATAGTCTGATTTATTGAATAAAATACTTTGGTAATTATACCGTTTATAATTTATGTGCTAACATTGTTTCATATTTTTTATATACTAGAAGTAACCAATCAATACATGAGTTTTTCCCTCAACATTAATATTTTCAAATATAAAATAATTCTTTACTTTTCTAATATATTCATAATAAACATATTCATCATAAATATAGAATATTTAATAATTAGGTTTCATATTAAAAATACTTCTATTATTTGCATAACTCTTCCCTAAAGAATTTGTGACATGTTAGTGCAACGAACACATATACTTTGTTATTTGGCTTGCGCATTATGTTACAAATTCTAATTTGCAACTGCATGAGTCCAGTGCATTTAAAATGTAACATGATCAAAGTCAAAGCGACAGATAAACAAAAGTGCATTCAATAAATTATGTCACATTTGTTTTGTCAACAATGACTTGTCATTTTAAGCATTGACATAGGTCATGGGCACAACAGTTCATTAAGAAATGAAAACAAAATGTGACTCACACCGGTCTGCCGAATATTTTTGAAACGAAAATATAAAATGCATTTTTCATGTAAGGTAGTTGTTTTTGTAATTTCATACAAAATCTATAGTTTTTTATTTTTTTGTACACAAAACAACGCAAAAACCGAAAGTAACTCTTTCTACTGAAGAAATTGAGGTGATGATATACGCTACATGTTATTTATTTTATGCAGAGTTCGTATTTGCCTACCCACAAGTGGCTCTTTTCTGTTCAGAGCTCCTGAGCAGGCAACAAACTCTTTTCATACGATTCTTCACGCGCATGAGTGAGCCCAATTACAGAAGCTTACGCTTACACTTGTAGTATCGTCTATATCAGGGCTGTGGAAAGCACGGCTCGTTGGCCACATGTGACCCACGATTAATATTTGTGTGACCCGTGAAATCTTTTACAATTATGCAAATTTTCTTTTGGTGTATTGGTAAAACTACATTATTTTATTTTTTATGGTATATCAAATAAATGATTTTATTAATTATACAGTCATCCCGAATCTATACTGTGATTTGTGTTGACCCGCGATCGCATCCGGTTTGGACAGCCCTGGTCAATATCATGCTTAAGAAAGAGTGTATTTTTGTTTCTCTGTTTTGATTTTCTGAGAGATATATAAATAAAATAAAAATAATTTTCAATTTTAAAATGAGAAAATATTGCATTAAGGGATAAAAAAACTTAAAAGTTTTTTTTCTAAAATTCCGTACAACATTGAGGAAATAAGGTCAATTTTGCATATAAGTTCTATGTACATTTATATCTTACATAAATGTTTTGCAAAAGTGTTTAACCGTTTGTGTTAAAATATTAGTAAGATGTTATTTTACATTGATATAGAGATTATAATAAAATTTAAAAAATCAATTTATTGTTTTATTTATTTATTGTTATTGTTTGCGTATAATATTGCGTATTCGTTAAGCAGTTTCAGAAAAGTGGGTTTATTTTTGCGAATTCGAATTTTATTCTTGCTTTGCATATTAATTTTTAAGCATTCATATCGAAAGAGTACACTGAAAGCAACAACAATTATCGTGACGTGACGTGACGTGACTGCCGCTATTAAGCGAATATCCCTTCAAATGACAAAAATTGCTCGTAAGCAAAAATTCAAACAAATTTAAAAAGTTACACATATTTGAAAATTGAGATGCGAATACGTCAGAGATACACTTTAGCAAGATAATTAATATTTTTTGATGCACTTCGCAACGTCCGAATGCGCCTTCTCTTACAAATAATGAACTTTTTTTAAATAAATCGTCGAAGCGCAATTCTCCAAAGTATGTTGTATTAAAGCAAGTTATTGAATTCATAATAATTGGTATATTGTACTTATCACTCTTAATAATATATATATATACATATTAATAGAACATCAAACCAAAGATTATTTTTGTTTGTTTTGATGAGTTCTTTGCATAAGGTTAAACTATTGTGAATTTTCCACATGCAATATTAAAATGATTTTAAAGTACAATATGTTGATATTAAAATGATTAAAAAATTTTAGATGAAATAAAGAATTCATGTGAAATTATTATAATTTAGTGAAAACAAAACTTTTATTGGTATATTACATATAATATTCACAGTTCATAAATGACAAGAGCGCCATCTTCAAAAAAGGTAAGCGGAAGAATGGAAAAATTATGCATTCACTTGAACTGGATATGTCAATGACAGCGAAAAATAAAATGTCACAAATGGCGGGCCTTGTCTCTGAAAGTTATGTTTAAGTTAATTGTGAAAATTTTTACTTTTTTGCAATAAATAAGTGAATTAAATAGAAGTGTTACTGAATTTATTGAAAATTTGGCTTCACTAATATAAAAATATATATTTAGCAAAATGAATATTGACGGTGTTGAAATGATTAAGGAGGAATCACAAGAAACATACAACTTGTGTCCACCGCTGGAAAATACACAAACACAAAGTCGAAATGTTGGCTCATTAGTGCATCTTACACAAAAATTTGTGGAATTGATGAAACGCAATGGAGGAGTTATTGATTTAAAGATGGTAAGTTTTATTTTTTTTGTTAAGGAGTTCTGCGGTACGTAGTACACACAAGTGCGTAGTTCAGCGCGAAAATAGTTTTCAAATTAAAAATTTGCTTCGCGCTAAAAATGTGTTGCGTTATCATTTTAGATTTTATTTAAAATATACATTTATACAAAAATTTAACTTATGATCTTATAAATTGGCAGGCAACAGATATTTTAGATGTTCAGAAGAGGAGAATTTATGATATAACAAATGTACTCGAAGGCGTTGGTCTCATTGAAAAGACTCGTCATAGCAGCATGGTGCGCTGGAGGTAATTGCATTCTGTTTTTTTATATTTTTAGTTCATGGAAATCGTTATACAATATATAATGATAACACATTTTATATCTGTGCATAAATTGTCAATGCACAAATGCTGGATTTCTTTATTTTATTTATTTATATATTTATTATCATCTTACTATTGTTTACACAGTGTATATTGCAAGCATGTAGACATAAACATATTATCACTTAAATTCCTCGAAAAGCTGTAAACATTTGTTTTAATATGAAATCTAACAAAACAATCTACGTATCATGTTCAATATATTTTATAAATACATTCAGACACACATTTTTAATGTGTGTACTTCTATTGATTTAATGTAATAATACTTTATATTTAATGTTTGACATTGATCATTGATAAATCATAGTGTCCATTATGTATGTATCTGTTAAATAACATAATCGCTTTAATTTATGAAAAGTATTTATAAGAAGAAACATTTAAAATATTTATACAAAAATTACTCTGCTTCTTTTATAAAATATCTCTAAAAATTTATATTGTTTAAACAATTATTGTATTACATTATTTTAAATATTAATTATTTATTTGTTTTTCAACAGAGGCGGTATAAATGAGGCTAAAAATTATGAGAAACTTAAAACAGCAATGACGCGTACAAATAAACTCAAGACTATAGAAGACGATTTGGATTTGCAGTTAAAATACGCAAAGCGTAATTTGAAATACATAAAAGAGGATGCTACAAATAAGTCTTACTCTTATGTGACACGAGATGATTTGCTACAAATATTTGGCGAGGATGCTGTCTTCACTGTACCCAAGCAGGACAATGAAGTTAAATTTAAAAAGATGGGGGTATTCAAAATATCTATTTTCTGTTAAATATAAACTTTAATTCAAATTTGTTGTATATATATGTATAGAATACTTTACATGTTTCTCTGGATAATGGAAACACAATAGATGTACGCTTGGTAACACAACAAGGTACATGTACCTCAAAGCAAAACATTGCAAAACTGCCAAATAACACACCGAAAGTAAGTAATCCTCTACGCACGACAGCGAAAGTTGACGCTAAGTCACACCTAGTCACTAATGAACATACATATTTCTGTAACCGTGAAATGAAAGAGGAAATGCAGGAAATTGATAATCAAGTAACGGCAAGAATTCTTTTCCGTAAGTGTACGACGGGTCATTCTTTACGCCGCTTTTTTCCGGATAATCCTGATTTAGGTAACTATAGTCAATGATATATATGTATATGAGACTTTTGCAAATCATGTTCAGAGTAGGACATTAAGTACATATTACAAAAATACGCAATAACAAAAGATCAGGTTTCTTAAAAATGTTGTAAAATTGATTTTCTAATTATAAATCATTCGTATCTAGCTCTAATATACAGAACTTGTTTGAGTGGCTAAAGATATTGGATTTTTTTAAATTTCAATCGTTTCAATGTTGTTCAATCGTTTACATTAATATGTTATAGAGTATATTGAATATCTGTATAAGTATCAACAAACACTGTCTCAAAACACTTTATTTAACAAATTTAAACTTCGTATTTATTGCTTACTAATGTTGCTTATAAACATTATTGAGTCCACTAGTGTACTATAGCATATATTACTTATAAAGTAAATGAAAAATGTTACACATTTTTTCTTAAAAACAAATCAAATGATTTCTAATGGATATAAATCTACTTATTAGTATTTAAGATATTGGCGTATAACTCATCATATTTCACTTTTGGTCATGAGGACATGTTAGTTTTGGAATTTTTGGAGGTCAATTTTTTCTGAGTCAATTCTAAAGTTATATACATCAAAAGAAAAGAAAATTAAAAAAGTAACATGTGTACTATACATATCATTTAATTAGAGTCAACCGAAATAAATGTCTTAATATGACAAACAGTCAGTGTTGTCATATTAAGCGAGACTTAAATCAACAAAGGCTATATAGATGATTCTATATATGATTTTATATATATTTATATATATATATATATATATATATATATATGATTCTATATATATGATTCCAGTTGCTTTTAATCTTCTTAAGACTTTTGATATATCGAATAAAATAATTATACTTTATGGTATAAAATGCTCAACCTGAACACAAGATAAAAATAATTTATCGGTAGTTGTTTTTTATGTTAATTTTTCTTAGACTCTTTCAAAAGAGGTATTCCTGCCAATGCCAATATATAATTGATTCTAAAGTCAATTACTTAACTATTTGTGTAATAATAAATAAATAAATTATAATTGTGATTATTATTGTTATCACAATCTTAGTCAGCTGTAAAACCGTTGTTACATACATAAGTTAATAAAGCACAGAAAGAATGAAACACAAAATAAGGACTTCTTATCATACTTATTATTTTTAAAGTTTTCATAACTTTATTTCCTATCCTGTTCGGTTGCTTTTAAGTCAATATAGCGAAAATCAAACCAATCTAGTCTCTTTCCGCAACACTAATATCATCCGGTCCTAATTTAAGTATATTGATATGAAAATTCTTGAAAATACTTGAGCTTTGTTATTTTATAAATTGTATTGTATACTTAGTTTGAAAGTTTTAAACATGATTTGCATTATATTATTTACGCTCTTATATAATTTCCGTGTATTTGAAATTTTGCTTGCAGATAATCCCCCATTGTTGCAATTAAATCCACCACAAAATGACTATACTTTTACGTTGGCTCAAGATGAAGGTATTTGTGAGTTATTTGACATACCTTGCACTTAATATTTCCAAGGATTTTCCTTCTTTCACCGAAGATGAAAACTTGGATATTCCCAAACAATGTTGCTTCGTCTGCAGCACAAATCATATGATCTAACATCGCTTAAGTTTAGTGAATATATGAAAATTAGTTAATTTGATAAAAAAACGACTTTGAAAAATAAATATTTTTTAACAACTGTAGTAAATCTAATATCCCAACAACGTCCCTTATATAAATTAATTTAATTTTATATATAAGGTGCCTTCCAAAATACACAGGACTTTTTATTTATATGTATTTGTAATCAGGTTATCTGTATTGCATGTGTCGAAAAGGTAGGTCCTTTGCTAGTACTTTGGAAAAATGTGACAATGTATGTGTTATCAAATGCACTTTGATAATATATTAGTAAATGATCTACCAGAATAGTCACTTGCAATTGCGAATAGATGGTCTGTCCGTCTCACTTCAAATGCGTATTTTTAAAAAGTCCGGTTGGCTTTGGAGTACACCTTGTATGTTGTGTTCGTTATAATTTCGTAAATTATTACCAATTAGTTCAATTTTTACTAATATTATTTAACATATTTATTAAATGACTTAAATTTGAAAAACAAAAGACTTTCTGATTAAATTAAAAAATTTCGGTTAAATCAATATTTAAAACAAATAATTGTAAATTACTATTTTGGTTTATTTTTTTTCAATTTTCCAAATGGAAATCATTTTATTATATAAATTTATTTAATTTTATGTACATATTTGTACCATACATGACCAATTAAATATAAAACTATTTAATAAAATAAAATCAAACTTTAACTTTTATTATAAGAATAGTAATAATAAATAATTGTTATTCACATGAACAACAATGATTGGATTTTTGACTGATTATTTGCATTTCATGTATGTCATCTTTGCTAAGCATTTTATTATTACTATAAAAATTAATTTAGGAAGGAAATTTTTTTTTTGTAACAATGTTAGAGTTGAGAGTAAAGTTGATGATGCTATATTGGTCGAAACTAGAATATAATTCTTGTATCGTGATCAGTATGCTATATATATTAATAACCTGTTAACCCGACAACGCCCGATCAATTTTAAAATATATTCTGGTCAAATATTTAAACAAATGTTGTGTTGGTCTGTACTGAAAACACAGATCTGAATTTTTCTATGCTTTGACTCCTCCTCTAATGAAGTGTTTTCTACACTTTTACAAGAAAAAATGTAATGGTATACCTTAAATACTATTAGTGACGAAAATATAATATGTAGTCTTATATTACTGATAATCAGGTATCTGACACCAAAAAATGTGAGGATATTATGGACGAACAGAAAGGATTACTACAACAACCAAATGTCTTTAAACATGAGCTATACTCAAGACTGTCAAAAGATATAATCTCGACTCTTTCTTGGTATAAAAATTTGACTTGAACATGTTTTAATAATTATCAATAGATATTTATTAAGTCAGACTTAAAGGTTATGTATTAAAAAAGCAAATCAATAAACCACGAGTATATGAAAATTTTTGAAATGCCAGAACCTGTTTTATCGGTTTAAATTTTGTAAGAGCATCCTTTACAGAGCACAATTCTCAACAAAAACTATAATACGTGACACGTGAATAGTATTAAGAGGTATAATGAAATACTGCATCGTATGAGAGTGATCGGTGTACAGACTCTGGAGTCATTCAATAAATTCAACGATCTCTTACACAAAAATTAATGCTTAAACCAAAATAATTATGTTTTGGTTATAGTTTAATGGTACTGAGCACTGAAGTACCGATTTGGTCAATTATCTTTTGATATAATACTTAATTGCTTCTTAATGTAAAGTAGATGCGGATGAAATCACATGCGGAGTTCACTTTTAAATAAATTATAACGAAATTATTAAATAAAAATCAAATTATTAATACATAAACTTACGTAGAAATTTTTATTAAAATAATTTATAAACAATAACCTATCATATTTATTAATAGTTGTTATTTCTTCTTTGCTCTTTTCCAATTTTTGTTATTACCGCCCGAAGCGAATTTTGATTTCATACGTTTCCGCGCACCGCTAAAATTTTCTGTATCATCATAGTCATCGTCGCCATCTTTTTTAGATCTACCTTTTGTCCTTTTGTTGTCTTCTATGTTCTTTAATTCCAACTTTGCAGTACGTTGAGCTTCTGTTACTCGTTCCTGCAGTGCCATAACTTCATCTTCTTCGGTAGAATACAGAGGTAATTGCATACCAAGTAAGTGTTCAATACGTTGATATAGTTCAACATCGTATTGTGTAACGAAAGTAATTGCTTTGCCTGAACGTCCAGCACGTGCAGTTCGACCCACACGATGTATATAATCTTTACTATGTGTTGGTATGTCGAAGTTTAATACAATATCTACATGTGGTATGTCCAGACCACGTGATGCTACATCTGTTGATATCAATATAGAACGATTTTTTGCTTTGAATTTGTTGAGCGCAGCTAACCGTTTATTTTGTGACATTTGACCATGCAATGGTATTGCAGCCAAGCCAAGTGCGCGAAGCATCAATGCTGTTCGAACTGTATTGTTACAAGTGCTACAGAATATCATGAAACTGTTACCCGACAATTCATTTAGTATATGCACCAAATATACATCCTTAAACTTTATTGGTATAAAGATATAATATTGTTGCAGTTGCTCTACGGTTTGGAATTTATTCGATACTTCTACTTTAACTGGATCCTTTAGAGAGGCACGTTGCAATTTCTTAACTTTTTTCGTCATAGTAGCACTAAATAGAAATGTGCGACGTTCACGTGGTAACACCTTTAAAATTTTATCTAATTCAACCTCAAAGTCCATATTGAGGATTCTATCAGCTTCATCCATGACCAAATATTTGATAGCTTTAAGATTAAAACCTTTCATGTTTTCAAGATGATCAAGTAAACGCCCAGGTGTGGCGATAATTATATGTGGTTTCTTAGCTAATTGTAACGCCTGAGAAACCATATCCATACCACCTACAACAACACAGCATTTTACACCAATGGAACTACCTGTAAATAAAAGAGCAAATAAACAATAAAATAAATGTCATATTCAAGTGAAAAATTTTTAAATGTCTAACTCATCTAACTCAGAGGTAGTGACGAATGTTTGCAATTTCATTTTTTTATCAAACAATTTTAACACATCATAGTTAACCTTTTTTATTATAAAAAATATTAATAAACAATGTTTTACCTAAAGCTTCAAATTGTTCAGATATCTGAAAAGCCAATTCACGCGTTGGTGTAAGAATAAGTGCAAAATAACGTTGTGGATGGTCGAGTAGAGCCTGTAGAATAGGTAAAGCAAAAGCACCAGTTTTGCCAGACCCAGTTTCAGCCAATCCAATAACATCTTTACCCAGTAATGCGACTGGTATTGCTTCTTTTTGAATTTTGGATGGTGCTTTCCATTTTAGTTCTTCACATGCCTTGCACAAAGTTTCATTCAATCCCTTCAAAATGTAAAACACTATAATTTAGTTTAAGTTTTTTATTAGATCTAGCACTTAAATGACTATATAAAAAATTTACTTACCAAATCTTCCCAACTAACTTTCTTTTCATCGCTTTGCACCTTTTCAGCATTAATGTCTTCATCATCGCTATATGCTTCATTTTGAGACACTTCACTTTGCTGTTGTTCATCACCAAATTCATTCTCATCTTCCGATGATGAATCTGACATTGTAGTTTATAATTTAATATTTATTATTAACGACTAAACTTACACCAAAATCTAAGCGCTTGAATACTAGAGAGACAATTTATAAATGGTCGACACACGTGCTAAAGGCATGCACAAGCGCCGACAGATTAGGGTATTGCCATATCAAAGTTTTCATGCCTAATTTAAGAGTTACGGCGCTAATTGATTCTATAACAAATTGCGTAAATGTGTTAAAAGACTTACATATGTACATTATATGTTTATATAATGCAAAATATACATCAAATAATATAAACCATCATATCACTTACATAAATGAAATGCTTTTAACTCTTTCAATTTAAATATAATTTTTTAGTTAAATTTGGATTTTAGTTATGTTCGTGTCTGTCCGTCCGGTTCACTCAATCTAAGTATTATATATTAATATATATAGATAATGATTAAGTTTGAATAAATATATTATTTAAAATCAATTCTAAGCTCTGTATAATTTCTATCGGACTAAATAAATCAAATGTTTATGGCTCGGGACACACTGGATAAATTTTGAAGAATTTAATTTTGCGTGGGGTATATCCGTGGTTGAAAATTAGAAAATGTGAACTGTGCTTAAGAATTAATTTTTACTGGCATTGGATTTATTACTTCTTTAACTACCTTGTCAGCGGTTGAACATTTCAATCCAAAGAATAGATAAACTGTGCGAAAAATGTTAAAAGACGTCTTTCAATTTGCGGAAATATTCTTGTATGTTCAGGCACATTTTTATTATTAAAAAATTTAATCCTGACATAAATACATGAATTAAAAAACTTCAATTTAGAGAATATACATATATTTTACATAGAGAGATTTTTTGCACATTCAATTAATAAAGGTATTAAATTTTGCTATAACTGTTTAATCCAAGTTAATGATTTGCAAGTATAACATATTGTAATGAATGAATTAAATGTAAGGTGCAATTAATTTGTTTTTGTACTTTGAGTTAAATAGAATTAAGAACAATTAATAATTTATACTACACTAGCTGACCCGGCGAACGTTGTTTCCCTTTGCAATTAATTTTCCTGGCGTTCGTTGCGGTGCTCTTGACTTTCATTAGCACGTGTGATTGTATCCTGGTTTCTTACAACTTCATTGTTTTCTGCCGATCTATTTAACCGACGGTTCTGGAGTAATTGTGAATTCCGAGTCCGTCGACCAATATTTCCTCCTCGTCCACGAAGACGTGGCATTGTTTTTTGTACGTTATTTATATCTTTATATATATAATTCTTCTTTTTTGTGTGTTGAATTTTTGAATTCGCTGGATTTACCAGGAATACCACCACATAACTTAAGATTAAAAATTGGCTCACCTATAATTATGCTGCGGAATTTAAATGCACTTAAGCTATGCAACGTCAGTTTTACAATTCATTTTAGAGATTTTAAAGTTTTTAAACAAATCAAAGTAAGCATGAATAAATTTTAAATTTTTATATAAATGTATATGGATACCAAAAATAAAAAATTGATTAAAAAGACATTATCCAGTGGGCCAAATTGTGAATCTAAACCTTCCTTGAATCCACTTGAACACACACAAAAAATTTCATCAAAATCGGTTCAGCCGTTTAGGAGGAGTTCACTGTCAACACACGTACAGAAGAATTATATATATAAGATGATATGTTTGGAATATGTGTATTTGAACGAAGGATATATGTTGGTGTGTACACCACTTTACATTATCGTATTTAATTTATTTATGAGTTTATCTTGAAAAGCTTGTAAACGTGAATTTAGCAAAGCATTTTACTTTAATGTTTTGCTTTAAAACATTTAAGTGTTGACAATTATAGGAACAAGTTTTAATAGAAATTATGAGATAATAAAGACATGCCTTAAACAAAAAAAGAAATTGTTAACATAACAGCAGTAAATAAATTCATAATTAATTAATAAAACTAATTTTATTGATTAAATTCAATACATATGTATGTATAACAAATTTAACTCTAAAAAACAGCAGTAATCAAAAAGGGATTGTTTTTCGTTTCTACAGCTTCGCTATTCGGTGTGCTCTTAAAGTTAAAGTGAATATATTTAAACGTTTTAAAACGTGTTTATATAGTTTAAGCAATTGTAATTTTGAGTAATCGACTCATTTTGTTATAAACTTGTTCATACAGCATACTTTATTTTAATCTTAGTTATTTTTTATGTATGTTATTAGATGCGTAGCGTTATAATTTGGATAAATAGTTGAATTTTTAGTATATGCAATTATACAAAATTATATCACTGATATAATTTTTCGGTTTAGGTAAAGCATCAGCTAATTTTTATTATTGTTGTACACAATTTATTCAAAATCGTTCATTGAATTGAAATTTGAAGTGTTTGGATTAAATAATAGGTCTGTGCCACGAGCTACGCGTAGTAAAACTCGAGTAAAACACAACAGAAGTACAAACTAAAAGCGTAACACAAATAAAGTGCCAAATTATCTTTTTACACAGATTTTCGTGGAAGTGCTTTGTATAAAATCTGGTGCGAAAACCAGAGCCGCGCAAACAATACAAAAATTTGAATTTAAACCAAAAACAGCTGATACACATATCGACATAAATTTTACTTGAAATAAAAAAATGTACGAGTAAAGTATGTGTAATTTGCAAACTCTTTTTCAAATTTGGACAGGGATGTTACGCTCACTCAGATACTCTCATTTAGTCGAAACATTTACTGGTGGAACTCACTTGTGTATACACAATGTTACTCAAAGTTACTACGAGTACCTCGTGGAACAGACCTAATATATGAAGAAATATAAGTAGAAATACATATCTAATTATATAAGAGAATAAGTGTTATTAATATTAATATTTATATACTTTCCCCTGTTATATAAATATAAAGAAAACGAGCTACAAAGTAAAATTCAGTTATAAATTTGATGTTTGGAATTGGTTTGTAATTTTAACTTGGTTTTTCAACGAAATGAGTTATTTGAGCCAATAAGCAAGATGACAAATAATTTCACAATTACTTGTGCTGCGTAAATAGGCTTTTAGGAAAAATTTTCTGTCTTACATTATATAAGTTATGGTGTAAACATTTCACTTGAAAAATAATTGACAATTACATAACACATATATGACACTTTTGTCATTTTACAGTTTTACAGTGGCTGGCAACGCGGAGTTTTATCGATCAATAGTGACGTTTCTGTAGAAAAAGTTTTCCAATTCAAGAATTGTGATAGGAGGGTATATACTATTTTCCATTGTTTAGGTATTTCAAAAAAAACAAAAATTCTGTGAATGCTAGATAAAATGTGAGTTAATTCATAGATACGTTTAGTTAAATAAAAATGATTATGTTTAATAAAAAAAATTGTTCTAAATTGTGCTATTAATTAATAATGTTTTTGTGAAACGAGAACAAACTTTTATCTTTTGGGTCAAAAGTAAATTTTAAAAATGAATTAGACTCAGTGCACCTGTTAAATCTTAAAGTTTTCAAGTTATAATATAAAAATTTGGGATTTATTAAAAAATTTGGGAAAATTATGTGACAAAATATTTGGTATTGAAAGAAACAATAGAAAAGAAGTAGTAAAAAATAAAGTAAAGTTATTTTTATGTTTTATGATGTGCATTTTCTATTTGTAGAATTTTTATAACTCTCAACTGCAGAGGGTGGGAGTAGAAAACTAAGTGAAATAGCTACTACAACAAAAGGAAGCAAAAAACCGTAAAGCGATAGCAGCAATAGCAGAGCAGCAGCGTATAGGGAAATACTCTACTCATGTATTTGTAACATTTCTATGTACACTTCGAGAGAAACAAAAAAAGTTGAATAGTCGAAAGAAAAGAGCTGCTGTGATAAAGAATACACACAGAAAGTAGAGAAATACACAGGACGAAACATAACAAGGATTCAGAAGCAATTATATGCATAATTACGAGTAGCCTTTCATATATATACATATAATTATTTATATATACATACATATATAAATATAAGTATATATTTGCATTTGTATATTATATCCAGAAACAAAAATTATTTCAAAGTGACAACGATAAACATTACTATTGCGACAGTGGTGTTACTAATACTCATTCACATAAGCCGGCCTACTCTAATAAAATAAAAAGTTAATACGCCCCTGATAAAAAATACGCTAAAATTACATACTCATATCAAGAGCCTTATCAGCAAAGAGTCACAGTACGCTTAATTACCCAGAAAATAAATAAATTACAAAAGTGCTACACAATTTCCGACAGGCGTCTTAGGCGGAAATTGTATATTGAACAATGAGCATTTCACCAGAAGTTTGGGTTGTGACCCCACATGAAAAAGCAAAATTTCAAGAACATTTCAAGGCACTACAGCCACAAAATGGTTTCGTTACCGGAGCTCAGGCTAAAGGTTTCTTCTTGCAGTCTCAATTGGAGCCACTAGTTTTGGGAAAAATATGGTAAGCTATTGAAACTGGAACCTAACATTATTACCTGTTTCTTTTCGAATTTTTTACAATTTTTTTCAAGTTTCATTTCTTAAGTTTTTTAAATAATTTATATTAAGTTATTCTTCATATTATTAGTTATATTGCTTTATATTTATACATAAATTGAAATAGTTCGCCAAAGCTATCAGCCCACTGAAGGCACAGGTCGTACCGCTGTGCTTCTATTTAAACGAAACGCAATTATTATGATTTGAACTAATTTTCATCTTAAAAAGTAATAAAATTCATTTATTAGTGAATGAGAAATATATGACTCAGTGCTTGTGTTTACATCAGCTTATATTCTTTATACTTGAGATTAGATTGAGATGGAGATTGGCTAATTGGCTAATTGGCTGTGATTATAGCATTGGATTTATCACAAGAGATATCAAATACATGCATTAAATATATTTGGATTAGCTGTGTCTCTCATCTATGCCGATAAAATAATTCTTGTACTTTCACAATTGAAGCTGCGTTTGTAAATCTCTCCAGAAATCCATATAAAATATTTCATAGTTTATATTTTTATGAGAGTAGTTAATGTGATCTCAGAAGATTCTAAATATATTTTTAACTGGTGTTAAACTAAATGTGTAAATGCTCGTCTAAATACTCATGATAAATTTATATCATATATAGTTTATATGAATTTGAAAAAAAGTTAACAAACATTAAATTGTGAATTGTGTATTTATTTCTTTTCAAATTCCTTCTATATTTATTGTTCTGTTTCTCATTTCATGTAAGACTAGGTAGCTAATTTTTAACATCCTTAAATCATTTATAAAAATAAAGTAACATCTACTTTTATATATTTCAGGTCCTTGGCAGACACTGATTCTGACGGTAAAATGAATATCAACGAGTTTAGTATAGCTTGCAAACTTATCAGTTTAAAACTGCGTGGCGTAGAATTACCAACACAATTACCACATAAGCTGTTAACGTCTGTAGCTCAATTAGAAATGACACCGTCTATAACACCAACAGGTAGTATGAGCCCATTAGATCCAGTTAAAACAGCGGGCGGTATGAAGCCTATCATTCCTGGCGTACCAAATATGCCTGTTGCTATGACTAACATTAGCAATATACCGGGAAGTTTGCCAGGAACTGTACCAACGATGGTTCCAACTGTTCCTAATATAGGTACATCACCTATTGCTATAGTACCGACGATGCCATTACAGCAAATGCCTATTGCAGGTGCAAATATTGTACCAACTGCAGCACCACAGGCTGTACAGGCAAGTGCTGCTACTATACCAGGTGTAATGCCAAATATATTGCCAACAGTGGGTACTATTCCGACTGCAGTCATTCCTAGCACTGTACCGATGGCTGGAGCTGTTCCACCAACGAAAATTATTTCACCCCCAAGTGGAGATGTTAAGGTACCAGCTACACCTACTCCACCACATAGCAATCCACCTAGTCGTAATATGTCCATTTCAGAGCGAGCTCCATCCATCGAATCTCCGTAAGTATATATATGAATAAATATTACAATTGGTATGCAGAAATAATTAATTATCGTTTTTTTCCCCACCTTACAGACAAGGCGAGTGGGCAGTTAAGGCCGCAGCGAAGCGTAAATATACACAAGTTTTCAACGCAAACGATCGCAATCGCACCGGTTTTCTTACTGGTGCACAAGCACGTAATGTTCTTATACAAAGTAAATTACCTCAAGTTACGCTTGCCCAAATCTGGACACTCTCAGACTTAGATGGTGACGGTCGCTTAAGTTGTGACGAATTTATATTAGCTATGTTCCTTTGCGATAAAGCTATGTCAGGTGAAAAAATTCCTTCTACTTTGCCAGCTGATTGGATACCACCTACCTATCGGAAGAGTAAATCGCGTCAAGGTTCAGTTTCTGGACCTGGTTCACGTACCGGCTCTACGCCATCTTCTCGACATGCGTCTGTTTCATCACAAGGTACTGTTGATGCAGATCCCTCAGCTGGATTACCTCAAAGTAATATATTTTAAAATATGGAATATAATAATATTCATACTTTTACATAATTTGCAATTAGCTACATTTGAGGACAAGCGCAAAGAGAATTTCGACAAAGGACAGGCAGAGTTGGATCGCCGTCGCAAATTACTACAGGATCAGCAAAGAAAAGAAAAAGAGGAGCGAGAAAGAAAAGAACGCGAAGAAGCTGAGAAACGAGAAAAAGCGCGCTTAGAAGCAGAACGCAAGCAGCAAGAAGAATTAGAGCGTCAATTGCAAAAGCAGCGTGAACTTGAAATGGAAAAAGAAGAGCAACGAAAGCGTGAATTAGAGGCTAAAGAAGCAGCAAGAAAGTAAGCATTAGGATAAAATATCTGTTAAAAATAATAAAAATAATTGTGTAATATGTATTTTAGGGAACTCGAAAAACAACGTCAGCTGGAATGGGAACAAGCTCGTATTGCTGAAATGAATAGTCAGAAGCAGCGTGAACAGGAACGTGTGCTGAAACACAAGGCACACAATACACAGTTGAACGTCGAATTAAGCACATTAAATGAAAAAGTAAGAAAACTAGCTATTTATTTAGTTCTTTTGCTTACAAGAGGTATAAGAGGTATAAAAAATTAAAGACACCTATAATGAAGAAAATCCAGATTTAGTTTTACGAACATTGAATTGAATGCTGAATGCTAGAGTTACAGCAACGCTAGCAGGAATATTAACAAATACGGGGACGTTTTTAAAAATTGAGCGTCCCCTGGCAATTGCAAATGCGGGGGAGGCTGCAGTAATTGAAAAACGCATTTCTCATTTTGAACACTTTTTTGATTCGCATAAAAATTGTTTAGTCGTAGTGTCGGGTTCTAAGAACGGCCGGGTTTACATCCCGGAGCAACTCGTTAAGTTCGACGACCAACTACCATTAAACACTACCAAAAGAGACAACACAAGCTAGTCCCTGCGGGCTACAACAACAATAATAACAATTGTAATGTCTATTTCGCCCTGAGTATGGGAAGGTCCTGGTCAAATTCAAATCATGGGATGGGATGAACGAATGATTGGAAGATGAAGCATGTGTGAAATAAGAACCGGAGAAGAGTTGACATTTTATTACATACATTAGTTTCTAGAGAGTATTTAATATGCAGTTTTCCCTTTAGATTATTAAAATATGGTTGAGTCAAAAATAACGATGGCGATAATTACTGTTTAAAGAGATTTTGTATTACTAAATTTAATTTAAAGTTAAAGTTTATGAAATTAAAGTTTTAATTTCAATTTTTTGTTGTAGTGTTTTTCCCTGAAAAAGATACTTAAAACATTAAGCATACTTTATATGTGAGCTTATTGGATTTTATAATGAAGTCTGTAACAAACTCAAAACTTTGATTTAATAAAATATGGTCACTATTAAATATGTCATTATAGATAAAGGAATTGTCACAAAAAATTTGCGATACACGCGCTTCTGTTACTAACGTTAAATCAATAATCGATGGCATGCGTTCGCAACGTGATACTTCCATGTCAGAGATGGCACAATTCAAAGCACGTATCAAGGAGCAAAATGCAAAATTATTGCAATTAACACAAGAGCGTGCCAAGTGGGATGCGAAAGTCAAAGCAGCAGGTGTTCCAGGTGATGTAGCACAACAGGAACAAATGAATGCAGCTTTTGCTAATAAACAAGTAAGTATATATTGTTTTATATAGAGTTGTATATAGGATTACTAAAGTTTTGTTAAGTTAATATATATTAAAATAAACTTTGTTTTTTACAGTTGATTATTAAACAACTGAAGGACAAAGTTGAGAATATACAAAAAGATATAGAAGCCAAAAAGGAGGACATCAATTCAAACGATGTACAAGTCGCTGAAGTGAAGGGTGAACTTTCTGCACTTATAAACAAGTGCGAGGAACTATACGCAGATTATGATAAACAACGCACTCAAGTGCTGGAACTGAAATATAATAAGAGAAATGACAACGTAACAACTGCTACAGGCTGGGAAACATCGGCAACTTGGGGTGCAGATTCTTATAATACTGTTGTGGAAAATGCGGTTCCAGCAGTTGAAGGTTATACCAAATATCGTGCTGTATATGAGTTTAGTGCTCGTAACGAAGACGAAATAACTTTTGCACCAGGGGATATAATACTTGTACCTATTAATCAAACCACCGATCCTGGCTGGTTATCCGGAGAAATAAATGGGCACACAGGTCTCTTTCCAGAAACGTATGTAGAAAAAATTGAGGACGATTATGTTACTGCAGCAGTAGTGAACCCTATAGCAGCTACGACTGATACACAAGTGATTCCCGGTTATGCAGCACAAGATACCTTCAATGACAACAGTCAAATGCAAGAAATTCTTTTCACATTATATAAATTCCATATTTATGTATTTATTTTTTTGTAGCAATGGAGATGTTGAATATTATATAGCAGCATATCCGTACGAATCAGCTGAATTAGGTGACTTGACTTTTGGTGCAGGAGAAATGGTGATGGTAACCAAAAAAGAAGGTGATTGGTGGACTGGAACAGTAGGCAATCGTACTGGCATATTTCCATGGAATTACGTACAAAAGGCGGATGTAGGTACGACGGGTACTGCAGCCGTTACAGATACACCCATTGATTCAACGGCACCGTATCAAGAACAAACAGTAAGTCAGTTAATTGATTTTTAGATTAAAAAAATTTGGTTTATAAATTTAATTTTTCAATTAAAAAAATTTTGACTCACTAATACTTAATTTGTTTTTAGTTTATCTTTTAATCATATTTTGTAATTATAATAATTTCTTCATTGGAATAGTGTACTATTGGAGTTAAAAGCAGTTATAAATTGTGCACATTCCTTAATTTAAAGTTAACATAATGGTTGGACTTCTTTAGAAAAACTTTCCTGCAGCAAAGACTCATCTGTTATGTTTTTTATAAATATAATTCTTATTTTTAGTTTTTAAATATATTTGAATAAGCAATTAAGTTTTTTTATATTAAATGTAACCAATTCTCTATAACGACTTTATTTAAATGCAAAGCATTTTTTAAACATAACATCTCTGCAAGGAACCTCTAAGTCATTATTGAAAATAAAAATAAAATTTAAAATGATTCTGGATCAATCAATGGTAAAAGCCGTAAAAATAAAATCTCATTTTTATATAGATTTAGACGATATCCTGAAACACAAAGAAACAGTTGCTTGACAAATAATTTAGGGAAACATAAGGTCATACATACTGAATGATCCCAAATATGTATTTGCGCTTCAATGCATTAGCTTGTTTTTTTAGGTTTTAAACATTATTTAAGCTGTTATTTATATAAATATTAATAAATACGAATTAAATATATTTATAAAATAAGCACGAAAACCATAAAAAATACATTAAAGAACAAAAAAAAAAAATAATAATGGAGCGTTTTGTCGATCCTGACGACATCGTTCTACCGGTATCCGACTGTGAATCTTAAAAACCTTAGATGATAGTCAACCAAGATGATTAGGTTAATCTTATAAATATCAAGCTCTGTTGATTGGCAAACTTTATTCCGTTCCTTACTATTTTCTTCTGTTACTACTTTTCTTGTTTTTTGTATTAATAAATCATGCTTTTATAACAAAATTTTTCTTTAGTAGTTGCGAATTCGCGCATTTTTTTTTGTTTCATGAACCAAACCAAATTTTAATTTATTTGTGACTAATCACGTTATTTAGAAGTTTTCTATAAAAGTAATGCCTCTACATTTCCCGCTAATGCTTTACTGCATCGTTTATCGTTTATCATTGCATAGGACAACAATGTTAATGGAAATGCTTCTACTTATGAAACAGTAAAAACTGCACCACTCCAAGAGCAACAACTCAACAAAGACAACACCTGTACAACACAAAAAGAACCAATTGCTCCCCTCACAACTTCTAACAGCACTACCAACGTTGAAGAAACACACACAAATGAAGAACTTGATACGGAAGTTTCACAGATTAACACTCAATCTAAGAGTCAGAACGAACCAGCGGAATCTTATAGTCGACCTATGTCGCGTACCTCTTCCATGACGCCTGTAATTAATACAGAAGTTTTCTTTATAATAATACAAATAGCGCATTAATCCATACATATATAAATCTAAACATGCACACAACCATACGCTTAAAGGGGCTTGTAAGAAGTATTGAGAAGTTTTACAAAAGATCTAAAAAAAATGGAATGGTAAATGTAAATAAATTTTAAATAATTAAAATCTGAAAGACGATATGAATGACTGAAGTTCTCAATACTTTTTACCCAAGCAATTTATTGAAAGACCAAAAACCTTTTTGAAGGTGAAACATTTTCACGCTTATTGTATGTCACTGTGCACGCGTACTCATGTATGTGATTAAAATGAGCGGTATAAGGTGCTGCTCCATAGAAACCGAGTATCTAACTTAACTAATATTGTTTTATTATATATATTAAAAAGTGTATACTAATGTATCTTCTCTTAAATATGTGAAATATAGGGTATGCGTGCCAAACGGTCGGAAATTGCACAAGTAATCGCACCTTATGAAGCAACAAGTGCGGAACAGTTGTCTCTTACACGTGGTCAACTAATTATGATACGAAAGAAAACCGATTCAGGATGGTGGGAAGGAGAATTGCAAGCTAAAGGTAGACGTCGGCAAATCGGCTGGTTCCCGGCATCTTATGTCAAAGTATTGCAAGGGGGTCGTAACAGCGGACGAAATACCCCAGTTTCTGGCAGTCGCATTGAAATGACAGAACAAATCTTAGGTAAATATTTTCCAGTATATATTTTAATCGAGATCAAAGAATTTGCGATTAAAAAAGTTGAAATAAAATACATAATTGTAGTACATATTGGTAGAGACTATAGTACTTATGGATAATTATTTAACCTATAACTATTGAGTTTAAGATGACGTCAATTATCATCTTGACACCATAATTAAAGGAAACTTATGGCATTTATTAAAAAATATTTATTCTTGATTTATTCTTGATTTATTCTTGATTTAAATTGATTGACACCATCGCTATCATGACACCATTGCATGACTGCCTATCAATTAGTTACCTATACAGCCCAGCCTACTGTACTGTATTTCGTAGAGTTCTTTAATGTGCTGTGCGTTCAGCGACATCATGGTATATAATAGATTTCGATGAAACAGAGTTGTGATAACTCTTGAAGTTATTACTCTCTTTGGGTAATATAGTTTCTTATAGAAACAGTGTGGAATTACTATATATGTATATGCAATTGCTCTTCTTCCATAGTTTTGCAAATATTTACTGAAAGTAGCGCCGTTCAAACAGCTATAACAATGATCTATAATCTATAGTTTTGTATATTGTATATTTCTTGCTATAGAACGTTTTTTAAACGTTTGTTAGCTTTTCAATATATGTACGAAAATATTATTTACTTTTTAAGCTAATTGTCTAATAAATATGAATCTAATAAATATCTTCTAAAATGTATTTTTTGTGTTGATTTTAGATAAAGTCATTGCTCTGTATCAGTACAAAGCACAGAATGACGATGAACTGTCTTTCGAAAAGGATGACATAATAAGTGTGCTTGGGCGTGATGAACCAGAATGGTGGCGTGGAGAGTTAAATGGCATATCAGGTTTATTTCCTAGCAACTATGTTGGACCATTTGTTACATCCGGTAAGAATAACAAAAGTTAAACTTGTTGCATGTATAAAGACTGCAGCAATGATATTTAGTAGTTAATAATGTTATGTTTTAATGTTATTTTGGCTGTCGTCATATAAGATACCTTATCAATCGAATGACATTTACTCTCTTACTCTCTACTGTTTTAAGTTTGTTGTTGTATTTTTAAAAGTATTTTTTGTTTGATCATACCAACTTTTTGATTGTTTTAATAGTTATACATTATAATTTTAAGTAATTTATAAAAAAGATAATTATATTTTTTAAAAGTTTGTAAATGAATCATTCCAAAAGACATAATGTCTAGTTTCTAAAATGTATATACATAAATATAAATATATATATATATATATATATATATATATACAGGTGTATATAATTTAATATTTCATATGAATCCAATACAATCCTCGAAATTTTAAAATGAACTATTTAAAATGAATTATTAATAATTATTGTTGTCAATTTTGATTGAAATTTCTAAAATTTTTAAACTGCTTTAACATATATTTTTGGATAAAAATGGCATTAAATTTGAAATAAGAAATGCCACTTGTAATAATTTATATTCAATCTGTCATCTGTCAACATATAATTACTGTTATAAGCGAATATTTAAATTTAATATTTGTTTAAAAAATCGTATCTATGTATTATGATATAAAATACTAATAACAATAATAATAAAGAATCAATTAGTTTATTGAGACAAACAATAAAAACTAACAAAAAATCTAAATTATACAGAGTACGAATCTTGGAAGAGATTTTTTTCGTATGCGTCTAATCTCCCATAGATACAGATATTGTATTATACACATCCACTTTTAATAACGTTAAATTCCACCTCTGTATTGTTTTGGTTATGGTGGTTAGGATAGCAATCCCCCCTCCTATTGAAATGTAAGGTAGCATGACCTCTCATTCAACTAGGTTCCTTTAGTTGCTGAATTTATTTTGCAAATTACAGACACTTTTGTATAATTGTCTTAGTTTTCTAATTATATATTCACGTCAGTGGCATACTAGTACCTTATCGGTTTTATCTAATGATCTGCAATGAAAATATATATGACCACATCAAAATGACTCCTGGAGCCTTATCGGGTTTTTCTAATCAACAATAAGAAGGATATATATAATCATATTAATGTTAATTCTCTAGGTATGTTATATAGCTCTTGCTATACAGTCACTTAATTTAGGTTTTTTTAGGACTGGTTTAATGGTTTTGGTTCATTTTCTTTCATAATGGACCGTATAATAATTTACTTTCTTGTTCTTCGTCTATCTTTCTCTTAGATAGAGATGGTAAAATACATAAGTAAATGATCACTCACATAGTATGAGGGAATTATTTTGTTAAATCATAATAACATAAAATCTTGTATCCTTCGTTTTTCAGATGTACTAGTTTTTTTGTATGGCCCTTGCATGTGAAACCATATCACACTCGTATGGTAGTACGCCGTGTAACGTTTGCCATCACATTGCTTTCTTTCATTTTCCAAATTAAACTTATCATATTGAATAAAATTCTTTCCTTCTTTCACAATATTTACGACATGTGTTAATAAGCTGTCTCGATTAGTTTTTTATTTGTTAAACTGGAATATCTTACCAATAAATTTATGATAATCGGTTATCTTCACGATATCATACAGAGTGTAATTCACACTGATAGCTTTTCATACTTAAGTCTCCTCTCCACCTATGTACACACTATCTCGAATGTTTTTGACTATCTTTTGTGTAATAGATTATATGTATAATAGATAAGCATCTATGATATTTCTATAGTTTATTATATTTTTCTGAAAAATTTTGTTAATGCATGCAATGCTTATATATTATTTATCATGAAAATGATTTATTATTGGTATAGGAGTTTTCTTACAAAGGATTTTTAGGTTATTAATGATGAAATTTCAATATGCAATATAAACTACACGTTTGTGTCAGTATAAACGTGCATCAAGTCATAAGTTTTGTCTCCTATTCACCACTTTTACATATTAAGTGTTGGATGATCTGACGTTCTGATTTTCAAATATTTAACTACAGGTCCTTAAATATTCTTCTCTTCAAGATTCCTTTTGATGCTTTCCATCCAGACCAGATATAGTGTAATACCTCTTCTTTCGTTTCTACTATTCCATATTCTCTTCCTTTTTAAATATCGGAAACAACTGGAAACTGGAAAAATGTATAAAAAGACAGGGGTTGCATAGTTACAGTAGTTGAGTAACTGTTATAATTTTACGCTTTGCTTAGAACTTGGGACACTTGGGATATTCAACAAGTAGAGCTTGTTGAACTCTTTAAGCTTCAATGATATCAGTCTGTTCAGCCTTACCCTCTGATTGAAATACAATTAACCATTAAGATCATGTTCCAATAACAATTTTGGTTTTAAATCTGATCGTAATTCAGTCTTTTATTATTGTAAGTAAAAGAGTAATCAATAGAAATTCAATCGCATTTGTTTACAGATTTTATTGGAGAGAGCTTATGAGAAAAAATTATTTACTAAAGTAAATATACAAATAAAGATAAAGATGGAAGTCCAATTGTATAAAAGACTTCTATACTCAAAATATTTTACAGATTTAAATAAGACAAAGAACAGCTTTTGCAGAATTATCATTTGTTAAGCTGTCAGTTAGATACGATGGAAGTATTTAGATATTTATTTGATCGTCATTTGAGGTTTATTTGTATAGTAGTGTTTTTGCGAAAGTTTTTCTTAACTTGAAGTCACGTATTATTCCTTTCTTCTGAAATTGACCCTGTACTGTTCATCGCATACCCTGGATGACTGTGGCGCTCACTTTAAACTCAGCTCATCTGTTCGATGTATAGAAGCTTTTGTTTGTTGCTGTATTCAAAATACTAGGTCTGTTCCACGAGCTACTCGTAGCAAAACTCAAGTAAAACACAAGTAAAATACAAACTAGGTCTTTTCGACGAGGTACTCGTAGTAAAACTCAAGTAAAACACAAGTAAAGTACAAACTAAAAGCGTAACACAAATAGTGCCAAATTACGCTTTTTACACAGATTTTCATGGAAGAACTTTGTGTAAAATCTAATGAAAACATCAGTACGGCGCAAATACACAATATAAAAATTTTAATACAAACCAGAACAGCTGATTCACACATCAACACAAGTTTTACTTGAAATAAAAAAATGTACGAGTAAATTTTCAAATTTGAACAGGGATGTTACGTTCTCTTAGATGCTCTCATTTACTCGAAAATTTCCTGGTGGAAGGCAGTTGTGTATACACAGTGTTATTTAAAGTTACTCCGAGTAGCTCGTGGAATTGTTAATTTACAATTGTTACAATATTCTCAAATATTACTGCGTATTCAACAATATTTAAATTATTATTATTATTTTGTATTTTATATTGTTTATTTGCTAAATGGTGTTTATATAGTAAACATAATACTTTAAGTAAATTATGTAAATTCCTTTTTGCATGATAGACTTAGATTTTAAAATGATGCATTCATTATTAATGTCAATGCATAAAAAAGTAAAAAATAAAATAAAAATTAATATGAATCCAAAAATTTTAAAAATTAAGAATAAAATTTGTGATTAAATAAAATTGTGGTATGTAAATATCACATAAATGTTGTTTATTTTTATAATATAAATAATCTCATAAATCTCTGTATTACGTTTACATGTAATTATTTGAAATTGTTGTTATTTCGAAATTTATTTTCATCCGGAAGTTGATATTATTTATTAGTTGCATTTTTTAAATCTATTTATCATAATCAATTTTTAAATTACATATGATATATGTAATATCCTACATATTGCTAAATATGTATAAAAATATGAAATGATATATTCTAAAAATGTAATGTTTAAAAAATTAAAAGAAATTGCCTGTTATTATTTCAGTTATATTTAATTATTAAGAATATTTTTTTGTTTGTTTTTTAAATTGTAATTAGTCATTAGTCATATTAATTAAAAGTAAATATAATATAAACTTAATATATAAACATATAAAGATCTTAAACTACTTTCTGTTAAAAATTGATTTGCTGGGAAATTATTACCTTCGCACTTCGTAATTCCTTTTTTTTTTTTATTTTTATTTAATTTAATTTATTATTTATTATTTATATTTTCTTAATACTTAATAGTTTTTCTTTGGCTACATATATGCGTATTCATATATGGTACTATCAGTAAATATTTTTAACAAGTCTAGACCTATATAAAATTATTTTTTAACAGATACATTTTCTCTGTTAATTACAAGATTTTTTTTGCCGCCTTTTTAGTATATTACGTGTGGTTAGTGCTATAAGAGCTTTATTTCTCCACTGGAGATATAGTTTTCTCCTATGAGCTTTTTAACAAGTCTAGGCCTATATAAAATTATTTTTTAACAGATACATTTTCTCTGTTAATTATAAGATTTTTCTTTGCCGTCTTTTTAGTATATTACGTGTGGTTAGTGCTGTAAGAGCTTTATTTCTCCACTGGAGATATAGTTTTCTCCTATGAGCTTTTGTGTCTGATTGCGGCTTAAATATATTTTTAATAGAAACGTGAGCGAAATCTGAAAGATGTTAGCGATTCATTTGTTTGCGGTAGTTATCACACATTCGTAAACCACTTAAGAAGAATCTTTCTCTTTAACACGTTTCTAGTATTACTATACCATTCTTTGATATTGTTTTTGCTTCTGTGGAAAATCGAAGCACAGATTGAATAGGTGACTTATGAAATGAAAATGAAAGTCCTGAAAGTCACTTTTCAACTGATTACATTACAACTGTTACATTATTTTTCTAAATAATATCGGTACCAAAATAGATAAATATATAGATTTAACCGATTTAAAAGCATGATTGGTTGGTTGCAATGGCAGTAGCAGGTCCGCTACTCATATTTACCAATATTTCGACGCTTTCTATCACATTCTTACTATAAATAAGAAACAAAAACAAACATAAACGAATTCTATCTTTCGAACCATACTAATTCAAGTGCTACGATTTTAGTAAATTTCAATATTTTAAGCATTCTTTTACTACTCTATATAAAGGTCGGTTTTCAAGATATCGAGATTTCTGCATGAAAAAGATCGAAAAGTAGAGGCGTCTGTTAGATGGTGTGTATAGTTATTCGTAGTGCAATTAATATAAAAAATGTACAACTGTAAAGGCTGATATAGCGTGGTAGAAAGAGTTGCACAAAATACTAATCAGAATCTTGTTACTAGTAATGTAATGTAATGGCAGATAAATGATAGGCCCAGAATGATTCTGTGGTCTAGGCAAAGGAACTCTATCCATTCTTATGAACGGCGCAGAGCAAAAGGAAAGAGAACTCTATTGAGAAAGGCTATCAAGACTATCACAATCTAAAATGCTATCACATAAGAATGCATAACACAATTAAAAAGTAACCTAAAAATTATTGTGGGATTATTGACCGGTCATTGTAGATTAAATAATCACCTATAGAAGTTAGGAATTCAATCGAACTCAGACTGCAGATTCCGTAGAGAAAAAAGAGCAACTGCATGCCATGTGCTTGGTGAGTACCCGGCACTGATGCACAATCGGAAGAAACACGTAGGAAGGTATTTCATGGATCACATAAGGATCCAAAATAGGCTCTATACTGTTTTTCATTAAAGAAATCGGACTTGGAGAAACATTCAAATCCAACTAAGGGGCACAATAGATCTTTAAGGTCGCACTGCACTATCTCTTCTTTTCAATAATAATAATAATAATGTAATAGGTACCAACTTAAAATAATTTTAATGATTTTAAAACCGTTTTGAAATAAATAAGTTATTAGGATACAACGTTTTTGGTGTATTATTAGTTTTTTTTTTGACTGAACGTTTTTTTTTTTGCTAAACCTTGCTTTGATGGCAGACCCCATTAGTCAGAAACACCCTGTATATATGTTCTTGAATATTTTTTCGTTCATTTTTGATTTTGCAAAATTTACAAAATTTGTACGTTCAAATGAATGGTAATATTTTAATATATCTATATAAATTAATATTTTGTTTATTGCAGGTAATGTATAACGAGTTATTGGTGTGGGTTTGTAAATTGTTTCTTGAATATTAAAAGCTACGTCTGCGTGTAATAGAAATGTTAGAAGGATATAGAAAACTGACTAAATACGAAAAATTGGTAAAAAACACACAAACAAAAGTATACATATACATATATATAAAATATACAAATAATAATAATTAATTGTTTTGTAGTTAATTTGAAAGTGAAGTTTAAAAATTCCAAAAGAAAAAAATATTATGGAAGAAAATACCTAAAAAGCCTACCAAAAAGAAATTTTGATGCAATTATTTAGTAAAAAACAAAACAAAACAAAATAAAATAAAATAAATTAAAATAAAATTAATGACAAAATTTGTTGTAAGACATTTAAACTGAATTAATAAAATATATAAAAAAATAAAGTATATACATATGTATTAGGGCACAGAGTTCTGCAAGTAAAGTAAAAGTTTGTAAATACACAAATTATAATATCAAATTAAAAATTCAAAATTCAAAATAAAAAATTCAAAATAAATAAATATGAGCAAAGTTAAATAAAAATGCAAAGTTAACGAAAAAGTTAATAAATATTAAAATAAAATTAATATTTAAACAAAAAGATGCGCAAAGTTGGAAAATTTGATGAAATACTCAACTCAGACTTTTCTATATATCGATGTGGAAAAATTACTACTAAAACAAGATAAACTATATTCAGATCACCGCATATATTAAAGACAATATTAAGCTTTTAATGCGTACTTAAAGGAAACAATAAAATCAATAAAATAAATATTATCCAAAAAGTCTTTAAACACAACCAAAACCAAAACCAAAAGCAAAACCAAAAAAAAGAAACAAAATAAGATTAAATAAATAATTAAACAAAATCTTAATTATAAAAAAATTTACAAACAATTACAACAAATGCAAAAGCATTACTTATGATACTTTTACATACATACTCAAGTCTATATGCAAATATGTATATTAATTATATATTATATATAGACTATATACAACGTACGTTATAATAAAATATATGCTCGTATATACTTAGATGTGAGTGTTTCTTTGGTTCTAAACAAACAATTTTTGCAAATCTAAAAATCTAAACGTAATTTATGTGTTTTTGATCGTGTTAAAATAATATGTATACATTATGCATTAAATAGAAAAAAAAATATATATATAATAATGTTTTTATTAATATATTTAATTTATATATATATATATATATATATATATATATATAGAAATTGAGATATAAATAGATATGCATTATATATTAATCATAATTATTGACTACTCATGTGATCTGTCTGTCTGCCTATCTTACAATTGCATGCGTCAAACTTAAATCTTCCTGAGAAACACATTTTACTATTATTTTCACTTAGCATATACATATAACATATAATATATATAATATAATAATGTATTTTATTTCATGAACTTGCAAAACTTTCCAATTATAATACGAATACTTCTAGATCAGTTTGTTCTAATACTGGAAAAGAGTGAAAGAGTAAGCAAACATATGTATTGTAGAATATGTTCGTGTGTTGATTAATTAATCTGAAGGATTACATATTTAATTCTTTAAATCCATACAAGAAACTTATGACCGTAACAAATAGTTTCCATTGAACTCTTTAATCACTTAATTTTAATCGAGCCGCTTCTATATGCATCTTCCATTTGTTGCAATGCCCTGATCATTTGCTGCCTTGAAGGTTATAATTTAGAAAGATAATTGCTGCAGAACTACGTAGTTTGTGGCCAAGCCACTTATATGTCTGGGGCACTAATTACTCAGTAATTAGTGGTTGCCTTTAGCAACTTTAGCGTAGCATCGTTGTAGTTAGAAGTTGAAGAGTGTCAATATGTACGACAATTAGTTCTTTATTTAATACAACTTTTAAGAAGATTCAATAATCAGGTCTTTATAATACTTAACCAAAATTTTCCTGGAATTGTAAAAGTTTGAAAAAAAATACATATTTTAGGTAGAAGTGAATACAATAAGAATAAGAGACATTTTTTTTTATTAAAGCAGATCGTAACTATACAAATGGCGAGCAGTCGTGAAGCTGCAGAAAGCCGACTTTCTGTTACATCAGTCGAACGTATATTGTAACGCTAATTCAGACAGAATGAAAAAGATACTTTTAGACAAAGCTAACTTCCGGTGCTGACAGAATGAAAAAGATACTTTTAGACAAAGCTAACTTCCGGTGCTTTGAGATAAACCATTCTTGTTGTGGCTATAACGGTTGTGGCTAAAACTCGTTAAAAAGGGCCATCTTTTTAAAATGTTGAAAACATATACCAGTATAGCAGTGAAGTAAAAATTGTTCGAAGGCATGAAGATACCGACAAGAATAATAATTTTCACATTACAGAAGAAAAGAGATATATATAAATTTCTTGTAAATGTCTTTAGCCTGAAGAGTAAGGCAAAGTTTATAGATCAAAAAGAAAATGCATGTCAGATTATATACTTTAAATTAGTTCAAAATTAACCTTTTTGGATTTGCTAAAAGTAAAAGTATGGCGCTAAGATCTAAAGTATCACTTCCACAATCAAGTATTTTGTAAACTCCACATTTAACTTATATTATCGTCAGTATCTCTAATTTCTTAAAGAGCTTGGGCCCTTTACTTAAATTGAATTTTTATATTAGTATATAAACAATTATTTCACATTTTTCGCAAACTTTTTTCCGTTTATTGAAACATCGGTTCGTTTTGATGAAGGAAATACATCATATTTATTTGCCTTGTTATAGGCAATTTGTTATATTATTTGCCTTGTTATAGCCACGTTGCCACCATATGATATATCTTCTTGATGAAAGTCAGTTTTTATTTTCTTTGATAATTTCTTCTTATTCCTCATGGCAAAAACTTTTGCAATAATCATGGATGTAAAAATAACTATTGAAGTGCATCGACTACAATACACCATTCGTTTATTTTAGCTTATTCAATAATATAATTTGTGATTAAATCAAATATTTCTTTATTTTAGGTTTTACTTGCTTGATCAATTGTTAAATAAACTTTCAAACATATGCTCTGTCTCGATCGGTTCTCTCAAAATTTCGATAAAAATCTTTTATAGCTAGCAGTTTAGAGAGATTGAGATTGGTCTTCCTGATGTTGGAGTGAACTATCGCTTAAGATTTGTTAGTGACAACTATATCTGAATTAAAGTGTATCGTTACAAACTACCTTCAAGGTTTCCAGGTTTCGTTATCGGTACGAATCTTTCAAATTTTCGATTGATAAATCAAAGCACGATTTAGCATCACTAAATCTTGTAGTACTTGGAGTACTAAAAGCCACCCCTTTGATTTCATGATCCCTTTTGATTTCATGACTTTACTTTCAAGTATTTTTGATGATTCCAATAAACCGAAGAGTTTGCTTTAATCGAAATAATAAAGAATCATATATGTATGCTTGCTGACATCTTAAAGCCGTAAACCGTCAACTAATTCGAGCAGTTTGTGGTCGTACCATCTTTGAGAAAATAAACCAAGTATTCCTTTCAACATTTCATTCAGTGCTAAGCATGCTAAGCATGTATTATATGTAGATTAAGAGAACATAACAAACAAAAACGAATTGCATCAACTCAAATTGAATTTAAAGTATTATAATTTTTAAATTAAATTTAAATAAATAAAGTTAAATTAAATCAAAAAAAACATTAAATATAAAATTTACATTAAATTAATGTTAAAAAACTAATCAATAACTTAATAAGGTCATACGAATCTAAATTAGTGTATAAAATATTCACATACATAAAAATTCAAGGCATATTAATTACAAAACATATATATTTAATAATTTATTGATATATATATATATATATATACATATATATATATTTATATATACATATATATATATTTATAGGCAAAACAAAAATCTTATCACCTTCCTGATATATATACATAATATAATAATATATATAAACTAAATCATATATATAATACATAATCATTTACATATATAAATATATATATATATAATAATAATTAAATATTACATTTCATAATATATTTGATATAGTTTAAGTATAGCAAAATGAATTACATTAAAATGATTTTAAAATAATTATTTATATTTTGTAAATAATATTCTACGTTCATTGTTATTGTATAAATATTATATTATTTAATACACGAAACGAGTTGTAAACGCTTTAAATTTTAAACAAGAAATACTATTAAACATTAATTAATTATCAATTACATAAAATATTCTAAATGAAAGATCTAACTGCATAAATGAAAAATGAGAAAAAATAACCATCAAATTATTATTATTATTATTATTATTGTATTACTATGGAAACTTAAAATCAAAGAAGTTTGCTTTGCAATGAATTTATAATATATCATATATGACAGAAAACATCTATTGACTAACAGCCAGCCATTGGTAGTATGTATTTTGTTTTTATGGACAAAATCGGATTATGAACGCACAAATGATATTGTTAAGTGAAGAGGAGAGTGTAAGTAAGTAGGTAGGTTATCTACACTTAAAGCATTATCACTTACTGAACCATCTTGTCAATGTAACAAACTGTATTCATGATAAAAAAACGCTGGTAACATATCTACGCGATATCCTTTAGAGAACAGAGATGATTTCTTTTTCTTTCTCAATTTCACATTAGGGAGATATGTTGGCTTATTATACAGTTTCCGGTGATGACAGGTATTATTATTAAGGTTTTATCCAAATGTGATGGCACGTTTTATTTATTTCATTCATAAACAAATTTCCAATCTGTTACTTTTTCGGAATAATATGAATAGTAGTGCAAGCTCATCTACGATACAGTAAGAGCGTGTAAGATCAAAAGTAGTTATATCTAATTAGACATTTAGACAATTGTCATTAACTGTAAGCAGTTCTTTTGAGTGCTGTTTAGTCATAGCTCTTTTATAAGAAAATGTTTTAAAATATTATATTTCCTTCAAAGTAATATATTAAATAATGTTATCAAATAAATATAATTTTAGTTTATGGATTGAAATAATATAGTATCTATATTTACTATACATATTTAAAATTGATTATTATTCTTAAAAGCAATGGTAGGAGGAAACAAAGGTTCAAACTGCATCACACCAATCCAAATATCAACACTCTTACGGCTGTTAGCAAAGATAGTAATTATTTGTAAAGTACAGAATGAAAGATTTCATATGATTTTATAAAAGTATATTTTTATCAAAGAAGCTAACTATTAAATATAAATTCTTTAAAAAAACTAAGAAAGGAACTGAAATAAATTCATTTGCCATCAAGTTTAACATTTACATCAAGTCTATTGCGATTAAATTCAGTCGACTTTTCACAACTTCATTTCAAAATATAATCTAAAAATATAAATTAAGAAAACTTATTGAGTTAATTAGTTAATCAAACGTTATGTATGTAATTTTGTTTATAAAGTAAAATATTATTTCAAAATTATATTATAAACTGCCATTTTGAGTATAGAACAGAATTGTAAGTTAAAATCAAAAATTATTAAGTTGTTTAAGTTAAGTTGCTTCAAAATGTTTAAACCACCTTCTATCAAACAATTTGCAATTAAGAATCTGTCTACGCATATTTATATTAAGTTTAAAATTAATTTATGCATACTCTCAACATAATTAAATTGATCGTTAAATTGTTCATTGCTAAGTAATATTTATTCATATAATTTGGAGCAAAAAAAGAAACAACAACGATAACAACAACAATAGATATTAGGCATTGGTTGTCTAAATACATTTTTGTTTTTGAAATATTTTGAAAAATGTAGTATTCGAAAGCTTAAGTGCCATTAAAACCATTAAACCATTAAAGCTATTCCAAAATTATCAGACAAATCAATGTATATAGTTTATTCCAACTTGATAGAACCGATAGTAGTGATGCTAGAACATACACTAGTCAGCTAGAGTAGTAGTTATGTCCTTTAAATATGTCTTTCCAGCATTATATATTGGCCTTATTTTTAGTATACAGATCCATTAGTATATAGATCCAAATATGCAAAGAATGAGCGCAAGATTCGTTAAATTGATGTATTTATAGCTCTTGTAAATCTCATGCATGCTATTCCAAAAAATTTATTCAATTGAGTTTGTTAGTATTGTCATGCTTTTGGAGCGCTATTCAATAGACCAACGAACCAACGGAAACTATGGTGCTATAACTGTAGTATACATTCATAGAACAATGTTAGTATGAAGGCATTTTTTTCTTCCAATAATAGTTATATAGGAGTAAGAAGATACTTATGCTTTACTTATCCATTTTTTCGTTATTAAAATTTGTAATGAGCTTTGAATTCATTATAGTATATATTATGCTAAAGAGGGAAACTGCAGAAGTTGTTGATATTTTAGCCTTTATTTAAATTTAAAGGATGGTACCATTATTTTTATAGTGAGCAACAAGAGTTCAGTTTTCTCTGAAGTCAATGTCAGACCACAGCTTGTAACCTATTCATTAAGTTGATTTCGTAATTAGTCTATTATGATGTCATTCATCACTTAAGGAAACACACTTCAGGCTAACAAAATCGAATTGTCTGCATATGCTACTGATCCACTACTGGTCCTATATTGAATCCATTTTAATAATCGCATGCGTGACAATGTGCCAGAGTGAAAGTGAGACAATTCCTGGTAGTTATAAACACCTATCTATCTAGTTTAACAAACGTTTTACTCTTTATTGTAAATTTTCTTGTGGTCCTTTAATAAACATTTTATTTCTTTTGTAAATCAGAGACATCCATTGGTTCTTAATACTGGCTTTGAGCAATAGAACTTTTTTATTTTATTAGGCATATTAGAGCAACCATGAAGCTTTGACTGTCTCTATGTAGGGTTATGTAGGGATTAGTAAAGAATGAAATTTTAAAACCGATCTCTGCCGGAATATTTAATATCATAATACTACATTTTTCTTTCATCGTCGGGTGTGGAAATCGGGTCGGGTGTGGGAATCGGGTCGGGTGTAGCATCTTAATTATGTTGTTGTTTTTTTGTTTGATGAATGAAGCAAAAAATTTGTTTAGCAATAGTTAAAATGTTTTAAATCATTATTACTAAATAAATTATTAGTCATTATGTATTGTAAACTAAAATATATATAAAATTTGTTATTTTAAAAAATTTCCACTTTGCCTTTAAAAAAAGAAAAACAAAAACACGTTAAATTAGTCTCTTTAAGCTGTTAAACTTTAATTAAAAAATTATACTAAATTATTAAAAACTATTATTATAAAATTAGCTAATGTTGGGTTTTGAATTACACAATTACGTGTTTCTACATTTAATGAAAATAGTTTAAAGATATACACACAAATTAAATAAATAACATATATGTATTTAGTCAAAACTTGTATAATCTGCTCCTTCCAATACGTAATACCCGATTCTCTGTTCATATATTTATATATATATGTATACATATGTATATATTAATATATATATAAATATATATATATTGTTAAATTAATTTATATATAGTATATATAAACGAGTATCTATATCTTTTGATCTCTGCGAATTCAGCGTTCTGGCAAAACTAAAATATTTTTTAAATTAAATTACACAATCACAAAAATACAAAATTACAAAATATACGAAACATACACATAAACATAATTATACTTATTCATTCATAAAAAAGAAATTAAATCAATGGAAACTTAATATTTAAATACTATAAAATAAATCCATTAATACATATATATATATACATATATATATCTACACATATATATTATATATATATATATTTATTTATATATATATAAATCGTTATCTTTTTTGCTAGATTGTATGCGTTAATAAAAATTCAAGATATTATACAAAAAAGTATTACTTAAAATACAATTGAAGTTATATAAAAGAATTCAGTATTTAACACAGAAAATAAAATTATATTTAAAAAAGAGATAAGAAAAGAAATTCAAATTATGAAGGTACATTTTCATGCTTAATAAAAAACTAAATTATGTTTGAAGTACATATATATACGCCATCTACATAAGAAACGAGTACATAACTTAACATATAAATCCACGACATATTGCAAACAAAAATACATACAAATTACGGTTATATACATATATAAATCTAAAAAAATATATATAAGATTTATTTGATGCAATAAATGTAAAGCAAAATAAAAAAATTCAAATAACAATAAAGAATAAAAAAAAATTCCTTGTTTGATTTAATTTAACTATAGTAATATAGCTTACATCTTTAAAATTTTTAAACAAATCCTCTTATTTATGTTTTTGAAAAATGAAAATTAAATCCCTTAATATAAGGTCTGTTCTACGATCTATTCATTGCAATTTCCAGCGACTAGGTAAGTAACTAAGAATATACAAGTGTACTCCACCTGCAAATTTTCAAGTAAAGGATAGCGCCTTAGAGAGCGTAACATCCCTGTCGAAATGTTCGAACATTTTTTCCAGTAAACTTTGTGTTATGTTCATTTATTAGGTCTGTTCCATGAGGTACTCGTAGTAAAACTCAGGTAAAACACAAGTACAAACTATGAGCGTAATACAAATAAAGTGCCAAATTACGCTCTTTACATAGATTTTAATGGAAGAGCTTTGTGTAAAATCTAGTAAAAGTTTGAATTCAAACCAAAACAGCGGATTCACACATTAATCCAAATTTAATTGAAATAAAAAAATGTACGAGTAAAGTCTGTGTAGCATTTCTAAATTTCGACAGGGATGTTACGCTCTCACAGATGCTCTCATTTACTCGAAAATTTCCTGGTGGAAGGCACTTGTTTATACACAGTGTTACTCAAAGTTACTACGAGTAATTAGATTTTTGTTTATTAGTTTGCCAAAGACATTATTTAGGTAAATTTTTTCAGTTTAAATGTTTATTTTGAAAAGCACGGTGTTTATTAGGTATTAGCATATAGCAACGTAAAGTTTTTATTGGGTCCATGCGTGGCGCTTTCGTTTATAAATTTGAGTCATCTAAAATCAAAAGATATATAAAATATATAAAGAAAATATAATATATATAAAAATATAACAAGTAGTTACATTTACCAATGTTTTCAAATATGTTTTGTTTACATTTTGACAACCAAATAGCTTGAAATTTGTTCCATTTTTTATTTCGTTTCACTTGCATATGCAGCACTACCATTTCTAAAAACCTAAATGACGAATAAATTAGGTTAAATTCAGTCATTTAAAAACCATAAATGATCATTTAAAACTGCTAAATGAGCAAATAAATTATAATTTAGCCCCTTAATGATAATTTAGCTCCCGTCTGTCAATGCTATAAGTATTGGGACAGAGCTATTTACAAATTTGGTTTCCTAATATTTGAACGTCAATAACAGTTATGCAAAAACTATTCATATTTAGATTATTTGTTATATATCTCCAATTAATAGTTGTTTCATTTTCTTTCGTTTTATGTTTCAGTGATATTTATTTATATATTTACAAAATTTATTTTTTGAAACATACTTTTAGTTCAGTTAGAACATATAGAGTTACATCTCTAATAGTTTACAGTAGGCATAGTAGTCATTTATTATTGCAGCATACGCAGGTTATTATTTATTGAATTCAAAAATTTTTTTATCGTATTTTAAAGAAAAATGTTCAAATAAAAACCGTAACAAAATATAACGAAACATAATAAAATAAAATATTTTTCAAATCATTATTGGAAATTTATGAGTTTCAAGGTACACAAAAAATCGAGCTGTCAAAAATTGAAAATCTCTTTTTGACAATGATCAGCTGTTTTTTTTGCTTGTTGCCGGCTATTAAAGAACGTGTTTGCTTTATGTAAAAATTTTATTGAGTAATGTTAAAGTTAAAAAATCTGATATATTTGCAAAAACGCTGCCGCAGCAACAAATTGCGCTGGGTGAGTTATAAAACGAAATTGTTGTAAAACTAAACATTTTTGAAATTTTCTTCTTTCGTTTATTGGTGCAGTCTCAGGTCATACGTAAGAAAACAAATATTGATCGCGCATTAGAAAATTTTGATGATTTCTATGGTACTGTATTTGGTGTTCGTTGGAAGAATATACGCGCAGCACTACTGACTGAACATAAATATGTTGCATTGGTTAACAATTTCGGTGATACGGAAAAGACATGCAGCCTATTAGAAATGGATGGTAAGCTTCGAATTAAACTTTTTAATTGATATTAACTGAAATCTAATTGATAGGTGCAATTAATGTAAAGTTGTTAACGCAATTAGCCAAAGATCGTATAGAGCAAAGTCAACAATTAGATCAAACTGTTACACGTACTTTGGGTGACAAATTATCGCAAATTGTAAAGGAGAAGGAAGAAAGTGAACGTGCCGCTTTGTATCCTCAAAATGCAAAGGAAGTGTCTGAACGCTTGCAGAGCTCAGGCACTGCACATGATAATGTCACTGTACCTGATTATATCGTAGACGCCAAAAAAGGTCTTGAGCAAGCAATCGAAGAGGATGCATATATTGATAGCAAACGCATGGTTGATCCACAATTTGGTACTGGTGGTCTTTATGATTATGTTCCTGCTAATAAAATAAAGGGCATGGAGGATTGGGTTCCAGAGTCTGAATATTATAAATTCTATCCAACATCTACAGATTTCCCTTTGCAAATTGAAGAAGAAACTCAATTTCTTTTCCCAGAAAATCTATGCTTGTATACATATGAAATGGGGAATTGTGAAGAATTCAAACCTCCAAAAAAATGTCTAACTGGTGAGTTATAATGAGAATTTGTTATAGTGTGCCAGCCACAAGCCTTGCTGGCTCACATTAATATTGCGTATTTCCTTTAATAGTGGCTAAGCCACGTGTTAATAGAAATCCTCCAATTAATATCATTTATTGTGATCGATAATTTGATGACAGTTGCAGTAGAGCTTTTCTTGTTAAGTCCATAGATGTTCTTATACTCATATTAATGTTAGTTTTTAATTATTTTATTATAATACTAATTATTTTTGAATTTATACTAATTTATTATATATTTGGTTTAGGTGTTTTATCTCATTTCTTAATGGATGGTGCATCAATTTTGCCTCCACTTTTCCTAGATGTTAAACATGGAGAACGTGTTTTAGATGCTTGTGCGGCACCCGGTGGCAAATCGCTTCTCTTACTACAAACGCTTCATCCTGGTCAACTAATTTGTAATGATATACAAGAATCCCGTCTGACTCGTATCCGAAGTGTAATGAAAGACTATTTATTCGATTATCGTGAAAGATGGGAAGGAAAGCGTTTAGTATTGACTCAATCTGATGCACGCAGTTTAAGCGAATATGACAGTTATGATAAAATTCTAGTTGACGTACCCTGCTCAACCGATCGCCACTCATTGATTGAAAATGACAATAATATTTTTAAACCAACACGTATCAAGGAACGCCTGCGTATACCAGAGCTGCAGGCTGGAATATTAACAAATTGTTTAAGACTTTTGAAACCAGGCGGTACACTGGTCTATTCAACTTGCTCTTTATCACCAGTTCAAAATGATGGCGTTGTACATATGGCTTTACAACGCGTATTTCATGATTACGGCATCACAGCAACAGTTAAGGACTTAAGCCCACTTATTCAACTCTTCACTGATATTTTTAAATTTGAAAATCCGAAGGGTTTAAAGTATGGACAAATGGTATTGCCCTATCTACCAGCTAATTTTGGTCCTATGTATTTTAGTAAAATTACACGCAATTAATGAAATTACTATATCAAGGAGCCTTTAAAATTGTTAGTCAAGTATTTGTAAATTTTTAAATTTATGTTTTAAGTGAACATTTTACAATTATTAAGTTTAAGAACGTGAATGAGAGTGATTAAAGCAAAGTGAAATTTTATTACAAGTTTCATAAAAATGTTATTTATTACAATTAAAATTAAAAATATATTTTAACGATAATAGATATTGTTTTACTTGTTGACTATTGGCTGTTGTTACCTGTTATTGATGGTATTGTGAAAAGTGTCTAAATATCTAAATATCTATCCTGAATTGAATTTCAAGGCGTCGCAATTTGATAACGGATTTTTGACAAATATTTTTGGTAACCTTTTCTACTACGCTATATACCATATAGCTTTGTTCTTGGACATGTCGAGCTTTTAGAAATCTTTTGTCAAAACGTGCCGCCCGGAAATGCGCAATCTCCATTACTATCTAAATATTATTGTAGAAGCTTTATAAAACCGCATTTGGCATGTTATATTTTATATGTTATATAAGTTAAAATGAGTTCAATGGATTGGAATAGGGTAGTAATAGGATATAAGGTAGAAGCGAGAAGAGTGATAGGTTAAAATATTGAACCGAATTTGGATAAGATTAAGGAATTCTTGGCTAAGTTATAAATCATAAAATGGGTGCCGTCATGAGTACAGTTGCAGTTACCATGATTACCATGATAAAACACACAGACAGTGACGTTACAAATGCTCGATTGTTTGCTCCATGTTCCATGTTTTCTTCTAGTTTCTACAAAAATTTTGTCGTTTGCATATTTATCGAACAGTCTCCCATAAGGACGGATGTAGGCAGATTTACACTACGAAAAAGAAATAAACGTAATAGAGTGTCTGTTTTTTTGAGACGGGGTATCTGAATAATCCACAATTTGACAGACGTTTTTAGGAAAATTGTAAACAAATCACATCATTCAGCTCGTCCTCAAAATTTTGGTGAAATTTTTCTTAAGTAAACTGGAAATTTGAACGAAAATTAGACTATAGAATGTATCGTTATTATTAGTTATATAATTTGCTTGAAACCGGTAAGAATGGTGGATAGAATTGTAGGCAGAAATAAACATCGAATTGATATACATACCTACATATATCTTGATGAACGTCGAGAACTCATTTGCGACATAATACGCTGATGGGCAAGTTTATTCTAGGTAAGTTCATTCTAAAGATGGACAAGCACTCTTTAATGATTTAAGTGGATAATAAAATTTCGTATATTGAGTTAATTATTTGAATAATGGAAACCATTTCTCCTACCTTTATTTATTTCTTTTCGAACTATAATATAGCAAATGGTTATAAAAACAAATTTGTTTTTTTGTTTTTTTGTTGTACATATATTTGTAATCTTATATGAGTTCATACACCTATATATAAATTCTGTTACATTTTCTTGAGTAGTGTATACAGAAATATTGGAGCACTTTTATATAAAGATATTCTTACTTTTGTACTTTCAAATTTATACAGTGGTTCAATTACAAATTGTATACTAAAAATATATATTTTTTTCAAAATCTATGCGAAATACAATTACTTAGTGACATTACTTTTATCGAGGAGTGGTCTCTGATAGGTATAATATATTAAAATAATAGAAAACTTTGCTTTGAACAATTTCTTTCAAGCACTATTAAGCTTATTATATGTGGATTTTTTTAATAGACCTGTCGTATATATAGGATATTTCTATTTACTGGCCCTAATGCATTATAATGATAGCGAAAAAGGTAATTATTATTTCTAATAGCAATTATTAATAAAAAAAAAAACCGGAAATAGTCACAAATTTTATAATATTTCACACAGAAATTTGTAATTGTAAATTCTGTCTGAAAGTAATAGTGCTCGGCGAAGAAGGTTATACCTCGCAAATCGTATCATACCATATATGGTATTAGTATAATAAACGATCATATTATTGTTTATTGGTCATCTGTGAACTGTATGAGGTAAAATAACTATAAACTATAGTTCAGACATTTTAACGTTTATAAAAATTACTGCTTTTTAAGCAGTTGACCATATATTTAATATATATATTATCAAAACAATCATTGCTGAATTATAGCTGTTGGTATGATGCTTATATATGGATTTGTATTACCAGAATGTGCTTTGCTAAAATTACTATAATACAACCACTGTATAAATATTTATGTAGCAGTATATATAAATAATTATTGGTTAATAGATTTCTTCAAGAAATATTCATAATATTTTAAAATGTTTAAGGAACATTTCAATAAAAAGTAATTTAACTTAAATTTAATATTGGAATTTAGTATTACAATAAAATCTTTGTTAAGTACAAGGCTGCAGGTTATTCCAATAAGTGGTGAGAGAGGTTCTGAAACAGCATTAAACAGAAATAGTAAAATTATAATTAAGTATTACACTATTAGAAAAATTATATAAAATAAGACCCGGTTAATTTTATGTTATTCAAAACTTCATATAACCCAACTGAAGTAGACTAAAACTATATACATACATATGTTATGTAAAAATAGGTGGTACTCGTTTAGATTAATATCAACTGTTCTAGTAAAATATATATAGATTTTTTAAATCAACCTAAAATAACTAAAAATAAACTAAAATATAAAAAACTTTAGCATAATATATAAAATAATATATGTAAAAATATGTTTTAAAATAAAATATTCTCCAAAATTGCATTAAGTAGATTTATGCTCCATTATTTTTGCTGGGTGTTGTTACGGTAGTAGGTTTCAAAGGAGTGGACTCATCCTGATCGGCGCGTTCCGTGTCTTTCGACACTGTTCGCTTGTTCCAAGATTGTTCTTCGCCGGAACCGAAAATGACAAATACCAAGAATTCTATAATAAAGAGTACAATAGTAACGAAGAAAATAATGCGCCAGGCGTTTATATTTTGCTACAAAAAAACAAAAATATTAATAATATTAATATGCTATCTATTTCTAGAAAAGATTAATAACTTACGTTTCCTTTTGTAATGAAACCAACAAATAGTGGAACAATAATACCAGGCAAAGTAGCTGCTGTATTAGTGAGTGCTACCAAAGTACCAGCATAATTGGGAGCAATATCAATATGATTGGAGAGAAAACCGGAAAACATACCACCCATGCCAATTATACCGAAACACATTAGAACAACAGCAGCAGTGTGTTTACAGCCAATGTAACATAAACTCAATAGACAGATACCAGGTATTACAGTAGCAATGGATGTGGCCGTTTTGCGCGCAATAGTAGTAGTAATTTTTTCTGTAAGTACAATACATTTAAGCTTTTTATAATTTAATTATTTAATTTTAAACAAAATGCTTACGTTTTGCTTTAAGTGCATCCAAAGTTTTACCCAAAATAATACTGAAAATTAACATAGGGAAGTATGGCAATGCACTAGCGACGGCATTGCTTGAGACGTTAAATGCCAATACTTGTTTCATGTAGAATGGAATTTCAATAAGGAACATATACCAACCCCAATTGCTGCAGCAGTGAGCAATTAAAATGGCTAAAAATGGCACGGACGTCAAAACTTTTCCCCATGGCACAGGTGGGTGTTCTTCTTTGGCTGGTGCGCCTTCGGCTTGCATTGTGCCCAGTTGCGAGGTTATCATTTGTCGTTCCTCTAAACTGATAAAGGTTTGCTTATTTGGATTATCCTGCACCAATATAACCCATAATAACATCCAGATGCAGCTAAGACCACCCATAACGTAGAATACCGATTCCCAGCCATAGCTGCCTGATAACAGACCAGCTAGCAATATCGAAATAGCAGTACCGAAAGAAGTACCCACATAAATAATTGTTGACATCACAGAACGTTCGTTGGGTGGTGCCCAAGCGGCAATCATACAATGCATAGCCGGGAATGTAGCGCCGCCACCGATACCTTCAAGTACACGCATCGCAATAAGACCGACATAGTGAGCTTTAGTAAGAACTGGTGTCAGTAGAGTGCAAATAACATTGATGGCTACGGAGAACAGCATAACCCATTTAGCAGAGTAATTTTCTGCAACGCGTGCACCGGGTATTTGTGATACGAGATAGCCCCAGAAATAACAACTCAGTAATGTGCCCTGTAGTGGTTCGCTCCAAATAAATGGACCATCCTAAAAGTTGCACAAAAACACTTAAGATTTAAAAAAATTTTAATAAAAGAATATAAAAATTGAAAAAAAATATATTTTTAATGGCAGCCTATATTGGCATTTGTTCATCGAGAAAACATCAATTTACTTAAATAATTCCATAAAAAATTTGGCAGCAATCAATCGCTAATCTATTCAATTAACTGTGGTCCCGCATAATAATTTCAAGCTATCACATAAAAATTGTTATGCAAAGCGTACGGCACGAGCCGTCAATTTAATTGAATTGCCTTCAAATTACATAAGACAAGTTTGGTAAACACCGAATTTGAAGGAGGGGAGCTCTGAAGGTGAAGTAAGACGTAAAACAGTAGAAATACTGAAAAGTACTGTTTAATAATTAGAAAAAACTATAAGCCTAGTTACACTACATATCTCGTTTGAACTACAATCGGTGTTCTGTAACGGTAGTAAGATGGATAAATGCATTTGATTCATCAGTCTTAGCAAAAACGAAAGGAGCTCGAGTGATACATATTGAAACGTATATTCAACATATTTAAATGTTTATATATATGAAAACAATTGGTCCAATTGAGTCTGGACTTTACTTAGTTAGTCCTTAATGTGAAACTCAGAATGTTTATATAAATATACCATGTATATAGACGTCTTGGGCCAATATCCCGATAAGACACAATAATCCAATTGAATTAATGGATAAGAATAAAAACTTTAGAAATTTTTTTGTCACTAATTCGAGAATGATTGCGGAAAATGTAAAGCACAACTAGTATACTTCAGTGGACAAGGTTAGAAATATTTTTACTGATTGGACTTGGTGGCACTGACATCCAGTAGATCAGTGAGAGATTTATGTATAACTTCGTTTTTAAGTCTCTTGCTAAAATTGTAGACTGAGTTTTAGTAGACATGATGACTATAAATATCAAAAAGAATATCCTCGGTATACATAGTACATTAAAAATTAAAGTGCTTTGAAATTCTATTAAAATTTAGTACTAGAATACAACTTCTTTAGTTTTTAGTCATTTTTATGTACAACAAATGTGAGACTTTAGCATTAATTTTAATATAATAATTAATAAAGTAATCAAACCTTAATACATAATTAAATAATAGTTTTTTAGCTTACTTACTTGTATTGTTGTTGTGCCATTTGTCTCGGCATCGGGACTTTGACATATTTCCACTTCATCAACAGTTGCAGCAGTAACAATGGAAGTTGTATTATCGACTATTAGTAAAGGAGCGTCATGAGAACTGTGTCCGATAGCAGTATGATTTAACATAGCCACCATAGCAACACTAAGATTTACCTTCAGCCCATAAATAATGGCCATACCAATAGAACCGAGAATGGCAAGTACATATCGTGCTGGTAGGCATTCTAAAATCAAATAAAAATTAAATTGTATAATTATAGTAGTAGATAGATATATGCATACAGTACTAGGGTCTTAGATGTATTATTATTATTAGAAAGAACAATGGTATTCCATGATATGTGACATCTATTTTACTATTCTTAGAAAGTGTCTTGTTAACTAATGTGAACGAGTTAAGGCTACTGATTAACCTAATTATATAATTAAATGCGGATTAAATGAAAACCAGGTGGGAGTATTGAATTATCATTTCCAACTGAGTTAATACTAATAAATGTTAATTTTTAGTATCGACGGGTTTAAATTAATGACTTCAAGACATGAAGTCTTCTTTCAATGATAAAAACCGTTTTTTTTTACTTTATTTATTAAATTTTCTTAACAAAACATTCACAATATACCAACAGCAATATCTACATAACAGGCTTACAGTTCTAACGATTTCTTGGTTTGTCGGAGGCTTTGATGGATGTACTCAATACTAATTGGTGTTATGTGATTATACATTATTCGTATTAATTTGTATTCAACAACTTTAGAATGATTAGCCAGCGGATCATTCCTCATCAAGACAATGCGAGTGTTCACACATCTCGTCTAACAACCGACTATTTCAACATTCAAAACATCGAATCAGTAGAGTCCTTACTTGGCACCCAATGACTTTTTCTTGTTCCCAAATGTCAAGAATAAATTGCATAAATTGTTGCATTTAAAAAATTTATTTTTGAGGTGTCCAAAACCATGTGGAAAAAATGATTTGACAAATTGTTCGAACGCATGCAAAAGTGTATTAATCATAAAGGAAAATACTTCGAGAGACAATAAAGCAATTTTCAACGACAAGTTAGTATTTTTTCATTATTAGGCTCAAAATATAAATAGTGACTCCTGTAATAGATCACAACAATTAGAAAAAGGTCTTGTTACTTAATTTTTCTACCATCTCACAACTTGATCTGGAGGAACCGATATTGGTACGCAATGAAACCACATTCTCTACAATATCTAAACTGTTGATATGCCATTGGCAAATAAAGAATCGGAAAGTTCAGGGGTGCCGTGATGCTACTGCAGAAAAATTTGTATAACATTAAGACAAATTAAGATTTCCGCGCGTTGCAAAAAAAGAAACCGCTATTAATACGAAGATCTTGAGAAGTTGAGTGATAGGAATATGGCTCGAAAATCCTATCAGAAAATCAAAAGGCTGACAAATGGTTATGAGCTTGGAGGTCCTGCAAAACAAAAACTATAATCTGGTACATATTTAAGTATTAAGTCTAAGTCTATCTACTCTCATCTCTCTCCCCTATTTACTGGAATGAAGCTTCCTCAATGCTGTAGAAATATTCTTCATTCGTTCCTAAGAGGTGGTTTTAGTGGGTTCAAGTTTCACAATATTTAAGTAATGATTAATATTTAAAGGAAACATACTAATTAACAGTAATAGTCATATGACTGAAACCAAAGATCATCCCGAATTTACAATCATTCACGCTGGAATAATTGGTCCGCCTCTTTAAAACTGGTGGCGAAGAGTTATGCATACGTGTAGGATGAATGCAATCGCAATGGTTGGAATCGAAATGGGCTTTGTACAGTCTACAAAAACAGCGAACACTTTTTTTGTTCTGCTTAAATTTATCTAGCTCCACCAGCTTTGTGGAACCGTTTAATTACATTGAAATTATAGGGATACTTTTTTTTGTGAAAACATTTCTAATTTTTATATTTTACTTCTGTTTCAAATTATAATTTCAAAACTCCAAATTCGAACTCTTTTGACATATGCGTGTACTTCTGCGATAGAAGTCAGCATGAATGGGAGCGTGGGAACAACTGATTAGATTGGGCCGACTGTGGGAGAGTTTTTATTTGACAACAGATGTGCCCAAAGTTCTTCCGATATAAAAAATGTGTTGAAAAAGTCATATGAAGAGATTAAATTCAATTAATTGTGTCATTTTGTTAATAGAAAGTTAATGTAACGAACTTCGCCCCGTGCCATGTAACAATGAGAATTCAGAATATTTTATTTATTTTTTAAAATAAACCCAGTCATGAAGTTTGAGACCAATAAAATCCATAAACATGTTTACCATCACGTGGTTTTTTATTGTTAAATATTTATTTGGAATATTTTGAAAGTGTTTTTTGTTCTTCGGATGCCAAAAATAACATATAAGAGAACCCACTTCCTATTCGTTGGCACAAAAGTAAATATTCGCGTTACTTGAGTTTGCCATTAAGTTGGAGTAAACGAAGGTCAATTGTTTTTATGCTTAGATACTTTAGTCAGTATTTGCTTAGAAGCGAGTGTCTTTACGTATCAATTTATAACAGAATATGTTTATTTATGAATTTTTTTTATTTCAAAAATTATGCTTTGACTATTCTGTCAAATATAGAACGACAGGTTGGGGTTGCGGTGATGATGATAATCACTCTGACTTCACCTTCGAGCTAATATTATTGAGCAATTAAGGGACTTAATACCAGGCGCTGTAGTAAGCATAAACCCACTCCTCTAGAGTGAACCTATCTGCTTGGGTGTGTCTTGCGATAATTCTTATTGCACATTAAATCGTCCTATCGTTAGACACAAAGTAAACTACTCGAATCGTAGGCTGTCAATATTAGTTAATAGAAAACGAACGATAGCAAACGTTTATTGAAGGTTTCTAATGAATTTTATTTTTTATTATTATACTATCCACAGAAATAACATAATTGATGTTATAATAAATAAATAAACTAAAAAAAGGAGTAGTTTTTGTTAATAAATTAATTATTTTTTTGAAAATATTTCTTAATAGAAGTGAATGAAATTTTAAATGATTTACTATATCATATGATTACTAATACCTTTCAGTAAGGTATTCAGTAAGTTCCAATTGTTTTGCTATCTCTCTCTCTCTTTCTAAATTATACAAATATATTTTTCAAATTAGCCAAAATTAGCACTGAAATCATTTACAACAATTTCCAGAAGCACATTCCTAGGGCTTCATCCATTAGGAGGCGTTGTTATGCTTCCTTGTAAACAGTGGAACAACGAATTTCAGCCTGTGTAAAAATTTCTTTAGGGCCCAAACATGCAGGGCTTAAAAGCGAGACTATTCACTTTGTATCTTAGCGCCTGATAACAATAATAATATTGAATAGTTCCGTGAACTTACAGGGAACTGTTTAAAAATATAGTAAAATAGAGGTTAGTTCATTAGTTTTTATTTAGTTTAAATGTGATTTATTTAATTTTACATTGAGGCTGCTTGCAATTTCTTTAGTAAGTGATGTTAAATTTTTTTATGAAATTTTCCATTAAATTTTATTAAATGTCTCAAATACAAAATATAAAAAAAATGCAGTTTTTGGCGCATTCCTAAAATTTCTTGCTAAACTATAATATGAACCAAAATATAGATGCTGTAATTAAAATAATTAAAAAGCCAGTGTGATTACATTTGTCTGCCAAAAATAGCAATTTTCGGCATCAATGAGCCTCATCAGACATCAGATTGTTTACAATCGTGACTCCGTAGTACAAAGAGAAGCAACGCCCCTTACTACTCATATTTACATAAAAAATTATGCATACTCTATCTAGTCAAATTTATAACAGCTTGTCGAATTCCGATGTATTGAGCGAAAAATTGTTTAAATTACTTAAAAATATTTTAAAATTGATAAATAAAGATTTTTAAAGATATTTAACACATGGTCAAGTAGCCCCATCGAGAATTCGAAGATACTGACGAAACTAGACTAAAAGCAACATTCACATCAAAAGGCCTGCGTAACAAGTACCGAATTGAATTTTTTTTGTCTGGCACGTTTAACGGCACGAGTCTCCCGAAAACATTTCTAAACAAATCTTAAATATCAAAATTTAAAAAATTTGTCACTCACAAAGATGTCTGTCTGTCTTCTGTCTGTCTGTATCTTTGTAGACTACCCGCGTCAAACTTATTTACATGGAGTGTTTTAAGCGTCGGCTCCAGTGGAATATTCCAAAACATATACATATAATATATGCTTCTCTGTCAAGTAGTTTAAGCATAAATTTGTCGAAAAAATAAACAATAGGCCTAATATTTGGTTATATATGTTTATGACAAAAATTAAAAAAAAAAAATAAAAAAAATATTTTCGCGAAATATTTGACAAAATATTATATCTTATCTTTGTTACTGCGGTACAATGCAATATCATACGTTTAGAAGGATTTGAAAAATTAAAATAATTAAATGACACAAAACGGGAAAGATGTAAATATCTGATATTGAAAACCGTGGCTTCACTTGATTCATTTGACATAACAGCAACAATTTTCTCAAAAGAAGATTCACGACTTCAGTTGCAAGTCTAAACAAATCATATATGGTAGTGCGAGAATAATTTAGTCAGACCTAAGAAACATTGCACTATAATTGAAAATCCTAAACACTTTTTGGTTAGATTCTGTCTTTTTGATCAGATCTTTTAGTTAGATTTATATTTTTTGTAAACCATTGTTGAGAATGTGAAGCTGCATTCTTCACAATAAATGATGAAAGACTCCGTGACTTAAGTCCTTTCTCTTCTGGATTTGGATAGCAATTGTATTTAATTTCGTTTGCATATGTCCTCCACTCAATTGATAGAGAGAGAAATACTTTAATTTTCTTAGTTACTTCAATTTTTTAAGTTATACATAAATACTTTTGATTTGTCAAACAAAATTAGAAATAATTACAGTACTATGGATCCCTTGAAATTGGGTTCAATCCACATTACTGAGCTATTTAGGTTGCGGGAATCATACTGAAAATCCAGGAAAAGCCTTATATGTTTTCATTTTAACAAGAGATACTGATTCAAACTGAACAATAATTCACTGCTCGCTAAATAAATATGCATTTTATACATAAATATATTTGATTTATTCTACTAGACTAATAGACAATAGAAATATAGGGCACATTATGTATATTTGATGTTTTCTTATTTTGTCATGACTATGAGGAAATCCAAATAATCTGAGATTCTGACTTGAGAATATCTAGTGTGTGCATAAAAAAGGAATACGAATAAGTTTTTCAATATAACTTTAGTTCATTCTTTGCTTAGTATTTGCATAACTTTAACATATTCCATGTTAGTATCTATTTCGTAGATAAATTTGTGACTTAAACCGCAGATCTGCTCAACTTTGAACTGGTTATTCTGATAAATTTTAGTAAAATTTCACTCACATTCTATAATTACTAATATTTAATACCTAAATTTCATGAAAATTTAAATTCTTATGAATAAGTTTTTCCAAGGAGAACTTGAGTCTAAAGAATAGGCGTTCTCCCTTTAGTTTACGCGGTACATAATTTCCATTCAATTTAAAACCAATTTGAATAAGATTTGGCAAACATAACATAAATTAGACAGATACACACGTTTATAAAAATGGATACACAGATATATAAATACATAAATTTAACTAATAAATCATTTTAAATCCACCGAATTTTTGGATGCTATAGAATATGGTCACTTGATTGAGTTCATTTTAAGAAAAATGCAAGGTATGTTTCCAAACAATCTGTTTGTAGAATTGATTAAGCAATGAACCAGTTTCGATCTTTTAGTTTATTCAGCAGGTATGGATATGTCAGTTGATTTTGGTGATTTGGAGACATACATAATGTTCCTTCCCAAAATAATCTACATAACATATATGTAAAGTTGTATTCTCTTAACTTTGGACCTAGATGGTACCTTATCGTACCTTAACCATCGGCGAAATATCCTTTTTTCTACGTTATAAACACTTTGAAGAACTTCATATACAGTTAGCATACTATGTTGATGATGGATGCCGTAATGATGAAGTAAGAAAATATTCACATAATTAAATAACGTGGTTTGATGGAGAGGAACTTACTGAAGAGTTACATTCGCAGATACTTTGTGTTAATAGTATAAGTACTTCGATATTTCTATGAAGAATAAAATAAGGATCTTTTGAGTGTAGGTAAGGTATGGAAGATTATATTATTTGCATAATAATATGGAGAACGGAATTACAAAGTTGTGATAGTATATTAAGTAAATTAAATTTATTTACTTTATTTATAATATTATAAGCATTATCATCTAATTATTGTATAGTTTGTTTATTTATAATATATTTTCTTTATTCACCACATTTATTACTGATTTAATAAAATAGTATAATTTATGATGCTGTCGATGGGAAAAATTTGTAAATTGGTTTTTTCTTTGGCACCTGGAATCTTCATCTTAAGTTATACGTTTAACTTAACACCCCTTACCCGTTATCCCGTATTGTTTTATTAACATTATTTTTTGTTAACCCGTAAGCTTTCGCTGCTGCCTGCCTGCCAAAACGCATTTCGTATTTTCCCGTCACATAGAGTAATATTTTGCAGTAGCGACTTTTAAATGACCTTCTTGTGCGGCAAGAAATTGGCGGGGAAGTCATTCATGTAGTAAGCAAAAAGGAAAGCAAAAATGAATTCAAACAGAATAATGAAATAATGAACTAAATAATATTATAATTGTGTTATTATTTTTATTATTATTATTATTGAAAGTGAATCTAATTCTAATTCCAATTCACATTGACATTTTTGTTGTTGTCACGGATACGCATTTTCCTATAAGAGACATTCAGCTGGTAACAGGATAACATAGCAATGACCTTTTATCGTGAAGTAAGGTCATATGCGTATTAACTACGTTTACGTTGTGTAGGCAGTGAAATAAAATAAGAACGTAAATCAGGCAATTTTTCCAAAATATTTTCTTACTTTAAAAATGTTTATTGTTAATATTGGTAATGAAAGTATGCTTTTCTAGTAAAATTTAGTTGAACTTTTCGCGCCATTTCCATGCAATTTTCTGCTGTACTTACTGCCTAAAATGCTGCCACGCGCTGGTACTTCTTGCGCCATAGTTTCTTTTAATTTTTATTTTATATTTTTTAAATTGTTTGCAAATGAATATTCACGGCAAGGATATGTCCTCAACGTTTATCAAGCATTTAAGCATAAAATACACTGCAAATATTTCACACACTTTAGTTAGTTGAAATTATTTGACTTTAAATCCTTTTGCTTCTTTTACGCTTTGCCAGAGTACACAAAGAAACATAAACTCAAGATTTAAAACTTAAACACACACGTTAAAACGCACGTACGTTCCTCTTGCACGGCAAACAATTTTCGCAATTTTCGCCGTATCACCACAAAGCACGTAGTTCAGTCTGCGAGTGTTGTACACAAACTGGCCTGCCTCGCTGGAAAACGTTACAGTTTTGTTGTGTTCTGTATTTTGTGTACTGAGTGTGTGTATCGGAGAATCACAAAATTATTTCTTCGCCCAATCGTACACAAGTCAGCCGGCAAAGCAGAAATAAACTTTGCCGCAACGCAGCAAGCGCACAAACAGTTTGTCTATTTCGTCACTTTCAGCTTTGGTAGCACAAGCATATTTTAAACCACAATGACAAAAGTTCAACACAGCAGCAACAGCAACAACAACAATAAGAGTAACGATACAGTCATATATACAATTTTGTATGAAATTATTTTGTGAACGATAACAACACAAACAACAACAAACAAACAAATTCTTGAAAATATGTCGATGACTGTTAGGTTTATCTCTGTGGTGTTAGTTACTACGTCACAAAAGTGTTTCCGTTGCTGCTGCGCTCAAGAAAAGGGTGCTTCGTCTGATGCTTCATTTTAATGCACTACTGTTGTTATTGTTGTTGTTATTGTTTTCGTTATTAGCGCCATTCGCTTAGGTTAGGTGTGGTGAGTTAAATAATAAACACAACATTATTGTGAGTTTGTTTAGACGTTTGCAATGCAATGTAACTGGTATCGGAGACCATATGAACCTTATATATATACATACATATACATATATTCTTCATCCGTATGACAAAAGCAATCATTACAGCGATATCCTCTTGTCAATATAAATTGTTTGTGTACTAACAATCTGCAGACACGAAGGCAACAAAAGCCAGACTTTTGTGCCAAAAAAATGGACAAAAGAACCATTCATTGCTCCAACTCCCCTCTTTGACTTCAATAAAATGAACATAAACCAAGAGACCCAACAAAGTATCAATGAATATTGGAATGAAATAGACGGCCTATATCATTTCAAAAAATTCTTGAAAATTCTTGAAACACCGTTCTCAACCTAAATAGGAAAAGTCTACTCTCGTGTGCACTAACAGTCGACGCCGCATGTAATAAACACCTACACAAAATAGGTATATCCGACACTAATATTTGCAGATTCTGTTGTGATGAGGAAGAGTCTATGAAACATCTGATCACCAACACTGATGCACTAGGCCACAGAAGAAACAAAATTTTAGGTGCATACCTTTCAAAGGTAGACGATATTTCGCGGGAAGACCTTATCTCCAATGGAATGATTAAAGCAAGATAGCCATATATTAAATTTAATAACTGGTTGATTAGTTAAAGTGGCAGGTCAGCAGATATTCTTTGAGTTTTCATATTTAACGATTGTTCATCATTTTACTACCTTATTTTTCACAAGAAACCTGAGGGGATAAAAACTAGATCCATTTCGTTAAATTATCGATGAACAAACCGACAAATTATCAAAGAAGTACTCTTCTAAAAACCTGTTTCAGCTGAAAGCCCAAGCTAGGCATTAACAAAAAATGCTCTCGATTGTTTCTTTCTCCTGTAAGTTTCCACAACTTCTAGAATGGATATTAAAAGGAATGCGAAGTGTGTTTAAGTGAATTTCTACATACCAATGACCAGAGAAGAATGCAGTAATCACGCGATTCTTTTTAATGATTTCCCATAATCTGGTCCTGTTGTATGACGACTTGTTCGACCGGGAAGTTACACATGAGTTGAGTGCCTTGTGCTTATTGGTAGCTAACTGAAGAAAATAGAGGAAGAAATAAGTACTTCTTTTAACGATCTGCAAAGAAAGATAGACAGGTACAGGTAAGGGAAGCACCAAGGCTTCTTAGTACTTAATGATTTTCAGTGATGAGATATATATCACTAACTTATTCTGCAGTGAGGATATTAGCAGTTATTGCTTTTATCTTTATTCTACATCGTATACGTATGCGACCACAGTAATGATTAATTTACTTTAGTATGCTAATTCGTGGGAAACCTTTAATAAAGTGCAATAAGTTCATTTGATCCCGACATAATATCTTTTTTCCCTCGAAAAATTGAAAGTTTTAATTTTTCTATGTTTTGTTATCTGTACATCAAATTTTTTTGAGTTGTGTCTTTCACAAGAACTGTATTTATATGACTGACTTCATAACTTGATTTACTATTCTGATTTTGAAAGCTTTTTCTAAGTTTTTTCTCTAACCACGGATATTGTACTTAAAATATGAATAGCACTTGTTTCTACAAACCTTTTAAAACACTTTCAAATTTATTAAGTTTGATTTCAATTCTTTCTGATCTGCCAGAAAGTACCCACAAAAGGACATTTGATACATTGGTTAACCATCAGTGATCTTTGGACATACTCACTGTTTTTGAGTATCAATGAATAATTTTTTAGACTGTAAACACCAGGGTTTGTGTCCATACCACGTTAAATACCACGTTACCACGTTAAACTTGCCAAACACTTGACTTGTATTGTTCTAACTTGGAGTTTTGTTCATTTATTATTTCATCTTTTTTAACTAAATTTAAACTAAAAGGAATACTTTTGATTTAGTAAATAGTATTAAAAATTTGAAGTACAGAAGATTAATAGCTTTTGATATGTGCAAAGGGGTGGGATGTGAATGGGATAGATTCCTGCATCCGGCATCAGATGTGCCCCTTTCCAATTGCTACTACGAGAACTACCTACAAGCAGCTTCTTAGTTCCATTCCGTAATTTTGAGCGTTTTTCGGACTTTGACATGATAGACTGTTGAAAATTAATCCACAAAGAAATAGCTTTCGTATGAGCCTAACAATTCTGGATTGTTGCTTTGTTTAACACATCTTGCATATAAATTGTCATATCATGTGAGCTCAACTAAACTTATAGAAAGGATATCACGTTCGTCAAAACAAATTTATTAAGTTATCTGTTGTTGTATTCGCAAGGATTTGCACGTAACGTACGGTTGTCATGAAAGAAGATTACCTAAAATCGCTTTATTTATTCCCAAATTGAATGTTTGTTTATCTTCAACCTTGCGTTTATCATTTATTTATCTTTGATAGATTTTCTTCATTTTGGAATAATTTTGAAATTTTGGAGATAATAAAGTTCGAATTACTAAACCATTTCGGGTATTTTCACTTGATAAAGGTAAACTGAGTCAGTTGCTTAAATATTTACCATTCAATTAAGTACGTTGTAAAGAGTATTAAAATTGTATCACCAAAGGAAACTTTTGTACAAGTAACCTATCAAGAGACAGAGGCTTTAACTAAAAGGGTAATATAGAGTAATGACATCCATTACGAGGGTCACTATTTATATTTTGAGCTTAATATGAAAAAATACTAACTTGTCCTTAAAAATTGCTTTATTGTTTCTCGAAGTATTTTCCTTTATGATTAATATATCTTTAAATACGTTCAAATCATTGCAATCTTCTTCGTGGTTTTGGACACCTCCAAAACATGGTTTTTAAATGCAACAACGGCTTTTGCTTCTTCCGCCAACAACATTCGTTGTCCACGCAATTTATTCTTGACGTTGTTTAAAGCACCGCCATTGTACTACTTAAGGATTTGTGTGCATCAATCGAGCACGACACGAGCATCTTTTTGAGATTTTGTAAAATGATGGAATAGGGGATCCAATGAGAGCAAACCTTTCTCACCGCTAAATGATCGTGCAATATTTTATATATGCTGGTGGAAATAATGCCTAGGATTCCACCTCAACCTCAATCTTACAGTTGTCGCATGACAATCTTACATTATCAGTTTTTGCAGTTCATCAATGTTTTCTGACACAACAACTGATTTCGAATTCTTGTCTTTATAATCCACGTCGAAAGTCGTAATAAATAATCGCACGAAAATTTTCACTCAATTTGCAAATCACTGTAAATAAGACATATAACGGTCTTTTGACAAAAAGTCTAATGTGGGTTTTGTCAAACTTTCGTATTGAAACGTCAAATGACACCAGACAACAATCAGTGTTGGCAAGGCTCAAAATATAAATAGTAACCTCCGCAGAATCCATTTAAAAAAATGATGAGTAAAAATCATGTAAATTTTTTTGTTGTATTTTAGAAGATATTTATACCTCACTGGCATATGAATTATTCACTTGCAAGTTAATTACTTTTTCACCGAAAATCGTGATATCTCAACTCACTGCTCAGTGTTTGAAAAACGTAAAGTATTTGCAAATATTACTAGAGGCAGATATATGAAACATGGGAGTGGGCAGGATCTAAACGCTTTGAGGGGTTAACAGCCGCAAAGATTTCCACAGTACTGCAAAGTTCAACCAGCTCAATTTTTGAGTTTGCCGCAAACCACATTTAGTAGGATTCAGGGACCAAATAAACTATGTCTCTTTAAAGAAGTGCATAAGTTTTCAAATTTAATTAAAATCAATACACAATAAATTAAACTAAAATTAATAAATTAAGTGAATTCTTTTTTTTTATTTTATGCAAAAACTTTTAGATGTACGTCATCATGGAATTTTTACAGGAACTCCATTCTGTAGATCACATTTTCCATATTCTTTTTAATTCTTTGAGGAAATATTTCAAGAATAAAATATTAGTTGTTACCTTCCAAAGCTGAAATCGAAGTTGTCTTGTTCCAAAAAATAACACTTTCCAGTAGCTCTGCGCAAAGTATTCCCACGTTAATAAATTTAAAAATCTTTGAAGCAGATGGGTTAAAATGGATTCGTTTCTGGATATTATAGTGTCAGCAAAACTTTAACTCAGAAAGTCGCTGGTTACTTGAAAAGTATGAAACTTGGTATTATGCTGTTCAAACAAAGAGTTTTCTGACCATGCTCAAGTACATTCGGATATGGTCTGATGATGTGACAAGCCCATAAATTGCGCTAAACATTTTTAGAAAGTAGATATGTACCTAATAGATCACGATTGGACTTATGTTGTATTAAATGCGGCAATTTCATTTATTAACAATCTTACTTAGGCACAAGTGACCTTTATTGATGAACAAAATTTTGCTGTAAAAAAGTTAATTGATTTCACTTAAGTCCCGAGTCAAACTAATCACGACGGTTTTACTTTGACTTTTGAAAATATTAAGCCAAAAATCTTCCCGCCAAATTTTTCATCGATC